ATGTTTAAGTGGAATCAGGGAATATCAGCTGAAGTAAACGGACCTGACACATGAGAACATCTAGAAAAATTGGATTGATGAATTTGAATCCACGATTTTTTTCTAGACCACTATTTTTCATCGTGGATTCCCCTCCAAACATCTCCACTTTCCCGGTCCATCTGACAGTTTGCTGGCTCTGACGGAGGCGCTGGACGGAGTTGGCGTGCCACGGCAATCCGCCCCCCAATCGCTCCGGACATCAAGCATTCGCCAAAGACGGTGTGGACCTCAGTTGGATTTCACCATTCGCTTAGCGATGGGATTTTGATGTGGTCTACCCTCATTAGTATACTAACACTTCGATGTGGAAAAACAAAAACCATCTGTGGATCATTTTCCGGGAAACGGGCTTTCCACATATATCTATATATATATGATTATATATATATATGATTATATATATATATGTTGGTTTAGCATATGGTAAATGGGATCTATATGATTTGAAAAGGGGACTTTAGATGATGAAACGAACTCTTGGACGTCATGGCGGTCCCCTGACGTTTTTCATGGTGGTGAATCATGGTGATTCATAAGCGGCATCAGATGGGTTAGTGCCCCTTGGAGATTTCATGGCGAAACATGATGAATTGACCATGAACCATGGCCCATATGCTCCATGTATGTAATATTTACCTACATTTGGGCCATTTTTGGGGTAAATGTTAGTAAATATGCCATACATGGAGCATATGGGTGGGGATGACCATATATGTTTGGCCTATTTTTTAGGCCTAAATTTCAGGGGATATCCCCAGAAAATATGGCCAGAAATATGGTAATTACTAACGTAGCTCCATCTGTTGGATCTTGGAATGACCATGAACCATGGGGATTAGAGCATCCAACTCATCGGAATTCCCGGAAAATTCATGGAGACTCGGAGAATCCAACTGCGCACCGCAATTTTGAAAAACCCATCGTTTTTCGGACCTGAGTTCATAGATCCAGTACATTTCAGCCAGGGTTTCGTTGGGTGGTTGCAGGATGAAGGTGATGATGGATGACAGATCTGTAGGTGATCCCATCTTTTGTTCATATTTGAAGAGCTCCGAAAAGGTGGCAGTCAGAGGTTGGTTTCATCCCCCCAATAAATCACGGATTCGTTTGGATAGTCATCTAGGACTAGTTTACCCGCAAAAACTCCTCAGATAGTTTTGAAATGTTTGAAACAATTCAAGGATGGCCCAAGAAAATCAAAGAGCTCCAGAATCTGCACTTGATTCTTAAACAGTTTTGCTCTAATGGCCAGATACAACATGTATCTACTGTAGTCTCTAGCCCGCCCAGTTGCGTCGCCCCTTATTGGCCCTTGATCTGCGGCGACGCTTGAACCGCGCCCGCGAGGTTGTGTATATATCTTCGGAGGATGGAACAACGAACAACAGTTCAATGATCTCTTCATGCTGGATATCGAGAACAAGGACAGTTGCAGCATCTTGGAATACCTTGGATAGGTAGAAACATTGGATAGCCTCTGGTTATGACTAACAGTTCGCCATGGTATAGATGAGCCATAGAAATAGATGGTTTACCTATTACAAATGGTGATTTTCCAAAGTAAAATTATGAGATACCCTCTGGTAAACGTTTACATAACTATGGAAAGATCCACCATGCTATTGATGGGAAACTCACTATTTCAATGGCCATTTTCAATAGCTATGTAACAAATTACCAGAGGGTAGATAGAAACTATATAGTCCTTTAGTTTCTGCTATGATTAAATGGAACACAACCATAACAAACAAAATATTATTTGTGGTGGACTACAACAGATTGACCATGGTTGTTGGAATGTTGAAAGAAGTGGAACGCTTCATTTTCCAAAGGGACTTCCAAATGTAGATGGGGGAGATTAACCATGTCGTAATTGGGCTTGATCCTGCTGTCCAACGAGGTAATTGGCGGTGAACTCCGAATTTACATCAAGATTGATTGCTATATTCGATTGGCTATATATATATATGTATTTCACAAAATTTGATCATCATCTACTACTTTCTTTATCGACATGACATGACATGACTACATATTCAGCATGTTCTCCATTGGCACAAAGGGAACATTTACAGGACATCCCCCAAACAAATCCATGCTCACACGTGTCCACGTGAGGCCTCCCAGTTCTTGTTTGTTAAGCCATAGATATCTCTACCATAAAAAAATATTTAAAAACATGACAGATTCACCGTTCCCATGGGTAACCTCAAACCATGGCGATGCTCCAAATCCCATATGGGTTCATCCACCGTAGGACTGGTCGGATGTGGATCTCAGCTGGGGCGTGCCGCGCTGGAACTGCTCGCTGCAGTTGGTGGAGGCCATTCCTTCCTGGCGCGTCTTCGTCTTCGGCGGCACCGCAGACGTCTACGGCGAGGCCGGAGCCGACAAAAAGTCATGTCACCGGGGCATGGAGAAAGCGGTGAACCATGGATTTTTTTTTAATCTGGTTTCATATCTACGAGGTGGTGCCCCCCAAGTTATAAGTTGGTTTATAAACCCCATTAACTATAGATATATCTACCATAAACCATAGTTATTGGAGTTATAAACCAACTTAGCTAACTATGGGGCACCACCTTGTAGTGAATCTAGTAGCCAAGTGGGTGAAGCATCTTGCGAAAGTGGTGAACCATGGCTAACCATGATTTGATATCTGGTTTCATAGGGACAATTTCGCCCCAAAAAATGGAGGTTTCTAGCTGGGAAATATCTCCGAAATGGGCTTGGGAGAAGACATGTTGGCTTTTCTGGCTTGGATTTGCTATGGTTTGGCGGATTTTCCCAAGACATCCACTACCTTAAGCAGATCCAAGATTGGGAAGAGGATGATGAGATCCTGAACACATGCCATAAAAGTGGTTCCACATGTGCATTGACTCGGATGATCCCTTAAATTAGGATCCATTGGAATCCATGATCCATGGTTGTTAAGTGGGTGATAATCCTTTACAACTGACCAGACTAGTTTATGGTAGTAATCCGCTAATCTTACTAGCTTGACATCCCATTCATTCCACTTGTATACCACCCATATTTCATCCTTCAAAAGCAACTATTAGAAATGGCTCCTTTGCAGCGGTACCATTTTTGTTCAACTTTTCTATCTTTTTTGGGATCTATAAATATCTATAAATATAAGTAATTAATTATATCATATCCATTGATATTGGCCCAATTTAGCCCCTTTTTCATCCATCAATGCCTTTACATGGGGATGAACTTGGCTTAGGATTGTAGCCTTAAACGTGGCATGGCTTGGGGCACCTTCTTTGGTTGATATACTTGTATATCTTATTATATCTTATATTATTCTAGTGAATTTCATATCCATAAAAAAAACATATATATCCATATGTTATAACCTCAAAGATAGAAGAACGTCAAATCCCACAAAAACAAGTTCAACATCAAAATCACCACTTTTCCATCTCCCCTTGATTTTCTAGCCCAATCTCAGGGCCGCACGGGTGGCGTCTTCGACAACAAGATCGGCGTCCTGGATATGGGCGAACCCATGCGTTGGGGCGACCCTTCGTTGGAGATGCGTGCGGAGGATGCCATGCCCCAAGCCCGGGAGCACTCGGCCATCTGCTACGATCCCGAGGAGTCCGGACAGTCGGGAAAGTGGTGAAGTGATAAACTAACTTAAAAGGAAGGAAACACTCACTACAATGTGAGGCCCCCCAGTTATAAGTTGGTTTATAAGCCCCAGTATAGTTATAAGTACACCATAAACCATAGTTATTGGAGTTATGTTCACCAACTTAGCTAACTATGGGGCACCACCTTGTATGGTTGAACACGAATCAAAACTGTAGTTGTTTTTCATGAATGGCTGGACGACTGGTGAAATGATGTGATCATGGATACTTATGCAGCAAGAACTAGTGAAACATAGTGTTTTTTTTATTATCACACATTCAATGGATTGGTTTAAGGGAAAATCTACAGGAAACCATGGTTTTTACCATCAAATATAGGGGTTTCCTGTAAATTTTCCCATCATCCAATTCTATGAAACATAGGGACTTGACGCATGAAGATGCTGAATTTCGGATGGACGTGGAAAAGCCGAAGTGTGGGTGGTCATGATGAATGGGGATTTGGGCTCATCAGATTCAAACAGAAGCTGAGTTGGATGACTAGTTGTGATTGCAGTCAACGTACACCCTCATGAATTCATTTGTTAAATCAATATAACCCAGCCCTTTGGGAATGGTAAGTTTATACCACCTATAAAAATGGTGATTTTCCTGGGGGATGGTGTTGTTTTTTGTTTTACCAGCGAGGTTTTTTGCTGTGGGGATAGGTTTCCATCATGATGACACGTGGAGATTTAACCTTGATAGCTGACATAGCTATGGACGTCCATGGCCCATAAAATTGGATGATAAACAAATGGTCACTTAAAAGCCTATAAAAAATGGTGGATCTTTCCATGGCTAGAAATAAATAACCAGAGGGTAACTTGATTTTACGATCACACATCGAGATTTGACATGATTCAAGCATTAATGAACAAGGTGTTGTGGGTGGCGGGAATTTGTTTGGGTTCCCAAAATAGATGGATTGTATCCGTGTTCCAAGTGTATTCAAGCTAGATGAAGTTTTACATAGTTTTACTGTGGTTTATGTTTATTGATGTTTAATGTATAGATACATCATATCTATAAAGTTGAATGGTTGAACAGTAACCACCAAAGATACCCCGCAATCAAACATTGCTCGACAATTCCCCAGTTCCTTCGATGATTTTCCCACTACGACCTGCATTTGCATGGGGTTTTCCCATATTTTCACACATATCTGGTTGGTGGTGACTGGAACATGGAAAAATAGGGAAAATGGTGGTTTAATGGTGGTTTAATGGGCTTATGATGGCTGGTTGGTGGTTTGTTTTTGTTTTATTTTTCCATATATTGGGAATTTCATCATCCCAACTGACGAAGTCCATGATTTTTCAGAGGGGTAGGTCAACCCAGCAACCAGCATATCGTTTCCCACGATTTTTTTCCAGGTTTTCAAAGATTTCTCCTCCCATCAAGGAGTCGCGCTTGGTGATCTTTGGTGGTTGGGCCAACAAATGGTTGGACGACGTCTGGCAGATCAACGTCTCTTCCATTGTGGGGCCGCCCTATGCCATCACCAAGGCCATCGGATCGTAAAATCTGCAGTGGAACCCCCCCCATTTTTTTGCTGGGTAAATCGATGAGATCGATGGTTTCCTTATGTTTCAACGGAACACGTTCCGAAATGAAACCATGAGAATCCATCAAAGATCCATATTAAATTATAAAAATCCATGATAACTCCATATAACTCCATATACTTCATAGGTCTTTCACACCCCATAATTAGATCCCTATCTCAATGGCAAGTCATCCCCCCTGGCCGTCAGGTGGAGCCACCTTTGGGTCCGGTCACGGGGCAGATGAAAGTCACCATCTATGGTGTGGGTTTCCAGTCCACCAACGGCATGGCCCCTGGGCTGGTAAACCGGCCAGGCGAGGCGTTGAAACACCATGGGTTGTTGACCAAAAATATAGATGTTCCCCGTAAATTTTGTTAGATCATGATGGATAGAATGATATACTGTAGATAGTTGAATGATATGTCATTCTATTATATCTTATATAACAATGATAATATATACATATAAACATATGATAATGATATATCATTTTTATGATACTATATATATATATGTACCTAAAGGTCCCTGCCACATATATGTATATATATAAACATATGATAATGGTATATCATTTTTACAAATGAGCGTTGATCAGTAAACCATGAGAATAGTTTTGGATGTCAAAATCAACGGGAGTTGCCGTCACAAGAATCAAGGGTTCGACTTGGATTTCTCAGGTCTTGGGACATCACCAGACGTGGGTGGTATAAACCCGATATCATCAGACATGGGTAGTAACCCTCAAAATTTCTGGTGTATTATTGAGTTTACCGCATTTTTTTCTCATTCCAACATGAAATCATGTTTTCTCATAAACCATCCCCCAGTCCTCACAATAGATAGGTGGGATGGTTAGCATTACCAGTCATGGGTAAATGGGTAGTTTATTATTTGATTGGTGGTTTGGAACGTGAATTTTATTTTTCCACTCAGTTGGGAATTTCATCATCCCAACTGACTTTCACTCCATCATTTTTCAGAGGGATAGGTTGAAACCACCAACCAGATTAGCATGATTACCCTCTAGTAAACATACAAAAAACTATGGAAAACCACCATTATCCACCATTTTTTATGGGTAAATGGGTAGTTTATGGCCATAGTTATATCCATTACCACATAGTTTATATCCATAGTTGGCCATAGTTTTATCCATAGTTGGCCATAGTTTTTTTTATGGCCATAGTAAAAATGGCATTGTTTTCACCGTACATGACCTGAATTCCCCTGCTTTCGAGACAGCAGTTTGAATCGCGGATTTTTTTCGTTCTCTGCGGGATGATCCTAGGTTCAACTCATCGTTGCAACTGTTAGGTGTACATATATATATTATACATATATACTAAATGTATTATATGTAATTATATTATATATCATACCCACTCAGTCTTCGACAAAGTTTAACTGGGGCTTTCACAACGACAAAGTTTAACTTTGTCTTTGGAAGCGACATGTGTTTACTGGGCATTATCAGACCCAATGAGTACTAGTATAAATATATACCGGACTCCAGAGTTTCAAACAAATCCCACTCCAGACCCAGAGAGGGTGAAAAGTGCGTGAAACGACCGTGAAAAACCCGTGAAAAGACAGTGAAAAACCCGTGAAAACCAATCAAAAACTTGAGCATGGAAACCACATATGTTTATTCAGAATTTTGAGGATTGATTTACGGATTCGATTAGGCTCAGGGGAAAGGTCACCCTTTTTTGACTTTATATATATATATATATCAGCAGTCAATGAGTGTCTTTAAGTAAAGTCATGGTTTTACTTGGACGACAAAGTTTAACTTTGTTCTTGGAAGTAGTGGGATATAGTAATAATATATATATATATATATCTATTATGTACGAGGCTTAAATACCTGGAGTGAGCAGAAGTTCATCGAATCAATTGATTTGGATTTCCAAATGAACTCTGAAATTCCAAACGAAATTGACGATGCTCAGGTCATCATCGAGTTCTCCAGTGGCAAGTTGTCCGCCACCACCCAGGGAAATGTGCTGAACGACGAGGTCGCTGGGAAGCAACGGTGGGAAGTGGGTATGGCGTCTTGGAACGTCTTTTGGTGTTTTTGGCCATTTAGGGTTCCATGGTACACTGGTGTTCACATGAGAATTGCGGGTAAATGGATGTAAATTGATGTTGATGCTCCGAGATAAGGTTGAAATATATAGAAACCCATCTAAAACCTTGGAATAACTCAAGTGTGGTATCCAAGTATGGTTGTTGGAAGATGAATTCAAACACTCGTTTCGAAAAGACACCTTGCGGGTATTATCAAAATTAATGCAATTCTTTCTCGCAATGTAGCTTGAGCCAAGATTAATCACAATGAGTAGCTATCTATTTGCTTTGCGGCTCTTTACGTTCACTATTTACAACATGCAAACAGGCAAACTAGCTGACATGATCAGATAATCCTTGTAGCATCATTATATTTTTACATTCAACTTTTTCACATGTACTATGATGTACATAACTAGAAGGTGGTAGTATATAGATGTATATAGAAGTTGGGGAAATTCTCATAGCAACCGTAGTACTTGTGAACTATTGGTTCTGATCCCTTGTTTTCCACTTTCCTGTCAGATCAGTAACCGACCCCAAAGTCACCCGTCTTCACTGTGTTGGTTTGACCCATGGTTTTTCCCATCAAATATGGGGGCTTCATGGGGTTTCCATTTTTTTTTCCACCACTGGAAGCTTGGACGTTCGCCACTGTCCGTCAGGTCATTGAGTGCCTGACGCCCTCCGTGGCGGGCACCATTGGGCCCAAGGACTGCCAGGCCCCGATGGGTTTGTGGGGGTTATATCTATAGTTACCCGCTGGTAATTTAACATAGCTATTGAACATGACCATTTATAGTGGAATTTCCTATTGAACATGGTGATTTTCCATAGTTACGTTAGTTTACCAGAGGGTATATCTATAGTTAACGTTAATGGATGTTAATGGGGATTATAAACCAACTTATAACTGGGGGGCACCACCTTGCATGTTTGATATGTTTTTCTTAAGGTGTTGGCTATAAGATAACTCCAAGTCTCAACTGGTGAGATCGCAGATTTCAGACGAAATAGCTTATCACCTTTTGGTGAATTGTGACACGAGATCACTGGATGTTTCATCCCAATGCTTTTGTCAGTTGATGCTTTTGTCAGTTGCGGATTTTTTTCCACGAATTCGTGGCAAATCCCCAAAAAAAAACATCCCCAATAGAGCTTTAGTATGGTTTAAGATTGTTGGGTATACCCCTAAATCGCGTGTTGGGATTATGCCAGACCAGACCACCAGTCATTTAGCTGGTTTGGGATGGTTGCATTGGGTTTACTTCCTTAACTGGTGAATAATAGTTCATCATATTTATAAGATTTTATAAGTCAGTTATGGATCAGAACCCCACGTTAAACGGGGTGCTTCCCAGCACCTGGGAATCCTTATGTTTTTTTTTTGGATTTCTTGAAGATGTTGTTTTTTTGTTTAAGATGTTTCTTTCAATTTGTTCCATGGGAAATCCACTACGACTGGGGAATCGATGGAATTTTCTGTGATTTTTATTTTTTTTGGTTCCGGATCAGCACTTCTCGATCCGAAGAAACAGGTGAAAGTGCAGATCGGGCCTCGAGACTTCACAACCACTGTTGCGTTGCTTGGGATCGTTCGACTGGCGATGTCGTGGGGAATGGCTCGGATCATCCGAATCGGTAGGATCTCAGAGGGGTTGAAACCACCAACCAGTAAATGGTGATTGCCACGATATTTTTGATGATCAGAGGGTAACATGCCCCAATCTTACTCAAGTTTGAATGGAGCATTGGAAGACGTGTGCCGTGCTGGAACTGGTGAAATCGTCATGTTTTAAAAGCTCCATGGTGCTGGTATATTTACCCTCTGGTAATTTAACATAGCTATTGAAAATGGCCATTTATAGTGGATTTTCCCATAAAAAAATGTGATTGTCCACAGCTATGTTAAATTACCGAGGGTGATCTTAACTGGGTGATTTAAATGGGCAAATGTTGGTAAATATTCCAGCACCATGGAGCATATGGGATGTTATAATGAATCTTACATTGACTGAAAATTGACTCAAAATTGGAAGATGGATGCTATCGGAATTCAAAACAAATCAGGATGAAGCGATACAGCTTAACTTGACACATCTCCTAAGACTTCGCATGTGAGACAACGACCAGAAGCACCCGGCCACAAGGCTTTACTATGTGCTTTACCACTAGGTGGAGGTGTCTGAAAATGGGGTTAACCCCCAACATGGCGATGAACCGGAAACTGATGAACGGTTGAACCATCAATGTGTTTTTGTTTTTATGTTTTTTCTTATATAACACGTTTATATGTTTAGTCACACCAGGGCGCAAGCTCTTGAAACTTCAGACCTCGTCACAGAGATTCACAAACTGCCCCAGTTTGAACTCCCATTCTGAGCATGAGAAAAACGACTCCACCATATTGCTGAGATGTCACCACTTTCAAACTGATGCTAGATATTTTGATGATTTTAGATGTTTGGCTGCTAATCAAATGATGCAGTCACAAGCATAATAACATATAATTACAATGGTCAGATATCAGAACCACAATCCATTTGGACTGTTATCTCAGATATCTCCCCACAGTTGTTGCATTTTGTTGCCTTACTTTTTGATTATCTCTTTTGATCAAAATGGTGGTCACCAAAATAGGAAATAGTGACCGATGCTGCTCGGCTGAGGCACTATTCCTATTTCCTGAACTCCATCGCGGAGAAGTCGCTGTGCTTTGGCCCCGGCATTTTGCAGGACGGTTGGGAATGCTGGCAGATGCCGGGCGAACTGCAAGAAATTTGATGTGATTTCTGTGGAATCCTGTGTGTTTGTATGTTCCGCTTATAAAACACTAATTACGACTACGATACGCGTCTAGTATCTCAACATCTGGGACCCCCACATGCCCCAAATGTTTTGTTCCAATGGCACATGGCTGTGGCTCAAGACGACCATATTCAAGTTCACGACTGGTTTTGAACACCGTTACGAAGAAACATGAACTTCATGGAATCGGCGCAGAACGGCCCCCTTCCAGAGGAGCAACAGGCGAACGCCGAGACGCGCTTCATGATCCAGGTGGGATGGAAAAGCAGATCATGAAGTTTTGATCATGGTGGAGATTTACTGGTTGGTGGTGACTGGAACCATGGAATTTCATGACTTTCCATTCAGTTGGGAATGTCATCATCACTGACTTTCACTCCATCATTGTTCAGAGGGGTAGGTTGAAACCACCAGCCAGATTATATTATTACCCTTTATTCAACCTACAAAAAACCATGGAAAACCACCATTTTTTACCAACATTTTAGCATGGCATGCTACCAACAATTTTTTCCACAACACAAGTGGACTATCCAATGACCTCACATCGTGACGTCCCTGGAATAAAGCCATGCCATGATCGAAGGGGTGAATGGAGAAATCCCCCCATGATGACATCAGTTATATCAGTTATATACACCTCCAAAATACCCTCTGGTAAACTAACATAGCTATTGAAAATGGCCATTTATAGTGAGTTTTCCCATTAAAAATTGTGATTTTCCATAGCTATGTTAGTTTACCAGAGGGTACATCCAAAATACACGGTGGATGGTCCCAGTGATATGTTGCTTCATCATTTGTTTTACCCTCTTTTCTCGGTGGTGTTTCATATTTCAGGCTTTCGCAAAAATCTACAGTAATCCACCATTTTTTTGGGGGATTTCATCATCAAACATGGCAAAAAACATGTTACATTGTACTTATGAAACATCAGGAAAAATCATGTGGAGTCGAAGCATCAAGAAAAGGTTAAGGAATCCAACTCCGAAGCAAAATGTGGAAAAACGGGTCTGTCCGGTGGGGGGATACACCTCAACAATCGGACAAATTCTCATGGGGGAAGGTTCGCCATTAGTGGCCCCTATCAACCAGGGCAATTATTTTTGGGGGATCAACTGTTTGGAACATCATGGATTCGTGGATTCCCATGGAAACTTGGGGTACCCTCTGGTTGGTTATGACTAACAGGGCTAGCCATGGTTTGTCGATGGCCCTAATCGAAAGTTCGATGGTTTACCTGGGTTTACAAAACTTAAAAATGGCGATTTTCTTTCCATGGCGAACTGGCAATGTCATAACCAGAGGGTACCCAGGTGATTGAAATTTTGATCCATCACTCGCTACGGCGGCGATTCGAGGCTAGGAATCAGCTGGGCGAGAATCGCAAGTCGGGACGCGATGAGTTCATGGTGACGGTGCCTGACTGCATGCTGATGGTGTGATATCTAAACCTGGGTGAAGCTCGTGACAAAAACATGGTGAAACAATGGTGAGAATATCGGGTATATAATGTATTTAACTATAGTGTTAGTTACTAGAATTGAGCTATTTTGATGCGGGACGCATTGATACCCAGCTGAAATTTCACTATGGTGGTGACGGGAATCCATTGGGGAGGTATTGTGGCCCACCACCAGTCACCAATTGAGGTGGAAAGGCTACATTGTGCTCAAATTAAGGTACCCCTAAGCTAAATCCAGGGGGTATGCCTCGTTTCGAAACACACCCTGCAGTTTCTTGACATCCATTGGCTGTGGATCAAAATGATTGACTTTCCAAAAAGGATCTGAATGGAAGACATGATCGTTTTTACGTCGGTGGTTTCAGACATTTTCAGACATCTTTACTTTGAACCATAGAAGTAAAGGATGATGACATATGGAGGTTTCCTAAGTCATGGAGGCACCCCAAAGTCATCCAAGTTATTGCTTATAATTCCATCACCCTAATATTCAACACTGTGGAAATTCCCTATTAAATAGTTTCTAGGACTTTCCAGGGGGTGTTTGATATTAGGGGGAAGGGATTATTATCAATGGGAAAATCAAGGAATGTGGGTTAGGATGATCAAACACGACGATCTGCCAGAGACTTCCCATAACTTTCGGAGCTTCCTCGGCCACCATTCAATGGATTGCTTTACGGCAATATTTGCAGGATTTACCCATTTTTCATGGGAAAATCCATGGAACATCCATGGAAAATCCATGGAACATCCATGGACAAGTCCGGTTCAGGTGCTCCAAAAAAATCCCGTGAACCATCCAGCCTCGCGCATCGAAAAAGTCTCTCCGTCTCTCGCGCGCCTGGCAGGTGCAGCAGAAGGTCTTGAACGCCGAGGGCAAAGAAGTGCTGCGCGATGTGGCCTTTGAGCTGAACGATTTGAACGACGGCAAGACCGAGGTGCAGACGCCGTCAAGGGACATCTCTGGGTGTTCGTAGAGCAATGTCTTAATTTACCAGCCATATAAAACAGATTGCTTATGGTTTATTCAAAGCCATAAACATCTAGTGGTTTTTGGTGATTTTGGGCATTTTTTACTGCTTGAACCACAGAAAACCGTCGGTTTCTCTGGGTCAATTTGTGTGATTCGGGATGATTTCATCCCAAGAAACAAGCAGAAGAAATGTCAGTCTCCAAACTCCATCATTGCTGCTGGATCAAGATGTGATCCCAAAAAGTGTGGTGTTCCAGAGAACTGGAACTTTTTTTGGACCGGAACAGCGAGGTAATTCCCGGATTTTCCAGGAATTTCCCAGGCAATGCACAGATTCTGTCGCATGATTCATGTCAATGAGTAGCAGTGGTGATCATCAAACATCATCAAACCATACTTAAGGTAGGACCATGTGGGACCCCAAGGCCCGTTCTGTCCCGTTCTGTTGCTTGGTTTGTGGCCGCATTGGCGCCACACCTTGTCCAATCCCTCCGAGGGAGAACATGGGATGCCACGTAGCAGAGTTCATCAGTTCATAGCGTAGCTGGCACATTGTTCTGTGATGTTGTTTTTTATCATGCATATGAATCAATACTCACAGAACAATTGTTCTGTTTTTGGCACATCAGGATCATGAATGATTTTTCGTACAGTACTTATCAACGTTACTGCTTGGGTCATCCATCGTCCAGCAGGTGAAGTACATGGCTGACGAGGGTGAGTCTCTTGGGACGGATTCATCATGGCGAGTCGAATCCTGTTGGAATGTGGGGAAGATTCAAGGTTCGATAGCCAATTCAGTTGGTGAACATATGGGTATGTCTGAAAATGGGGTATACTCCCAATTATAGCCATTTAGTAGGGATAATGATCATTAAACCGAGGAAAATGGTGATTTAATAGATCAAGACTTGGGAATTCACTTCGAAAATACCCTCTGGTAAACATACAAAAAGCTATTGAAAATGGACCATAGAAATAGTGGATTTTCCCATGAAAAATGGTGGATCTTTCCATAGCTATGTCAGTTTACCCGAGGGTAGCTCCAATTTCACTATGGTTTATGGTATTTATAACTATAGTTACTGGGGTTTATAAACCAACTAACATCACTGGGGGGGCCACATTGTAGTCTATCAGTATCAGGAATTCTAGGTGGGGAAGATGATTATCCATATGATAATGTGTATAATTCCATACTTCAAGATGATTATATTATACATTTAGAATCATTTAGATATGTATCAGTATTAATATTATTTTTATTGTTAGTCCTTGCCTGGGTGATGATCCCTAATTGGGTCAATATTGTTGAAACTACCAACTTGTTCGTATATCATTCTATTTTTGTCGGACCATCAATGTCAACCTTGATAAACATGTGGATTGTTGATTGTTCACCACAGGATAGGCTTCTCTGCTGGTTTCATGTGTTTTTTTTTCTTTGGTTGGTTTTCAATTTGTTTCTCATGACTACATCAGATACCCTCTGGTTATGACTAACATAGCCATGGTATAGATGGCCCATAGAAAGTTCGATGGTTTACCTATTAATAGCATGGTGGATCTTTCCAGTTCGCGAACTGTTAGTCAGAACATGTCATAACGAGATGGTAATTACAACCCACATATGCACAGAATTGAAATCACCAAACGAAAATGACAGGAGATGCACAAAACAGGTGATTTGTCACAGAAGTATGGCAGCGTTGACTTTGCCCTGACTCTATAAGATCCCAGATGCTTAAAAAAACTGGCTGCAATGCGACTTTCGAATTATTCTGGTCGTTGTAGCAATTGAATAAGCTTGAAGAAAGAACAGTTGTTCAGGGTTTGGTCCATACATGGGTTTTTCATATGTTATCTCAAGATTTGAATCCCTATATGATACCCATAGGATCCATGTATGCTATATATGGTAACATTTACCATCAATATACCCCAAATGTTAGCATATATACCATACATGGATCCTATGGGATATGATATTGCCCTAAAGTTGACTCGAAACCATGACCATGACGTTGGCCTAAAATCCCATCGGCTTTTCATGCTTCAAAGACAATCTTTGGGTGGGTTTCGTGTGAAATCCTCCCCATATTTTCCTCCCAAAATAGAACAATCCTCATATGTTCCAGAATCACCAACTGGTTGGTGGTTTGGAACATTTTTTATTTTTCCATTCAGTTGGGAATTTCATCATCCCAACTGACGAACTCACTCCATCATTGTTCAGAGGGGTAGGTTGAAACCACCAACTAGCCAAGATTTTCCTCCATATCTCCCCATACTTTTCCAAACAAATCACAAAAATAGAACAATCCTCATTCCAGAATCACCCAGATGTTCCTCCATATCTCCCCATATTTTCCAAAAAAAACAGATTTTCCACAAAAAAAACAAGATTTTCCCATTCCCATGGATTCCCATGGAGTTCCCAGGCTGGTGATCCACGTGAAGCTCATGGATGAGAACGGAAAGCCACGCCCCATTCGCGGATCGCCCTTTCGGCCCACCTTGACCAAGCGCCAGGGCGGCAGCCACGGCATCGCCGGGCATCATGGTAGGGATGGTGGTGACAACTGGAGAATGGAGGTTTTTCATGGTCTTTTGATGATATGGGTTTAATGGTTTTATAATGTTTTATGATGATGTTTTATAATGTTTTATGATGGTTTAATGGTTTTATAATGTTTTATGATGGTTTAGAATTGTTTGATAATGTTTTATGATGGTTTAGAATGGTTTGATAATGTTTTATGATGGTTTATAATGGTTTTATAATGTTTTATGATGGTTTATAATGGTTTTATAATGTTTTATGATGGTTTAGAATTGTTTGATAATGTTTTATGATGGTTTAGAATGGTTTGATAATGTTTTATGATGGTTTATAATGGTTTTATAATGTTTTATGATGGTTTATAATGGTTTTATAATGTTTTATGATGGTTTAGAATTGTTTGATAATGTTTTATGATGGTTTAGAATGGTTTGATAATGTTTTATGATGGTTTATAATGGTTTTATAATGTTTTATGATGGTTTATAATGGTTTTATAATGTTTTATGATGGTTTAGAATTGTTTGATAATGTTTTATGATGGTTTAGAATGGTTTGATAATGTTTTATGATGGTTTATAATGGTTTTATAATGTTTTATGATGGTTTATAATGGTTTTATAATGTTTTATGATTGTTTATAATGGTTTTATAATGTTTTATGATTGTTTATAATGGTTTTATAATGTTTTATGATGGTTTATAATGGTTTTATAATGTTTTATGATGGTTTATAATTGTTTTATAATGTTTTATGATGGTTTACAATGGTTTTATAATGTTTTATCATGTTTATAATGGTTTTACTAGGGACGGTGCTACCCGGGGATTACTAGGGATACGGTTTTAATTAATGGTCTTTTGATTTTGGTTTTATAATGTGTATCTGATGTTTCATGTGATCAAAATGGTTTTATCATGTTTTCCATGTTTTATATCATGTTTCATATACGGTTTACATCAGTTTACCAGGGATAATCATCATGGATTCTGGATGTTTCTGGTTTGTTTGCCATGGCACGGATTCCTGGATTCCTCCACCTGCTGAGGATGGCCCGGAACCGCGCCAATGAGTACTCAGGAGCTCAGTTCAAGGGGCACGCTCATCGATTAAAAGAGGAGATTTTCTGAAAGAAATGATGAGATATTCATATGGGGAATCCCAGTTTTCGGATTCCATATATATATAAATATAAATACATACATACATACTGTGTATATATATACATATATGTACACATATATATATAATAATCTGTATATTATATATACACAATTTTTGGACCATAGAACTCATAATTCATTCCGATGGGTGCTCACTGACACACTGGCATGGACTGGACCACAATGCGACCGAAATAGAATGCGGGCTGGCAAAGCCGGGCACAAGATGATTTTTTTTTTTGCCTATGTTTAGATGGATTCTGCACGTTTCGTTTTTGTTCTGAGACCTTACTTGACGTGATTTGCCCAAAGTAGAAAGAGACGTATGAGACGTTCTGAGGTTTATCTACTCAAAATATGGAAAGCTTTGATATTGAAGATTATTTGGAGTATTCAAGTGTATCATCTCTGGTTAGTGGTTTCACACACGTTAATTTTTTCGATCATAGAAATTGGATGATCATGCGCAATGACGCGCATTTTTTGATTAGACATTAATTGCAAGACAAAGTTGTTAGACAACAATTGGATGATTATGAATGTCAATTTTAAGATTATGCCCTATTCATTTCTATCAATTATCCTCTGGTAATTCAAGATAGCTACTGACCCATTAAATCCCTACTCAATTCCATTAAGATCCAATCAAATCCCTAAGAAATCCCTATGAAATCCCATCAAATCCCTGTAAATTGCATCAAATCCCTATGAAATCCCTATGAAATCCCATCAAATCCCTATTAACATATGTTGTTAAAATCACATTCAATCCGGCATCGCACATCGTGGACAGGACCTGTGGTGACCGCCTGGTTGGGCACCACATTGAAGAGTCTGGATGAGTTGCTTGACAATACATATATATATATATGTATATACTTATATATTATAATATATATAATATATATATAGGTCTCTATCTATATATATATATATATATACATATATATATATATATATACATATATATGTTTGGATATATGTAATGCCAAGTTCGTAACATTTCACCAATAATATATGTATGTTATGTATTAATACAAACACTGTATATTTATAGTGGATATAATGGGATAATTGGAATATATAGCATGGTGGTTATATACAATATATATATATTATAGTATGAATGCATGTATGCAAATGAGATATTAATATAATATGCATGTATGTAAATGATATATATATATATATATATCCCCAAATTCGCATGTTTTAACTAGGGAACATGATGATAATCCATTGGAATTGGGGATATTCTTTTTTACCTTCTACTTGTAACACCATTGCTATACCCGGCCTGGTAAACAAACAGTTAGCGAACTTGAAAATGGTCATAGAAATAGTGAGTTTTCCCATTAAAATTGGTGGATCTTTCCATAGTTATGTAAACGTTTACCAGAGGGTAATAGAGCCTAACAAGCCATTTGTCCCTACTTTGTAAGTGGTCAATAACCATATTTAAGATTGCATAACCCAGTTATATATATATATACATTGGATAAGCCCACAAAGGGGGGGGACCTAACTATATGTATATAGAGTTGGTACAAAACCAGTTACAGAGTGGGATGATCCTGGAAGTTGAATGTGTCTCGCAGAGTTACGACATGTTATACGGTGTTGTTTTAATATAAACCCGATGAAGTATAGTTATATTACCCATAAACATCCATACACCATAGTTAACCAACTTATAAGTCAACTTAACTATCAACAATGGGGGCCTCACCTTGCAACATGATGCAACATGTCTGGAAGTTAAGTTTCTATACTCAAACAATGTGTTTTCAAGCGTACAAAGTTGGGATCGTTGTTTCTGAGATGATTCTTGCAATCTCATGCAAACATGTTTTGTGGATGGATTTGAACAAAAACAGCTTACCCTCTGGTAAACTAACATAGCTATGGAAAATCATAATTTTTAATGGGTAAATCAACTATTTCAATGGCCATTTTCAATAGCAAACTGTTTGTTTACCAGAGGGTAAACACTTTACTTGTGACATGATGGCTAAGAATGGTGATTTCATGGCCAAAAATGGTGGATTTCATCTGCTATTTCACCACATATGTGGTGTTTTGCCGATTGACCTGGCAAATGCAGCATGGTTGAATTGGCGCAGTTTTAAAAAACGGCTGAAAAGCTATGTCCGAAGAGCAACGCCCATAGATTTAAGTTGCTTCCAGTTGGTTCCAAAGTCTTCCAAAAGTTCCGGTTTTTTGAGGTTTAGATACTCTTCCATAGTAAATGAAATGGCCAAGTCAACTCCCCTCTTCCTACGTTGTCCATTGGCATTCTCGGAAAATAGGATACCTCCGTTCCATCCACGGGTCAAAGCCATCATGTTCCCGATTATTTGGCCATAAATTGGTACTATGTTACTGTATAAATGCGAATTTTCAGACACCTATTTATATAAGTCCATTCTTCATTGCTTAAAGCCAAACAAAAACAGAGAGAAAAAGGTATGTCAGGCCGTCAGGCCAACATGTTCACCAGATTTTACAGGTTCAACCACGATCTTCACCAGAAATTGATGGGGACATTTCCGGGAGAAAACTCAGGTTCTATCAGACCACCAACACTGGGCATCAGACGAAGTTGAAGGAAGGTGACGTAGCCCAGCAGCAAGGAAGGCTTCCAGGTCGTGGAATCATGTGGGTTGTGATGGGGTCGATGCACTGAGATATCATAACCAAGGGATGTCATAAATGTGTTGTCAGCATTACAGTCATAAAAACAGCCTAAAACTTAAGTTCTATTTCATATTCTATATAACAAAGTAACAAAGTTAATTATGTTAAGTATGGTTATATTATGTTATATGAACTTGGGCTACTTTTCCCATGATGTTCCTCGATGATTTTGGTGCAGCTTCAGGAAGCCCTTTTTTTGAACCATATTCCCAAGAGATTTTACGGATTAAAATGTGTTTTCCCAATAGATTTTATATGATTTTATGGATTTCACGATAGTTTCCCATCATATTCAAATCCCGAATAGATTCCGCACAGTAGTGGATTTCCATGGGATTTTCTATGATCTATGGCAGACATATAACACATCAAAATATATTCACTCCAAGATAAGGATGGTTAAATCTCAATTTCGTTCCATGATTTTCGCTAGAAAGCTCCATTTAGTGGATATAGTGGATACTTTAGGGATTGCCCTAGAAACGTCCCATGATTTTCCCATGATTTTCCCATGATTTTCCCCATGAAGTTCCAGGTTTTGCCACAAGTGTTGGATCCGGCAGATCGCGAGGTCATGAACTTGATCAAGGTCATGAACCACATCAAGGCAACCATCGCGATGATCGCGATGGCGATGTGGGTCAAACGTACTTAAGGGTACCCCAAGGGTACCCCAAGAAGAGCTGGTGAATACCTGGTTTTCATAGACTTAACATCATAGATTTCATAGATGTCCGGCTTTCCCATTGGTCGATTTATAGAGGGGTTTGATGATAGATCTGATAGATGGTATACCAGTCACCGGCCCCCCTATTTTTACCAAAAGGACATAGACTTGCTTAACATAGACTTAACATCTGTTGTTTTTTCCCTCCAGGTGTTGAATTTTCACCCAATTTCTCGGGATTTTACCATTTGAACCAGTCGAGTTTTTTCAGCTGGTGGCCAGGACATGTACGACCAGCAGGATACCCTGATCCTCAGACAGGACCGATGTTCCAGAAGTTCACTGCATTCACCGACTCCTTAAACTCGTCGGTTGCCGAGTTTGTCTGGGCATTTACCCTCTAGTTATTTAACATAGCCATGGTATAGATGGCCCATAGAAATAGATGGTTTACCGAACTTAAAAATGGCGGATCTTTCCATGGCTATGTTAAATAACCAGATGGTATTGCATTCCCTAAATTTTCAACAGTTTAGACAGGTAAAAACCCATCATTTTCCCAGACTGGCCAAGCTTGGATTGTTTTTCACTTTTTTTTGGCAGATTTCAGGGTGGGATCGGTTCGGTTCGGTTTCGGTTTCCAGGAACTGGTGAATTTCCGGTTCCCGGTTCGGTTCGGTTCGGTTCCTCGGGATATAATTTAAAAAACGGTTCGGTTCGGTTCGGTTTCCGGTTCCTAACCGGTTTGGTTTCTGGTTCCTAACCGGTTCGGAGTAAGTCATGGTCTTGGTATTTGCTTTTTACGGCCATTCAAAAAAGCAAAACATGTTCCCAGTTAGTTGGTTGTTATGATTCATGTCAAGGACACGTTGCGTCAGGTGGACCTGGTCGTGGAGGCTGTTTTCGTTTTTCTAGGCTGCCAAAAAAGCAAATCCAACACGAGAGCACAAGGGTTGTGCTTGTGCTTTGCATAGGGGTTGTGCTTTTTCTTTTTTGTGGCTTTCGAAAAAGCACATCCAATACGAGGGCACCAGTTTTTTTTGCTTTTTTGGGGCTTCCAAAAAAAGCAAATGCAATAAGAGGGCACAAGGGTTTTGTTTTTGCTTTTTTGGGGCTGCCAAAAAAGCAAATCCAATAGGAGGGCACAAGGGTTGTATTTTTGGTTTTTGGGGGCTGCCAAAAAAGCAAATCCAATAGAAGGGCACAAGGGTTGTGTTTTTGCTTTTTTGGTGCTTTCAGAAAAAACAAATCCAATAGGAGGGCACAAGGGTTGTGTTTTTGCTTTTTTGGGGCTTCCAAAAAAGCAAATCCAATAGGAGAGCCCAAAAAGCAAATCCAATAGGAGGACACAAGGGTTGTGTTTTTGCTTTTTCGGTGCTTTCAGAAAAAAACAAATCCAATAGGAGGGCACAAGGGTTGTGTTTTTGCTTTTTTGGTGCTTTCAGAAAAAGCAAATCCAATAGGAGGGCACAAGGGTTGTGTTTTTGCTTTTTTGAGGCTTCCAAAAAAGCAAATCCAATAGGAGAGCCCAAAAAGCAAATCCAATAGGAGGACACAAGGGTTGTGTTTTTGTTTTTTTGGTGCATCCAGAAAAAAACAAATCCAATAGGATGGCACAAGGGTCTTGTTTTTGCTTTTTTTGGGGTTCCAAAAAAGCAAATCCAATAGGAGGGAACAAGGGTTGTGTTTTTGCTTTTTTGGTGCTTCTAAAAAAAACAAATCCAATAGGAGGGCACAAGGGTTGAGTTTTTGCCTTTTTGTGGCTGCCAAAAAAGCAATCCCAATAGGAGGGCAGAAGGGTGTTGTTTTTGTTTTCTTCTTTCTTGGGCTTCTAAAAAAAACAAATCCAATAGGATGGCACAAGGGTTGTGTTTTTTGTTTTTGTGGTGCATCCAAAAAAAACAATAGAAGGGCACAAGGGTTGTGTTTTTGTTTTTTGGGGGGCTTCCAAAAAAAACAAATGCACTAGGAGGGCACAAGGGTTGTGTTTTTTCGTTTTTGGTGCTTCCAGAAAAAACTATAGGAGGGCACAGGGGTTGTGTTTTTCCTTTTTTGATGCTTCAAAAAAACAAGTCCAATAGGAGGGCACAAGGGTCGTGTTTTTGTTTTTTTTTGGGGTGGGCTTCCAAAAAAAACAAATCCAATAGGAGGGCACAAGGGTTGTGCTTTTTGCTTTTGTGGTGCTTCCACACAAAAAAAAAGTCCAATAGGAGGGCACAAGGGTTATGGTTTTGCTTTTTTTGGGGCTGCAAAAAAACAAACCCAATAGGAGGGCACAAGGGTTGTGTTTTTGCTTTTTTGGTGCTGTCAGAAAAAACAAATCCAATAGGAGGGCACAAGGGTTGTATTTTTGGTTTTTGTGGGGCTTCCAAAAAAAAACAAATCCAATACGAGGGCAGAGATTGAAGGGAACGTTTGCTTGAGAGAAACAAACAGAGCACATGCCGGCGGTTCGCATCCGGTTCCTCCCTCCGGTTCGTCCGGTTCGGGAGCTTATTTTATACATTAGCGGTTCGGTTCGGTTTCCCAACTGCCGGTTTCTGGGCGGTTTCCAGTTCGCGCGGTTCGGTTCCCGGTTCGCGGTTCGGTTCGCGAACCTTCCTGAGATTTCTGGAGCACAATTCCGACCCGCAAAAAGGAGTTGAAACTTGAAATCCACCATTTTTCATGGGTAAAACCAGCACGTTTCAACCATGGTCACCATGTTCCATGACCGTTTTTTTCTCATCTCAGGTAAAAAACATCTTAAAGCCCTAAAAAGACCCTACGTATCTTTGATGCTTCAATTTTGGATGTGTAAAACCATTTGTAAAACCACCATTTATCCCCAACATTGTTCTTTTGTAAAACTTCAGTTTTTTTTCCGAACCATCTTCAACTATCTTCAACCACCATGATTTTTCCATCTTTTTCCTGGTAGCATCCATGGTTTCCCCAGGTTTTTCCTGGTGATTTCCAGGACGAAGTGGTGGAAACCTTGGCCCAGTTGGAGCGTGAAGGATTGCCCAGCGACAAACAGCTGAAGCAGCTGAAGAAGATCGGCGCCACGGATGGCGGGTGGAGGATTTTCGCGGATTTTTCCCGGTGGATGGGGGATTTTCCATGATGGGTACCCTCTGGTAAACTAACATAACTATTGAAAATGGCCATTTATAGTGAGTTTTCCCATTCAAAATGGTGATTTTCCATAGCTATGTTAAATTACCAGAGGGTATGTCATGGGGATGTCATGAGATATAGAACTTGTATAACTATAAGATGTTTGGTACCCGGCCTGGTAAACGTTTACAAAAAACTATGGAAAAATCCAGCATGTTGGAAAATTCACGAACTGAATGGCCATTTTCAATAGCGAACTGTTAGTCATTACCAGAGGGTAGTAGATGGATGGGGGATTTCATGGGGAAACCAATAGGGATTATCATAGGGCTAATTATGGTGAGTATTTTCCCACGGGGATTCCTGTATAAATATATATCCCCTTTATATATATCTATACACATGATAATAGGAATCTATGATTCATAGTCGATCCCAGTAGAGCCCAATACAGTTTTTTTGGGGATTCTCATGGGGATAGAATGATTATAAAGAGGATATAATGACTATAATGGGAAAGTAGACCATAATAGATCCCTATATGGAGGTTTCCATAAATGGAGGATCCCCAATAGCTGGATGGTTTATAATGGAAAATCCTCCCCAAAAATGGATGATTCCCAGTAGATTCAGTGGATGGATTCTCATGGGGATATCATGGGGAAAGCATTCGGAAAGCATCATGATTACATCCCAATAGGGATTATCATAGGGAGATCCTATTGTGGCGTTTATATGATAATAGGAATCTACTGATAGATTATTTGTTTTTGGAATATATATATATATAGTAGATCATTGCATAGATCCCAATAGGGAAATTATTCCAAGTAGATCATGAACATCATTAACCATCGGAACTTATAGTAGTCGTACCCCAAAATGGATGCTTTATACTGGAAAATGCGTAGATAAGATGGATGATTTGGGGGTACCCCCATGACTTAGGAAACCTCCACATAGATATGAATCAGAATGTATAGAAGAATATCTTTGTATTTACAAAAGCTTGGACTCTGATTAGTTAAGTGAATACAGTTATAGTATGTTCTAGTTAAGTGACTACGATCAATAGGAAACTTATTGTCAGTATTACTCAATTAACTAAGGGAAGATTGTGGTGTTTAAACCCAGTACATCCTCTATTCTACAAGGCGAGGTCCCCCAGTTCTGTTTGTTGCTTTATACACCCATTCAGTAGTGACCCAACAAACCACAGAATTCACCAAGTTCCGAGCCAACTCAGCTATCCTAAGCGGGGGGCCTCACCTTGTACCTTTCCTTTAGATGGTGATGGATTGATTTCGGCGACGAAAAAAATTAGTCCCTACAAGGTGGTGCCCCCAAGATAGCTAAGTTGGTGAACATAACTCCAATAACTATGGTTTATAGGTGATATATCTATAGTTAATGGGCTTATAAACCAACTTATAACTGGGGGGCACCACCTTGTATACAATCTAGAAATGTCGGCTGTGGCTGATTTTTGTTGATGGCAGAACTGATTTGCCACCCCCAAAAACAAGCCTAAAAGAGGTTCTCAACCACCATCAACACCGATTAAGGCCTTCTTTAAACCCCTGGTATTGGGATGGTTGGGTGGGCTAGTAGCCGAATGAATATACAATCTAGACATTTGTACGTAATCTTAACCAACAATGTTATACACACATTATCTATATACATGCATACATTATTGCAACATGTATGTCATACATATTGCAATAATGTAATGTATATAGATATTTCAATGCTAGTATGTATGCATGTGTATATATATATACATATGTATTCATCTATACATATTTAGCATATGTGCATACACTTAAATTACAGACCAGCGTCTGCGGTGGCTGAGGTGCCAACCTGGTACAGTTGAAGCAAGATATCGTGGCGAAGGAGAAGGAGATTCAACCCATGGTGCAGAAGGAAATCTGGCCGAAACGTTGATATCTGAGGTTACCAACAGTTTGCTATGGAAACTAATCATTTTTAGTCGGGAAGTCAACTATAAATGAGAATTTCCAATAGCTATGTCAAATTACCAGAGGGTATCTTGGTTTTGAACCACCATTATCGACTATAACATCCATCATCATCATCATCATCATCATCACCATCATCATCATCATCACAATCATCATATTGATCTTCATCTTTATCTTCATCATCATCATCATCAAGTGGTATCAAAATAGGATGTAAACGTAAACATCACTTTCATAGGTTTAATCACCAGCAACATGAAGATGTAGAGTTCAAAAGCCCATCTAACGCACATATGTATAATATATATATATATACACACACACTGTGAATCCCTTTCTCAATTAGATGCATATTATGTGTTTGCACATACACATATGTATATAAACATAGTTGTATATGCAAATCCCTAGATGAGCAGGGTTCAAAACTGTTGTTGATGGATCATTATATGGGCTTATACTATGCGATACTTTTGGGACTCTCACAATCCAACATCACATCAAAGTAATTGGTTATTACTAGATATTACCTCTACTGGTTGGTGGTTTGGAACATTTTTCATGTTTCCATATCATCCCAAGTGACTTTCATATTTTTGAAGATGTTTAACGGTTTGCGAACTGGAAGCCATGGCCAATTCAGCTCGATGATTTACCTATAAAGATATGGTGATTATTACAATAGCTATATTACCAAAGGTTAGTTTTATGTAGATGCGTGTGTGTGATTTTTGTGGTATGTTGTTTTTGTTTTTTCTTATTGTTGATCATTCTATCACTATTAGTCTTGTTGTTGTTTTTGTTCCTATTGTATCTATTGTTATTGTTGTTATTATTGTTTTTCTTTTGATGTTATTTCTTAGTTAGTGCAAACTGGTTGGATATAGGCTAAAATTCTGGAAATCGATGAGCACAATATTCTGATTGAACCAATAAAGGTCGGAATATGATGGAATATGCTCAATATTTTCCATTTTGTAGGAACCGTGTTCGATGGTTTGCAACCGTTGCTGGTCCCTGGCACTACTTGCTTGCATATTGAATTAGAGGTGATAGAATGTGAGAACGCTGTCCTGTGGACTGAAATGTTTTGTTGAGTCAGATTCAAATTGGGGGAATAACCCACAAACATGAAGATAAATGGCGAACATGCTTATATGAGACCCAACTAGTTATATCCCATTATACCATAGTTATATGTAGTTATATCTCATATAACCCGACTAGATTACAATTATACCCAACTAGGGAACGGCGCTGAGAGGCGCCTGGTGGTTTTAAGGGGGGTTGCGTGCACTTCCCAATTCAACTGCGCATGCAGCCTTGCACGCCTGTTTTTTCACTTCTCAAAAACTACTTCAACCATGGAACAATTTCAACGTAACATGAACATGAACGTTAATATCCCACCCCATGATCAAACAAAAACAGAAAAACGCAAAAAACACTAAACATCACCAAAAAAACAACAAAACGCCCAGTCGCCCTGCAGCGCCCATGGCAACTAGTTATATCCCATTCTACCATAGTTATATCTCATATAACCCGACTAGATTACAATTTTATACCCCGTTTTTTCTCCACCGGCCGCCATTTTACCCAAGGAAAGCGAATTCTACAAGAAGGCCGAATTGCCGCCGTTTTTTTTGCGGATCGCTCCGGTCATCAAGGGTTTCAATACTCAAAGCATCAAAGATCCCGGAACTGAATGGAAGTTCTAATGGGAAGATCATCGGACAAATTAAGGGAACATCATGGACACATATAGGAAATTATAGAAAAATCATAGACAATTCCATTATAATCCACTTTTTGTGCAGGGATGAAGTTCGCTGGGAACATCATCGAACTAAATGGTGGATATACCGGGCTATTTTAGGATGGGAGTTTACGAGTTTCTGTCTTGGAGGGCTTGCTATAATGTCAGAGCAGTTTTGCGCTGGCTGACTCTTGTGTAGCTCGCAGTTCCTCATAAAGATTCAATCAAACCCAGTTTTCAGAGTGACCATCTGGTAATCAACCATGACAACCTCAAATCATCCAATTTGGTTGATGAATTCATGATTTACCAGTTGAACATCGCAGATTTTCAGTTGACGAAGCGCGGCGGAGCCAGTTTATGTCAGGATTGACAACCAAATCTTTGTTGGTGAAGGATATCCTCCAAGCTGCGCAAGCTGCAGGGCATTGCAGACTTTGAGAACGAGCTCAAGACGTATCAGGGCGGTCTCAAGAAGGAGGCGTACTACTTCTACAAGAGACACTTGGACAAAAAAAACATTGCGGATTTGTTCAAAGCAACTGAGAGACTCATGGTTGAAAATGGTTGTAAATTTATGTCAATGTGGCTATGGATCAATACCTATAGATACATTTTTAGTGGGTTATTCACATCCATAAATCCCAGCTATGACTTGGGGTTCACTAGGTACCAGGGTTTTGACCCATCCCCATGTTACTTTCCTATCATTTTCTTTGGTGTTTTTGTCCAACTCCCCCCATGGTTTTTCCAAACTGCGAAGCGCTCTTAGGCGGTCTGGAGTTGGCCCAGAAGCGGCTGCAGGATGTGACCACCGACCTGGATAACTTCGACAAACGCATGGATGACCTGCTGCACATCGCCACCAACTTCAACTACCCTGAGGAATCGGGAAAGTGCCAGCGGTTTTTGTTGGGGTCATCAATCCATAGGCTTATTCCTATGGGATCCTATGGAGAATAGGGTTTTTCCCCAGTTCAAATGGATCATTTTCCCTATGAAATGCATTTCGTTGTCTGAAAAAATCGGGTTTTTCCCCAATTCGAATGGATCATTTTTTCCTATGACATGCATAATATTTATGAGTATCCCCTATTTTCAGAGAAACCCATATCAATCCATGTTCAGTTCGGGATTTTAACATATCCATGATGTTTAGAGTCATTGGTGGGTTAACGAATTCAACTCCTTGAGGGGTTCAATCTTTCCACATTTTCCGGTACCAAGCTTTTTGTCCTCTCCCATTTGGTTGATGAATAGAGGTGTGTGTTGAGGTTTTTTAAACTCCAATAACTATGGTTTATAGGTGATATATCTATAGTTAATGGGCTTATAACCAATTTATAACTGGGGGGCACCACCTTGCATAAGTGATGAGAAATGGCAAATGATCCAAACATGGTGGTTACCAACAAAGATGGGTACATAAATATGACAACACAATGGGGATCTCACGGTTTTTCCATGGGAAATTCATGGGATGCACTTGGTGGTATAGCCAGGCTACTAGCCGAAAGGTGGGGATGCTTTCTTTGTCAAGAAAAAAAAGGATGTTATAAATACCCTCTGGTAAACTAACGTAGCTATGGAAAGATCCACCATTTTTAATGGGAAAACTCACTATAAATGACCATTTTCAATAGCTATGTTAAATTACCAGAGGGTAACATTAAATAACTGTATAGTGTAGCTGACCAAATGGGGTACAGTATTTCTATGAGTATTTAACTTCCAGATATGAATGCACATGTCAAACTGAAGAAATGGGTGATTATAGGCACTCAAGCTGGCCAAGTGAGGTATAAACGGGGACTTGACCAGCCAAAACAAAATAACTGATGTATGAAACGGAAACACTACAGTAGCTTTTTTTTCGACACATGGTGCAGAAAATACGCAGGATAACTGGAAAGTCTCCGAGGTGAAATTTTGTTCATCTTCCATCCCTCAAACGAATGAACTGACTCAAATTTTTAGAGGTGTAGCAGACATCACCAGACTGAGGGTTGAGATCGTTTGCGTTTTCACCAAACGGGATTCGAAACTCTTGAAAATCATTGGAGAGTTAACTCGACGATTTTGGGGAGCGTTTGGAAGTCTTTGATTGATGGCAAGCGCGTCAACTTTGACTCATTTTGACTCGTTCACTCAGAATCATCCAGAAGATGAAACAAAACAAAGATCCTCCCTAACATGGACTTTGAGATGTCTTCAATCTGATCTTCTTGGGATGCGTCCAATGCTGTTTTCTATTTGGGTGTGTCTGAACATGGGATATACCACCCAAATGGATCCAACAATGGCAATTTTATGACAGAACAACATGATGAACCCGTGGACGGAATGGGTTTTTCCATCTTTATCCTCCTCAAATCATCATAAACTTTCATAAACTCCAACAAAAACCATCTTACACCACCATTTGCTCACCATTTTTTAAAGCTATTTCTGTTGTTTCCTTACTGAAAACGTTGTCCCAGAAGCCGATGGCAGGAGTTGAATAACTCCAAGAAGATCATGGTGGCCATGAGGGAAGATGTGGCCAACTGCGCCTTGGGCGCCATCTGGGAAGATTCGGGGCGCCATATGAAAATCATGGGAGCTATGGTCAATACTCATGGTTAATAACCATTAATAGGGGCTAGTCATCCAATGGTTCATAGGGATTTATAATAACCATTATAAGGATCCTTATTATGGATGGGATGACCATCAACCATATAGTGAGTATTGACCATGGCTCATGGGAAGATGCTGAGGGATTTGTTTTTTTTCGGGAGCATTGATGCACATTTTGATGCTTTTGCCTATTCAAAAATCGATTGATCACTTTGACGATCATGAATATTTTTTGTTTTTCCATTGGGAATTTCATCATCCCAACTGACGAACTCATATTTTTCAGAGGGGTTGAAACCACCAACCAGTTTATTTTTCGGGGTTGAATGAGTTTTTGGGATGTTCTCCCTGAAACTCACGATGTGTTTTTCTGGTTGAAGGATTGTTCACCATCCGATGGTGAAAAATTACTGTGAAGTTCCAACCTTGACAGTTGAATTCCCTGCCATTTCACTGTGATAGTGACAGGTCGACCCTCCATTTATAGCAGAGTTTCCCAGAAAACACCAACCATTCTCCCATGAAATAGATCATTCTCCCATCGTTCTCCTCATTTTGTCCCCTTGGTTTTGCCCTTCGCCCAACTCATCGTTGCCGTTGTGCCCACGGTGGGCTGATCCGAGGCAAAGGGCTTTGGGAGTTCGAAGTGCAGAGGATCAAAGTCACCGAAGGTTTCCTGGTGGTGCGCTGGGGCCAGGTATCTCGGCCTGCGAGACGGCAGGATGCGAGACGGGGAGAGGAAGGAAAAAACGAAGACATGCAAAAAAACACTTGAAAAAAGACGTGAAATTAAAAAACATGAACCAATATTTAATTTCATATATATATAATTTATAAAATAATTTATATTGATATAATATATTTATATAATATTACATATATTGATTTATATTATATATTTATATATCATATATATATATATTTATACATGTTCATAAACATCAGATGCAAATTGAGGGATTAACTATGTGGTCAAACTAGAACTGCAACTAGCTTCCAAGTTTTTTTCGAGTGCATTCCTGGAAAAACAACTGTAGCAAATTGTGGCAGGTTGTTGCCGGTTGCTGAAACTATCTGACACACTTTTCTTGCGTTACCATTTCAGGTAGCATCAATGGTTAGCTATCTGGATTTAGAACTGCAAGTCGAGGCAAGTCGTAAGCAGATTGAGTTTTGTCGATGCCAGCTATTGTTATGATCTAGGGTCCGAACGGGGCAAGATACCCATCCCATATGACTTCTCGAGGATTGTTTGCTGCTCAAAACACGTGCTGCAAGATGAGATCCGATGATCCAATGACTTTGCAGTAGCTTCATTATGTTAACAATGAGTTTATTGATGTTTACTTCTACTTGAAACATTTAATATTATTTAATGTTTGAAAACGGACATGCCTGGTTTTTTTCCACGAAATACCAGGATCCAAAATTGGGGCTTAGGAAAAAGTCATGGTGCTACCCGCTGCTACCAAGGTGGTGGCCGGAGATATGGAGGACGGGGCGTGGTTTTCTCTATGGAAACGCTGTGGAGAAGCTACAGATTTCTGGAAACCTATGGAAACCTATGGAAACCTATGGAAAAACCTATGGAAACCACTGGGTGGAGATATATCGAAACTGGATTTAAGCAGACATTTGGATACCATAGTTCTCATTCCAGTTATAACATGTTACAACATCTTATAACGGATGATTGTTTCTTGCTGTATAGAACTCTATGTGATGTCAACTGAAAAATGCAAAAATGCCCTTAAACACATCGAAGACCAGCCAGGACGAGATCAAGGCGCTCTTCAAGAAGCTGAAGGAAGTGAAGGTGGACCGCAAGTGCGATGCCTTCGTGGGCGTCCAGGATAGCGATAACTGAGCGACGTCGATGGGAATCATCCGGTGATTCATCAATGGAATCGACTAGTGGATGGGTTAGACTAATCGACTATGGAATATTGATTAGTGGATGTTCTATGCATATTATAGCATATTGATTAGTGATTGATTAGTGGATCGTCAATCGAATCGAAATATGCTTAGACTTTTTTCTTATCCTATCACTGAGCCACAAAATCAGCTTCAACAATCCCATGCCCATGGCCGACTTTGCTGACGGTAAATCCGTTGTGTTCATCGGTACCGGTCTGAAAAAAACCCTGGGTTTTCAGCTGCAAAACAACAGTGGTTTTTCAGCGGAAACTCCATGGTTTTTTCCACTTTCCCCCAGTTTTCCCATGGTTTTCCCATGGTTTTCCCATGGTTTTACCGTGGTTTTCTTGGACAAAAAGCCAGGACGTGGTGAAGAAATGGACCGTCTTCTGCCCCTTGGTGGGTGAGCTCCGAGATCCGGCCATGCGGCAGCGGCACTGGGCGCAGCTCATGGATCAGCGGCTCGGCGGGGGAAGGGGCCATGGCGAGTTAGCCTCTGGTAATTTTAATGGGATTTTAATGGGGATTTTCATGGGTTTTTAATGGGATTTACCATCTGATAAACTAAGATCTCTATTGAACATGGCCCATTTATAGTGGATTTACCTATGAAACATTGTGATTTTCCATGGTTATGTTAGTTTACCAGAGGGTATAACTTGCCCTTTTACCAGTTATTAATTTATGGTTACAAATGGTGAATTTATGACTTGTAAACTGGTGATTTCTATGGGATTATATCATTATACATTCTATAAATGGTGTTATTTCAGTACTTATAACTGGTAAAGGGTCATAACTGTGGGTGAGTAAAACGCCTTTTGCTTTTGGACCTTCCATTCAAGAGAAGGCCAAAAAACCCACAGATGAAGTAGTAGTTCAGTAAACCCATGGGACTCTTCTGGGTGGATGAAGGGGTTCAAACGCCAACATGTTTAAACCATCCATCCCCTGAATATGGCAAAACCATGGGAAAAAATGAGGAGAATGATGGGATTACCCTTTGGTAAACTAGCATAACATATGGAAAATCACAATGTTTAATGGGTAAATCACTTCTAAACGGGCAAGTTTCAATAGCTATGTTAAATGCCGGGCAAAACCATGGGGCAAATTGGGGAGAATGATGGGAGAATTATAATGAATTATATATTTCATGATGGAAGCTATAAATGGAGGTTTGAAAGGTAGGTCAATGTGTTTTTACTTTTCATATGTTCTTTTCTTGGGATAAGCATGGGATGATGGTAGGACAGTGATGGATTTGCTCCCGGGAGAATTATTGGAAAACATCAGTCACTCCGTGTGAAATATGGCAAATCCTGGGAAAATCATGGGAAATGGAACTTGTCCAAACTAGCCGTGGAGGTTTCTAGCTTGGAAATGAAGCCATAACATGGGATACCCTCTGGTAAACGTTTACATAGCTATGGAAAATGACTATTTTTAATGGGTAAATCCACTATAAATGGCAATTTCCAATAGCTATGTTAGTTTACCAGAGGGTAATGATGGGAGAGTGATGGTGTCCAGTTTGGACATGGAACATGCCAATAACATTGATATTTGGCACAATGGTAGAGCGCCGGAAACCCAACAATGATGAAGTTGTGGATGATTTTGGGAACTATGCCGACTATGCCTGGTTGGTGGTTTGGAACATGAATTTTATGTTCCCCAATAGTTGGGATGATGATCCAATCTGACTTTCACTCCATCATTTTTCAGAGGGGTAGGTAGCCCCCACCAACCAGATCATTATTAATCTTTTTGTCACTTTTTTTTTCATTATTAATCATCATTAACCATATATTAACCATATATTAACCATCTGAGGAACCACCATTATAGCAGGATCCCAGCCATTGGATGCTTATCACGCACTTGCTACTAGCAGCCTGGGATGCCCCAATGGCTTCTTGCCGCAAAACGACCATCTGAGGTGCGGCAAGTCCATCACCGTGACTCCTGCGGCTTGGCACTGGCTTGGGGATGGCTGCGATGGCTGGGTGGCACTGCGGTGAAGAAAAAATGGTGGATGGTTAATGGGTTTTAATGGGTTTTTAATGGGTTTTTAATGGGATTTACCCTCTGATAAAACTAAGATATCTATTGAAAATGGCCATTTATAGTGGATTTTCCCATGAAAAATGGTGATTTTCAATAGCTATGTTAGTTTACCAGAGGGTATACCATGGTATGCCATTGGTATACCATGACATCATAGGGAAAGTGGAACAACATGGAACAACTGTTAACAAACTGTTCTTTTGCTCGACTTCCTTCGCTTGAAGAGCTGTTTTTTTTTACAGTGGCGACCTTGAACAAACCATGTTGCTATGGAGTAGACACAAGGATGCATTTCAACTACCTACTGTAGATCCGAAGAATCGAATTACAGGCTTTAGAGACTACATTCTTCGATCCTAACATTGATTCATACCACGTCCAGCAACTTACATGAACCTGCAGGCAATGCCCAACAGTTTTTTCCATGTTTTTTTTTCCAATCTGTCACCGCGATTCCCGGAATCGTCAGTAGTTCACCTCAATTATTTGTAGTCATTTTTTCAGATGCTTTACCATCTGGTTATGACTAACATAGCCATGGAAAGATCCACCACTTTATAGCTAGGTAAGCCATCTATTTCGATTAGGGCCATCTATACCATGGCTATGTTAGTCATAACCAGAGGGTAAGTCTGTTTAAGTGAACATCTCAACATTATCTTAACCAATCCAATGATGTAGTTGATCTGAACATCTCAACTAATCGAACCTCTCATCTCAACTAATCCTTACCCGGCCTGGTAAACGTTTACATAGCTATGGAAAATCACTAGTTTTAATGGGTAAATCCAGTATTTCAATGGCCATGTTCAATAGATATCTTAGTTTTATCAGATGGTAAATCCCATTAAAAATCCCATTAAAACCCATTAAATCCGATTAAAAACCCATTAAATCCAATTAAAAACCCATTAGATTCCATTACAAACCCATTAAATCCCATTAAAAACCCATTAAATCCCATTAAAAACCCATTAAATCCCATTAAAAACCCATTAAATCCCACTAAACACCCATGAAATCCCATTAGAAGTCCCATTAAATCAACCCTGGGGGCTTTCTGTCCAACAACCAGGCAGTTCCAGTTCTAGTTCCACTGGTGAAACCCAGGAGATCTTGTTGCGGGATATGTGGAACCTGGAGCTCCACAAGAATCCGGACTTCGTGGAGGATACGGCAGATCAGGCCAAGCAGGTCACTTGGCGACTGATGGTTGCTGATCTGCTTGGTGATTCTCTAGATATATATATATATTTATATGATATATATATGATATATATATATATTTTTATATGATATATATATATATAAACCTGATATATAGATATACCTAGATATCAGGTATATATATCAGGTATCTATATATCAGGTATATCAAGTATGAAGCAATACACGACATGGGAAAAACCATCTGGTTATTTAACATAGCGAACTGGAAAATCCCTTATAAATGGAGGTTTCTAGCTGGGAAAATTATCTATCAATGGGCCATTTTCCATAGCTATGTTAAATAACCAGATGGTACCTGATATATATATATATATAATAACTGGTTGGTGGTTGCAAACATGAATTTTATTTTCCATTTCATATATGGGATGTCATCCTTCCCATTGACGAACTCCATCATTTTTCAGAGGGGTAGGTCAACCACCAACCAGTATATATATATATACAGTATATAACTTATAACCGTCAACAATAGGGACTTGACCATGGGAATAGCCCAAGAAAAAATCTGGCTGATTTTGAGCTGGAAAATCCACCCACTTTCTGCGGAATCCAAGCAATTCTCAGGAGATGAAGATGGAAAACACCTTGAAGAAGCTGCAGAAGGAGCTGAACATGAGATGATGGGTAGCTGGTAATTTGTAACATAGCCAATTTGAAAATCAGCATCTTTAATAGGTAAATCAACTATATAGGATGTTCCAGTTAGCTATGTTAGGGGTATATATATATATGGATGTACATGGTCAACAAATTTCCAGAGGATATATCCATTGTCAAGAGCCATCAAGGATGGTTAGTTCATATTAGTGGAAGTTACCCTCTGGTAATTTGTTACACTATTGAAGCCATGGCCCATGTATTTTATCATTTTTGTTTGAGCTCGTAACATGGTGATGTTGCAGAGCTCTGGTAGTTTACAAGAGGGTTTATACACGGTGAACAATCCCATATGTGATATCGGGAATTTATATGATGTGATATAGGGTATTTATATTCCATATGACGGGTATGATCATCATCATCACATCCATCATCATCATCATCATCATCATCATCATCAACCATTAATAATCATCAATAACCATCATCAACCATTAATTATATAATATCTAGTACTAAGCATGACTAACCACTGTTCTTGCTACCATGACTCCTACCATGACTATAGGTTTCTCAAGACCATCTCATCATTCACATGATATACAACTACTGGTTGTACATAATTTATGACCATAAATTATCATAAAGTGTCATAAAACCATCATCATCATCATCATCATCATCATCATGACTCCTACCATGACTATAGAACTCAAGACCCTCCATCACTTCTCCTTTGGCTCCGGAGCGGAGCCGCAGGAGTGGGCCGAAGTGGACTTCGGCTTCGATTCGCATCGAGGCACTGAGGTGATGTTGATGAAGCGCCTGGGACGGGTGCTGGGACTGTAGCGGAAAAAAAGGCATGTTTTGGAACTGATTTAGGGAAAATATAGGGAAAATGGATGAAAATAGTGGTTTAATGGTGGTTTAATGATGGTTTAATGGATGATTAATGGATGTTAAACATGTACCCTCTGGTAAACGTTTACATAACTATGGAAAGATCCACCATGTTTAATGGGAAAATCCACCTATCAATCACCATTTTCAATAGCTATGTTAAATTACCAGAGGGTACCCAAAAATGATTCAAATGCTGGTTGGTGGTGACTGGAACCATGGACTTTTATGACTTTCCATATATATAGGAATTTCATCATCCCAACTGACGAACTCAAATTTTGCAGAGGGTTCAAACCACCAACCAGAATGTGTGAAACAAATGTGATTTAACAATCAAACATGGTGAAAAATGGCGATTCACCATGAAAAGCTGATTTTCCCCATCATGACAGTAGGTGGATATAATGAGTGTATTTCCTGGCTGGTTTCCGAGAATAGAGGTTTTCCTCCGTTAGCATCAGGTCAGTGTTGTGAGGTTTTAAGGTTTTAATGGGAACATTAATGTATAACTTCTGGTTACTGTATGTAATAGTTTGCCATGGAAAAATCACCATATTCATTTACTGGAAGGTTTATTTCTGTGTTCTTTTTTTTCCCCCTTAGATGGTGAACTGTACATATATTGCTAATTTCCCTAACTCTCTGGAACGTGTTTTTTAGGTTAGCCATGTATATCCGAGGATACTAACCAGCATGAAAAGACAGCAACACAAATATTTTGCAGGGTAATTCGATGTATTAATCTAAGATTAGCCATGGATATGCAATATAGTTGAAATATCTTCAAAGGTCTTATCCCATCATTTCCCACCCAAGATCTTCTCACATTCATCCCTTTCCTCATATTTTTTTGGGGACACTCAGGATGGCGGATGACAAATTTGAGATGCTGGAAGAGCACCAGGTTCAAGTGCAGAACATGTGCCTTGCCCAAAAAAAACCATGGGATGCAACTTTGGTAGGAAAATTCAGGAACATATATATATATATATATAGTGCTATTTATTCGGTGAATTTCCGATATTTTGCTAATAGCTATTTTAGTTCTGGATTAACCATATACCTATCCATACCATTCCATACCTATAAATTATTGGCTCGGTTAATGGTTGCCAAATAATTGGCACCTGTTTCATAAATGGCTGGCAAAGTGGTTCGTGAAGAGTTGGCAAACGCATGTGGTCCACGGATCTTAGAGGATGTAGGGTTTTGCCTCAAACCATGTGAGCCACGTTCTAAACCCTTGTGTTCATGTTAAGCAAGGGGCCCCTTGTAAGGCTGTGGCGTAAGCAAAACTGTGGTGCGCGTCAGCCAGTGTAAGCTCCGCGTAAGACAAGATATGCGCGTAAGCAAAACCTGTGGCGCGCGTAAGCAAGATGTAAGCAATGGCGTAAGCATTTCCTTATTTGGTGCCAGGATGTAAGACATTTAGAACATGGTTCATGTGAAACGAACTGGAAAATCACGAGTTTTTTTTAATGATATATTGGAGGATGTAGGATAGTCTCCAGAAAACCACGATGCGAACTAGAATAACTATAGAACATCAGGATTTTTGTTGGGTAAATATCATGGAAGTAAACCATAGCTATGTGAAAGCAAACCAGAGGCTATCTCCTCACCATCAAGAATGGCCTCACGAATCCGGTGTGTACGATGTGCATCACAGAATCTCAATTCAATATATCTGAACAATATGGTACCCCCAAATCTGGCCCTTGTATACATACCCCATGTTTTAGATAAACCATGATAAACCAATATCCATTCTTGGGTGAAATCCCTTAAATCAATCTCAATCCATGTTTTTGTTGCTGTTTTTTCAATGATCAGCTCCCCATTTTGGAGAGATCGGGAGTTTCCCAAGTTGGGCAACGCGCGTCCATCGACGGTGCGTCGTCTCAGGTTTGCCTCTCGCTTTTTGTCCACTTTCGAGACAGAGGCGAGATCCGACAAAGCGATCGTGAAGCTGACGTCACACGAGTGAAATGATTGTTAGAAAGGATATGTACCCTCTGGATCCCTCTGGTAAACTAATATAGCTACGGAAAATCATGGAAAATCAACATGTGTAATGGGTAATTCAACTATAAATGGCCATCTTCAATAGCTATGTTAGTCATTACCGGATGGTATCCCCAATTGGCCGAACCATTGAGGCAAACAGTTTGATCTATGCAGATTCTTCCACGGGGATCATGTGGAACCAACCTGCCTTGTATAGCTAGATCACCGCACATGGGATAAACAAGGGTAAACATTCAGTTATAGGAACAGGACGTCCAAGAAGGATGGCTTTCAAGGGATTCAAAAGCCTCACAATAATTTGGTGAGTCAAGTCAAGTCATTGGGATCATAAAAGATTGGACAGTTTAGCCTCTGGTAAACGTACAAAAAAACTATGGAAATATCCATCATTTTTAATGGGAAAACTCACTATTTCTATGGCCATTTTCAATAGCAAACTGTTAGTCATTACCAGAGGGTACTACAAGTGACCATTCCATTTAAGTGGTCCCCAGAGCCGTTTGAACATTTGGACTCATCAGTTGATTTGAAATCTCAGATTGGCGAAGGTTGCCCAAAACCAGCTGGCACAGCTGGGAAGATCTTCCGGGGCCCGATAAAAAACGTCCCCACGGCTCCTCCTTTTTTCGGGTTGAACATCACTTTTTGTGAAATAGTACTAGGAATATGAATCCCTCCTCCCATTCATATTCGACATTCCCAAGAAAACATCATAAACCAGGGCTTTCTCTTGTGAATTTACACATCTTTAGAATCCTTTGGAACCTTGCCATTGGGGTTTTAACATGTTTTAACTACTATGACCGGGGGATGGGATGAACATGACCTCAACTGATACAAAGCTGAGTGGCGATGGCTTCGTTTCTCAGAGTCGATGAACCTGGATCTTCGGTGAAAAATCTACGGAGGACATCGACCAAGAATCTAACCCCAAAAAAATCCACCAGAGACTGACTTGGGGGTGCAGTTTCACTCATAACCCATAGGATCCATGGTGCTGCTATATATGGTAACATGGATCCCATCAATATACCCCAGTCATGTTAGCCTATATACCAGCACCATGGATCCTATGGGTAAGATCATAAGATCAATAAGCGGGTTATATCACCATGGTTGTAGGGGTCATATCTCAACTGATGGAGGGTTCACCTGCCATCGCAGGTGGTTTCCTGGCAAAAGACCCTTGCGTGGCTCGGCGGAGATGTGATGTGTTTGTTGGAGATTGATGGTTTTGTTTGGGAATTCTATGGAATTCTGGTTTGGGAATTCTTGCACATCATTTCTGATGGATATTGATGGTTTGATTACCCTCTCGTAAACTAACATAACTATGGAAAATCACCATTTTCAATGGGTAAATCCACTATATATGGTCATTTTCAATAGCAAACTGTTAGTTTACCAGAGGGTATTTTTTTTCAGCTTTTTTGTGACTTTGGAGATTCGCCGACAAAAACCGGGACCAGTTGATTGTAGGCCGGATAAAAGGTCTATGCAAGGGCTATGGTATAGCCCTAAGATATGGCTTGGTAACCAGCTGGTATCGTACCTCGTACCTCCATGTTAGGGTCCTGAAATTCCCATTGATATATGATGGTTTCATATGGTTTCTATGAGGAATTACTCACAGACTCTCATCCTGTCCACTTGTTGTGCTTTTTGCACTTGAATGATCCATGGAATGAAAGTTGGGAAATGGTTCATGCGTGGGTCATGTAACCCCCTGCAACTGGCAGGTCATATTCGTCCCATCCCCCACGAACATGAAACATACCCATAAGACCCACATATAGGTCCCAACATGAACAGATTCAACACTGGTTGGTGGTTTGGAACCATGGAATTTTATGACTTTCCATATTATTGGGAATGTCATCATCTCTGACTTGCACTCCATCATTTTTCAGGTTGGGGTAGGTAGCCCCCACCAACCAGATAAACCTATCAATACTACACCAGGGGTTCTTGGAACTCTTTCACATTGGGAAGGGATGACTTGGATCATCCGTTTTTGTTCCCGATTCCAGGCGATTTTCCTCCCAACATCCCAATGATCTTCCGAAAAAAATTCGTCTAAGCTTTGATGAGGAACATCTCCCAAGAAAATTATAACTTTAATATATTACCATCTGCTTATTTAACATAGCCATGGAAAATCACCATTTTTAATAGGTAAACCATCTATAAATGGGCCATTTTCCATGGCTATGTTAAATAGCCAGAGGGTACTATAGTTTTTTTTGGAGGTTGCCGAAGTCATTGGGGTACCCCCAGTCATAATCCATTTTATTTTAGGATTTCTGAATTATAGACCATCTAGCTATTGGGGTATCCCCATGACTTAGTATCTTAGTTATAAATATTGGTCGAAAATGGTCGAAATAAACCCGATGAACTATATAAAGCATAGTGAAATTGTGTTCACCAACTTTTCGCGATTTCGTTTGGCCCCACATTGTAGTAACCACTGAATCATTACCATTGAACTAAGGTTTTTTACACCATGAAAATCACTGTTAGCCACCGTTGATCTCTAGTAAGCCACCGTTGCTCCCTGCCCTCGAGGAACATTTCCGAAGTCTCCACCCTGCTCTCGGAAGTGCAACGCTCATGGGTCAGAGACCCCAGGGACCCCAGGGACGGGCGCGGGGCCGGAGCCCGGACAGGGCGGGGGGCCGTGGCCGTGGGGCCGGGTCAGCTCAACGTTGAACCATATCTTTGGTAGCCTAGGGTTGGTCATGAGAAAGGGACTTGATGGGACTTAAGTACTACCTAACTGATCTGAGATTATATGATATATTAATGATATATTATGATATCCCATAGGAAAGCTATCAACCAACGAGCTATTTTGAATGGCTTCATTGGGCCGGGTCCCTCCAAAATTTGGAGCTTGTATGACCAAACATGGAGATTTCTGCGGACTGGCGCTCTCAAAAATGGTCGAGCCAAAGCATGCGTACCATCCCCCCAAATCAACAGTTTGACTCTGAACATAGCCAATTTTTAGTAGAAACTCATCTTCCAAGCCCGACAACTGGCAGGGTCAAACTGTTAGTTTTGGGCCCAATTGTTGGAGAAATTGAAAGACAACATTGGGGGAATGATCGGCATTGTTCTGTGGGGATGTCCGTTGGGAAAAGAAAACAAACTGGACACAATTTCGTGGGTCTGATATATAGGATACCCTCTGGTAATTTAACATAGCTATGCAAAATCACCATATCTTTAATAGGTAAATCAACTATATATGGGCCATGTTCTATAGCTATGTTAGTTTACCAGAGGTATATGTCCCGTAAAGACAACAGTTCTTGGAGTTATGTCAGCTTTGCCAACTATGGGGCGCTGCCAAACTATATGTGACCCCAAAATAAAGAGAACCAATAAAATGTCTGTCAATGTCCATCAATGCCCATCATTGTTTCTGCTTTATTGACTTGGAAACGTCATTTTTTTCATTTCACAGAGTGCTTTCTCCGGCGCATGGCGCAAGGTCTTCTTGGAGAACCTCTTCATCTTCAGTGATGAGGTGAAGAAAGAGTTGCCGGAGGCGCGCTCTGTGATCTGGGCGTGACATCTGTGAGAAAGAAACATGTGTGGTCCACATTAAGAGGTGTTTGATGGTAGTCTTTGCTGCAAATTGCACTTGTTGATACGTGTTGTACGTGGCCCTGGGCGAAAGCTCCTGACCCAAAAAGATCATGAGGTTAAATGACAAACAACCAGCCTCCCTGGGTCTTATCTATTTGAGACAGCCCCAGATTAGGGTAATTCCAGGGTGAACGTTTTTTGGTCATCTCTCGCTTTTTGGAGAAACCATGACAAAGCCAGTTCCATTCATCGGTTCATCCGTGTTCATTCCCATTTTTGATGGTTAAACCAGGTTAAACCATCATGCTTCCAATCAACAAAAAACAGTTGTTTGTTTTCTAGCATGTGTTCAGAGAATTCAGATTAATTCAGCATCTTAGCTGGTTAACGGTTAACTATGTTAACTCCACTAAGGCTTTATAATATAACGGGGGTGAACTGTTCACCACCGTTTGGGGCGCGTCTACTCTCAGGAGAGCGACAAGTTCGTGGGCATCGATATGGACGTGAAGGAGATCCTGATGAATGGCTATCAGATCAAGGCGGCGAAGGAGTTCTGCAACCAAGGCGCGGGCGGAAAATCGGTGAAGGGATGTGATGGGATGGTGCAGGATGGGGCACCAAAAAGATAGCGTTCAGTTGGTGAACATAAGTGGTTGAATTCTATGGTTTATGGTTATAGTTAATTGGGATTATCATGGTTTATAAACCAACTTATAACTAGGGGGCCCTATCCTGTGCGCAGTATTGGTGAAGTGATGTGTGTGTTTTTTTGAACACAGTTACCCTCTGGTAAACGTTTACATAACTACCGAAAATCACCATGTTCAATGGGTAAATCCACTATAAGTGGCCATTTTCCATAGTTACGTTAGTTTACCAGAGGGTATGTGCAGGTGGTGAAATTTCTTTTTTGAACATTGTGGTTTTAAATGTGGTGAAAACGGCATCAAACATGGAGAAGAATGATGATTTAACATGAACTGACTGAAGAATGGTGGTGTAAGCATCAAATTTGGTGACTTAGCCAAGCTGTCATAAACTAAGAGACATCACTGGGGGGACCACCTTGTGAAATGTTGGGAACCAGAGAACCAGCGTTGTTTTGAGGCTGGACATGGTTTAGCTTGACATTCCATCCCAGCTGAAATGGCCAATCACGATCCCCCATTTTTCCAAACACGAATCTTAATAATTATTTGTTTGGTAATGACCAACCATTTGCCATCCATTGCCCATTTAGTTCGATGATTTAGCTATCTTAAAAATGGTGATGTTCCAGTTCGCTCGTTGAACTCGTGTGAACCTACCAGGGTGATCTCCAACTCCTGGAAGGCAACATCTTCCAGAAGTTGGAGAAGGTCCAGGGCGCATTAGAGATGTGCCAAAAGGCCCTGAACGACTTCATGGTTCCCCGGCGAGATGATCGACAGATGATCATGATGATCCACAGAGAAGACCAGGGCACCACTGGTGAAATACCGCCCGTTTTGGAACAACTTTTCTGGTGAATCATCTCCTTTTTCGGAGTTTTCGAAGGCCAAGACCTATGGTTTTTGGGTAGGATTGGAAGCTTTAATCAGAATGTAACGGGATTGGTTCCCTAGGGAAAGAGTAAACCTTGGTGTTTTTGCGGAGCTGATTCTGTGCCGGGTTTTCAATTCAGGGTCAAATCCATGTGATTGCGGAACTGTGTCAGGCTGCAGGGGAAGACTGGCAATGTGGTAAAACATAAAGTTGAGTCATCCTTTTGCCGGAGGTTTCCAGAAGCTATCGACCAAAAAACAAAAGTTTCTAGTCTCTATAGACTCTAGTCTTTCAGTATCTTGTTTCAAGCACTTTAAGATGTTTCACCAAACTGAGATCTATGACCTATATAGAATATCCATGAATATCCTAAAGATTGGAGAGACAAACTAATTTGATGTACTAAGAGGTGCTTTTTTTTTTGAAACTCAGCGCCTCGAGATTCAAACCTCCATGACCTGTAAACTCCTTTTAGGCTCCTGGCGATCCTTTCCAAGGACAGCAAGAAACGTGCCTTCCCACGTTTCTACTTCATGTCCTCCAACGATCTGTTGGATGTGCTGAGTAATGGCACCTCGACTGCGACTGGAGAAACTGCTGCCATGACCTGAGGGATTCGTGCTGCCAATCCGCTGAGGCAACCAGCCTGCCAAGGTGCCTTCCCACGGGGCAGGGAGAAAGGGCTTTCTGTGCTGGAGAGGGCCTTGAATTTATGAATCACTTTGATAATGAGCTGATTTTTTACTGAAGATTGATGATACTTTGATGGTTAAAGTTGCCAAATTTCTGACCCTCATTGGAATTCACTCAGATTTTGACACCGAGAAATTTTACTCCGAGGGTAGGGGTAGTTATGGTCAGCCAACCCCTTTGCTGTAAAATCACGTTGTAGTAAAGCATCGTGGTTATAGATCTCCCTTTGGCAATGTCTAAGTCTAGTCACTGAGAAAGATGGTGAGTTATCCCCCCCGCCCGCCCCCCCCTCCAATGTTCACAACCAAGAGGTAAATGGATTGTAAATTACATGCCAAACTAAGCCCTTGATGTTTTCCACCACGACATCAGCGATCTCAAAAAGTGCCCTAAAATGTCGTCCCGCATAGGTGATTCCCCAGTGCCTTGGCAGCAGGGAAGATTGCTAGTGCAGCAGTTTGTAGGTCGAAGATAGAAGACAACAGTTGAACTTAATGACATTTCCCATATGCTCCATGTATGGCATATTTACTAACATTTACCCCAAAAATGGCCCAAATGTTGTAGGTAAATATTACATACATGGAGCATATGGGTTTGTCAACTGATGATCAAAATCCATCAATCAGTTGCAATCAATGACATGTTTCTGCCATATTTTTTCTGATGAGTGGTCAAACACCTGTGTTTGACGGCATCCTCGCGGCCCCTTATTGGATGATTCCAAGGGGCAGATTTGTTGTTTGGCGGGTTCAGAGCATCAACCAGCAAATGGATACAAATGGAGGACATACATATATATATATATACTATATTTATAATTTATGTTTATATCTAATTTATATATACAAAATGTGTATATATATATATATATTGAATGTAGTGAATTAATAATTTTTTTATGCGTATTTTTGCGTAACATATGGAAGGGTCCACAACTGGGGGGCCAAATCCCGGAAAAAGAGGTGGTGTCCCATAGTTCGCCGGAGTATACATTCCAAAAACGAGGGTTTATCGCAGATACATCCGATACATCATCCAACGAAATTATGTGGGTTGATCAACCAGCTAACATAGCTGGGAAGTAGCACCGTGCAGCCGCCACTCGTCATGGATTGCCTTTTGGCTAAGGTTCCCCAAGTTCTTCATCGCCATCGACAGCTACAATTTGGAATTCCCGGATGGTGAGGACCCCATTTCGATGACCGAGGTACGAATGTTTTGGACAGCTGACATCCACAGTTCTTTCTTCATGGCTTCCAATGTTCCTTTAAAGCACTAAGGATGAGGCCACTTGGAGGATCATCCCACGACTCGTAACTGGTTAGGAACCATAGTTATAACCCATCTATATATGGGATAACCATGGACAACCCTAGTTAGGGGACTTACAAGCCAGTCTTATCCAGTTAGTAAGTGCAATTGATTCTCCAATTAACAGTATATTAACCACATATCAATACTATCAATACTATTAACAATATACCAGATATACAACCGGAAATCATTCTGGAGATCTTCACCCACGGGCCAGATCGCCGCCAGGACAACCGACCACACGCTGTGGGAATGAATGCCTGTGTCGGCAAGGATAGATGGCCCGGGGTGGTGCCAACGGTGAGACGACGCGCCAGGGATAAACGTTGAAGTCCAACAACTCTTGGATGGATGTCTATGAATGTCTATGATACATATAGTATCATTATATCATTAATTGTCTCTATAGTTTTTCATGATGTTGAAAATTATGTTTTTCATGGACGTTGAAAACATGTTTTAACCTTTTTAACTTATACTTTGTTGATCTTTGTTGAGTTGATTTGTGTCTGGATTAACTATGGTATTATATATATATATACATATACACATACATACATACATAAATATTATATATATACATACGTATAATATATATATATATACATTCATACATATATAAATATAAAAACAATATGTATATATATATATGTATATATCGAACTATAGTTTTCATGGGGGAGTTTTCTTCTGAATCGTCTGCCCTGTTAGGAGTATGTCCCCTTCCCAGAGCCTCTTCCTTTGTTGGGCAAGGCGCGGGATGCGGCGATGATTCTAGGGGGTTCTAGTACCCAACAATCCCTTCGTAATATCAAACATCCCCTAGAAAATCCTAGAAACTCTGGTTTTTCTTGGGAATTGCCACATCATTGGGACCATACTATATGGTGGTGTTTAACATTGGGAGTGGATTGTGATGGGGATTGTCATCCATGACCTCACCTTATGGCAAAAAGCTGTTGGAGTCAGATGTTCATTGCTTATGATAGATATGATAGTCCATGCTGCAACACCGCAAATCTATAAATCTCAAGATTTCTCACTATTTCTGACAACAAAAAATAAATCGCCCGATCCTGCCCGTGGTTTTTTCTGTGTTTGACTGTTTGACTCCCATGTTGTGTGTCATGTTGCACTGAACGGTTTTCTATTACCCTCTGGTTATGACTAACATAGCCATGGAAAGATCCACCATTTTTAAGTTCGGTAAACCATCTATTTCTATGGGCCATCACCAGAGGTTTTCTTTTGACAAACCGAATGTGAGGCTCAGACACTCCACAAATTGGATTTCAGAATCTGATCCCAATACGAAACAAATCGAGGTTTCAAGGAGGTCAGGATCATCGATCCGGGATTGGCATGCCATGGCTTCCTATGGGATGACCACGCCCGATATGTCATAGAGTTGAATATATATATATATATAATTAATGTATATATATAATATAATATCTATTATATTATATATTATATATATAATATCTATATAATATTATATATATCCATATAATGCACATATCCATTACATTCACATGATATCACCATTATAATTGATCAAAACCCATAAACCCATGTAACACGACATTTTTTAAACATATATTCCCGAATTATCATTCGACATGACATGTGCCATTATATTCCAGACAAAGATCCCAAGATATTTATTCCCATATTAGTTCCCAAAATATAACTTGACCGTGGTATATATATATATATAGAGATCCGTGTGTATTACCAAAATGATGTTTCCTTCCCACATGTGCCATGGTCAGGTTAAAGATTTATCTATACATTATTTCTAGTCGATAATCATTCGGGAATTTGTTGATGTTATTGATGTTATTAATTTCATGTTATTGTTGTTGATTAACAATTTTATTCATATTATGTTTAGTTGATGTTATTCACATATCCTCTGGTAAACTAATATAGCTATTGAACATGGCCATTTATAGTTGGTTTACCTATTAAGAAAATGGTGAATTTCCATGACTCTGTTAGTTTACCATAGGGTAATTGTTGATCATTCGACGCAGGTGGAAAGTTACCTGGACAAGTGCATCGAATGGTTCCAGAAGGCCTTAAAGCACTTTGCTAAGCAGGACGCCATCGCCGTGGCCAATGGCACTTGTGGGAAAGCAATGTGAACGTGTCGGATTTTACTAAGGAAAATTGAGATTTACCCTCTGGTGAACTAACATAGCTATGGAAATTCACCATTTTTTATAGGTAAACCAACCAATCTAACCATAAATATGCATTTTCAATAGCTATGTTAGAATTATGCAATTTTTATGTGATTTATGATGGCTATCAGTTGGTTTAGAACCCCCATTAATATGTATCTACCATCAACTTTATAGTTATTTGAGTGATGTATACCAACTTAGCTAACTACGGGGTACCAGCTTGTATGGAAAGTGAAAGCATACCAACACATCAAATGCATTGAGCACTGAGGATGCGGACGTTTCTGATTTTTGACAAGTAGATTGAGCGCCTCTACTTGTGTGAGCACTCCAGGAAATGGAAATGTTAAATAACCAGAGGTAGCAGGTGATTATTTTCAACTATGGTAATTCTATATAATTCTATCTCATTCTAGGTTCGAAGATATTCACCCAGCTGCCATTTAAGGTTTCTCGCAGTGATTGTGACATGTGTATGCGCAGGACAAGGAAAAGTACTTCAGTGAAGGATGTGACATGGCCAAAACTCAGCCAAGGAGCCAATGCCAAATGATTCCAAAATGATCGACCCGCTAAGAATGGGATATACCAGAAATTCTGAATGTACGGAACGAGAAATGTCTACAATATACATATAACTATACATTAACTATACTATATCACAATTTCTGGTATAGTATATATATATATATATACTAATTATATACCTATATCACTATAACTATATCGATATGTCTACAGAGATGGGACTACATGATCATCCCGCTGTCAGGGCAAGTTGAGATGTTGATCATATGCTTACCTTCCCACAAACGTATTCTGGTTGGTGGTTTCAAACCATGGAATTTTATTTTCCGTAATATATGGGATATCATCCTTCCAATTGACTTTCATATTTTTCAAGATGGTTATCGCACCACCAACCAGTTTTTTTTCGATGAACAACGTCCAGCGTTTGTAGATCATTTCCTGGAAATGCATAGGATTTCCATAGCTATGAGTTTAACCGGAGGGTAAGTTTTAGATGTCAAGGAGGTTGCCGTTCAATTGGAAAGATCCTGTGGAAAATGCCACCGGTAAATCTGAAAGTTGGAGGTAACCAGCCAGATTTTCCCCAAAACAAATCACTTAACATCAAATCCATTGCTAAAATCCCGCCAAAATCTCCAAACAAATCCATAAAATCGCAGTAAAATCCCATCGGATCCATTAAATCCTATTAAAATCCTATTCAAATCTCATAAAAAAAACATTAAACCCCACATATCACCGGGCCATTTGTCGCCAATGGCTTCACCCAGCACCCAGATGCTAGGCATGGACGACGGCTTTAAGCGTGGAGAGTTCATTGCCAGCAGCCAGGCAGCGCAGTGTGCCCTGCTGGTCCAGCTACCTGGACGTGGTCCGGAGAGAGGGGGAAGTGGTCCGGTAGATGACTCGCATTTTTCGCATCTTTTCGGGATTAGGCTAGAGAAATGATGATAGGATAACTGGGATGATCTAGGGATTATGATAGAATTAGATTTTATTGGATTTCGACTTGTTGGAGTTTCTAAGATTTTCACTCGCGAGTGTGATGATAGTAGATGGATTTAGATGATAGAATAGTTGTTTTGCAAGTTGAAGCAAACTAGTAGTTAGATGATATTATAAGTATTAGTTACATTACATTAGATTCGATAACTGGATAGAATACCCTCCGTAAACTAACATAGCCATGGAAAATGACCCATTCTTATATTTAAAAAAAAAACAACACCTGCTAAACGTGCTGATTTTCCAATTATCAATCCGCTATGTCAAATTACCAGTGGGTAGGGATTCTATGTACTGGATAGATTTGGATATTATCTATAGTATCTATAGTTAGACACGTATCAAATTTACGAGCCAGCTAAGGTGGTGTATAAGTCTAAGAACATCTAAGAACTACACTTAAGGTTTACGATAGATATTACTGTCCATGGGAGATTTTTCAGCACCATGACTGGTACTCTCTGGTAATTTAATCTGGTTGGTGGTTTGGAACATTTATTATTTTTCCGAATATTGGGAATAATCATCCCAACTGACTTTCATATTTTTCAGAGGGGTAGGTATACCACCACCCAGTAATGTAATTTTCAGATAGCCATGGCATACATGACATAGGAAATGTGGCTAATTAGATGAGTTGCCTATGATTTTTTCCATCTTCCGCGAATCGATATACCCTCCGCTAAAATCGAAGATGTCGAACTGGGAAATCCTCTTCTAATTGTCCGTTGACCATGTTTGATTACCCATATGCTCCATGTATGGCATAATTTACTAACATTTAACCACACAAATGGGCCAAATGTATGTAAATATTACATACATGGAGCATATGGGTTACGGCAAAAAGACAGAAATTGGGAATCTTCATCAGAAATGGTGGTCATAGAGGGCCTCTACAAGCAATTTTCAATTATTGACCCTGACAATTGAATGCATGGGCTGATAACTTTCAAAGAATTGGAATATCAGTCGACAACAAAATGTGTTTTTTGTTTTTGCTAGAAATTATATTCAATTGCCTTCATTGAGATATTAGAGCTGCAGTGAGGCTAGGGAAGATCATGGTTTTGGAATACCATGGGCATGACAAGATTAGGGTGTTGCAGCTGAAGATCTGCAGTGTTGAGCCGAACATTTCAGAGGCTGATGGAACCATGTTGGACAATGTTGGTTATATCAACTATATTTCAAGCAACATTTACCCCAAAATATGATATACACTTGGACAATGTTGGACACACGCCCTATGTGCTCCAAATACCCTCTCAGGAGGTGCATGAACCGCAAAAAAAACAAGTACAGTCTCATAAAGTTTTTGGTACATAGGGAAGGGGAGTATGTTGTTCAGCCAGGCAAGACAAAGACCCAAGGTAACTCTTATTGATATCTTCCCATTCACATTCCCATGTTCTCCTCGTTCAGAAAGCATGAACGTGGAGATGGAGATCCCCCCATTTATACAATTTAACACGTATATACATATATAATATAATATACATATACCCTCTGGTTATTGAACATAGCCATGGAAAATGGGCCATTTACAGATGATTTTCCCAGCTAGAAACCTCCATTTATGGTTGGGATTGTCCAGGGCTATGTTAGTCATAACCAGAGGGTATATGTATATAATGTGTATATATATATATAGTATATACACATCATTTCCCTGACGTCAGCCAGAGTTTCAAACTTCATGATTCCCTCTCTGGTAAACTAACATAGCTATGGAAAATCACTATTTTTAATGGGTAAATCCACTATAAATGGCCATTTTCAATAGCTATGTTAAATTACCAGAGGGTAGCTCCATGAAAGATGGTGAATCCTTGGTCAAGCTGCTTTTTTGCGGCTGAACATGGACGGAACATTGAGGCTGATTACATGGGTGATGCTGGTTGAGAACGGAATCTGGGTCAGCAATTTTCAGGACCCAAGGCTTGCCTTGGAGTCTCCAAAAGGTTGAAGAGTGGTTCCAAGATTGTATACCCTCTGGTAATTTAGCATAGCTATTGAAAATTGCCATTTATAATCATTTATAGTGGATTTACCCATTAAAAATGGTGGATCTTTCCATAGCTATGTAAACGTTTACCAGAGGGTAAATGAAGTTTCACCTAGAATTGGTTTCCAACTGTTCTATCTATGGCTGGGGGGTGCTAAACATGTTTTTTTTGTGCAACAAAAATTGGAGGTGTCGACCCTTGCCTGGACCAAACGGAGCTGGACTGAAGAAGTTTCAACGGATCAGGATATCTCAATGAATTAAACACTAGCACCAGTCATACGCAATGTGGGCTATGTTGACTATGTTCATCTATGTTCATAGATGTTCATATATATATATACATATATATATATATATTTCAGATATGTTCATATGAATCATATATGTTCATATATGTTCATGATGTTTTCGTTGGGCTCGACACATTTTTCATTATCGTCTTCCGGTCGCCGCAGCGTGGCTTCGACTTAAAACCGTGGTGATCCAAGGATTTGCCGCGGCACAGGAGCAGATAGAGTGGTTTTGCCCAGAGTGGTTTAACCATCAAAATACAGGGATTGGTAAATGTCCCATTTTGGGGCTATTGGACATCACCTTATAGTAGCCATGGCATTGACCATATACCTAATGGTTGGGTGATGTTCAATGGGGACATTTAATGACCCATGAAATAGAGTGTAATGATCTATAGATCTATAGTGGTTGAACCATAGTGGTTAATAATGATGATTATTAGATTAACAATAGTGATATTATTATTATTAACCATTTCACTCTATTAACAATGTTGAACCACTATTATTAACCACCACTATTATTGGTTAGTGATAATAATAGTGGTTCAACATGATCTATAGTATCTATAGTGATAGAATGTGATAGATGATTGTTAGATTATTAGATTACCCCTCAAATTTGCCCAGATAGATGATCGATCTAGTGAATAGTGAAAAACGAGATGTGAATAGATCACAAATTGTTGGGCAGTGAAATAGTATGAAATGCTGAACATCAGCGCTGATTCTCCTCCCATTTCTGCCAAGTTTTGTTTGTTTCCGCCTGGATCCACGGAATGAACAGCGGCTGACCCGGCTTGAAGAGACCCCTTCATCGGCATGATCGACATGTTCGCTGGATGGTTTTCCAGGCGGCGCCCCCCAGTTCTATAGCTATAATAGTTGTAAATCAGTTAAATCTATATAGTGAATAGAAGTGAATAGATGTGAATAGTGGTTAATTTATAATTTTATGAACCGATTTATAACCACAGACTATTCACATCTATTCACTATAGATGTCTGTACCATAAGCCCAACAGTTAATGTATGTTAATGTCAACTCCGCATTAATAGCCCCTGGTTGATTAACCAGGGGGATTCCCGTAGATGAGTGATAATCGGCTACTAAAATGGTATCCCCGCTGTAAAACAGCCTAGTGGCCTAGTGGTTTATTAATCCGGGGGTATCCGGGTGTTGACTTTACCGTTATCATTACTGGGCCAGCCTTTGTTAGATACTTACTATAGTACTGTAATCTTATGCTATGCTAAAATGCACATTCAGCAGCTAAAACATGTTTTTTTTTGGCATCTTTCAGATTCACTTGTTGTTTTTTTTGCTTCCGAGACTTAACCAACCTCATGATGGCTTCATCCACCCGAAACTTCTTCGGGTTCTTCCGCAGGATGGCAAGGAGGATGCGGTGCACGATGCGTGGCAAGAGAGTCACCGGCTGCTCTTGAAGTTGATCGAGAAGACCATGACCAACCTGGACAAGCCAACGAGGCCGGCCGTTTTAGGCTTTTAGGGGGGAAGAACGAGGAAGAACAGTGAAGAACATGACTGGGATCTTGGAGAAGTCTGTGATCTTGAAATAGCTTTTGGACACTTCAGATCTGAAGTGCATTTTTTGGGCTTGATGGATCCACTCTTCAAGGTGGGAAGCAACCAGGAGCTGCCAATTGGTTTCTGTTCATTTTTGCCACCTCTTTATCGGGGGTTCGTTTCGGAAAATGGGAGTAGCCCTGTTCATCCATGTGATTTTCGGATCAATTACTATGACTATAACCATCCAGCTATATCCAGCGGAGGCTCATCCCCGTGGCTTAGGAAACCCTATTGATGTGGGGCATTCGATTCACCATATTCACCATGACCAGGCAGAAGATCATGTGTGCCATCACGTTGGACGCCCACAATCGAGATGTGCAAGAGCGTCGCTGGGCGCGAGTCATAGCTGGCAAATCATTTGTACAGGTAGCAATATATGTCATGTGTGTTTTCAAGTTCTTATAATATATATATATATGTATATAGACATAAATATGATAGCTATAATATAGCTATACATATTGATATCTTCGTCCATTCTGGCCTCATAGAATATGGGATAGCTGGCAAGTACATATCTGCCAGCGAGGAAAACCTTGCATGGGTACTTTATAGCTAAGCACATATTCCATGCAGGGTATCTAAGATTGGCCATGCATCCACTTGGGTTATTTTGCCCAGTATGTATTGCACTAAATACTATTATATATATAATATATATATATATGAAAAAATATGAACATCTATTCAAAATGTTTTTTTTTCCATAGTTACGTTCAATCACCAGAGGCTATATTTGGTGGCCCATCCCGCTTGGTAAGTTGATGATAACCCATTGGCTGGAATGAACCACCAAGTGTTATTTTGTAAGATGTAAAAGGACTTGAATTGGGAACAAAATTGAAGTCGCAAACGGATAAACATGCAAACATACTGGGGAATAGGGAGATAGACTTTGAACATCTTTCAGCTCATCTACCAATTATAAATACCTATTTATTTATACATATCGCCAAATATAACCCCTGGTGATTGAACGTAACTATGGACAAAAACACATGTTGAATAGATGTTCATTTTCTTTTTCATAGGTGAATCATCATATAAATTAATATAAAGTATCTATCATGGGCCATTTTCCATAGCGGTGAAGCAAAAAGTCAACGGGGCATCATGATCATCATCCCAAGCCTGATCAGGTTTGGTGCAAGAGAAGGTGATCTCCAAGGATGCTTTCCAATGGCAGAGCATGTTGAAGTGCTACTGGAAAGAGGACGCCGCTTGCGAGTGGCTGGAACATGTGAGAACTAGCAAAAAAGCTGGAAGATGTTGTAGAGAGAAGCAGGAATTCTAGGAAAAAAAATGGTTGTTTGATGTTATTTATACATAAACCAGTGTTTGAGCCTCAATACGCAACAGCACGTGCTGCTGTTTCAGTGTGTTTTACTCTAGGGATTTGCTTGCTGGTCATGGTGATACTTTCCCATCGGTGAATCCAGAATTTCATCTGTTGGGCGTTGTAGGCAAGCAAAAGTGGCCCAGGTCTGATTTTTTTTTGGGAAATTCCACCGATGTTTTTATGATGTAAATCCATGGGTTTTCATCATAAAAAAAGGACGTGGATGATGCATCGATGGAGATCGCGGATGCCAAATTGCCATATGGTTATGATCCTTGGCTGTCTTGGCTGCTTGGATGTGCTAAGCTAAATGATAGTAAACATGAATATCATATGCAAACATTGTGATGTAAGGTGATTCAATGGGACAAGAATGGGACATAATTTAATAGGATATCACCATTACTACTTGGACGTGCATCCCAGTCAGTAAGTGGTTTATAAGCCCTATATAACCCACATATAAGCCATATATAAGCCATACAGAGGTAGTCCATATGGCCTGTTACCCACTTACAGGGATGTTTGGGATATGGTTGATAAACGATGGTTGATAAACGATGGTTGAAGGGTTCAGCTAGGGAGTTCTACTAACTGCATGGTTACCAAATAGTCAAATCATTTTGGCTCAGGAGGTGCTTGGATCGGGGCAAGCACTGAAATTTATCAGTTTCCCATGATTTCTCCAAAGCTTACAATAGATGATATTCCCATCAAACAGTGTTCCTCAAAATATTCTAGTATTGTTACCATCTGGTTATTTAACATAGCCATGGAAAATCACCATGTTTTATAGGTAAACCATCTATTTCTATGGGCCATCTATACCATGGCTATGTTAAATAACCAGAGGGTAATTCATCATGATGTATCCATATATCCATAACTGTTGAATTATATCTCCCTCATATCCAACAATGATGCTGTTCCCATTAATAATGGAGATATAAGTATTCTTCAACCCATAAAGCTATGTTCTTAGATAGTATAATATATATATATGGTTGGTGGTTTGGAACATTTTTTTCCATCATATATGGGATATTTTTTCCCATTGACTTTCATATTTTTCAAGATGGTTATTGCACCACCAACCAGATATTATACGCGTGTATCCTCGTGTATCCACACCAGTTTGTCCCATAATAAGTCGGATTCCCAGATGTTCCCAGTAAAAAAAATGGTTGGTTGCCCTGCCTGTAACCGACGATGTGGAGAAGCATAGCCATAAGTAGATCATTCATTCCGAACGGAAAACCAGAACGGTTTTCCACGAATTTATCTTATAGTTTAATCCGCTGGTAACTACTATGAACTCCCATAAAATCCCATGAAATTCAACAAAATCACTTTTTAAATCCCATAAGATTGGCCATGGAAAACCATATAAATCCCATATCATATCCCATAAACAAATACCATAAGATCTTATAAAATCCCATTAAAATCCATAAAATCCCATTAACACCCATTAAAATCCCATTAAAATCCGTTTTACCACCATTCGAATGCCTGGTGAAAGCCCGCCGTTGCCCAGGAATACCTGGGCAACGGTCCTCGTCTGGTGGTCACGCCCTTAACGGATCGCATCTACGTGACAGCGACGCAGGCGATGGCGAGCGATCTGGCCATGGCCCATGTGGCCATCGAAACGGGGAAGAGTCTTACTGGTGCTTAGTAGGGATTCGTAATGATTAGTAAGCACCAGTAAGAATAGTAGGATGATTCCCTACTTAATATTAATATTAGTGGTGATCATACCATAGAATCAATGGCTTGTGGATATATATCTGGTTAGTGGTTTAGAACCATGGAACTTTATGACTTTCCATTCACTTGGGAATTTAATCATCATCCCAACTGACTTAAACTCTATCATTTTTCAGAGGGGTAGGTCAACCACCAGCAAGTAATGATTGGTAAGGATTATCCTAATATTAGGATCATTACTAATAAACTTCATTATATATATATATATGGGAATGATTAGGATCCTTACTAATGATTGTTAGGATCATTCCCTAATATTAGGATCATCCTAATGATGATTAGGATCATCCTAATAAGCCTCATTCGTAATGATGAGTGGATCACTAAGTACTCGATTCATAATATACCCGGCGGAAGGGAAACCGCGCGAGCGTTTTGTATGTGTTTTTCCAGGAGAGGCAGAATCACCTGTAATTTACAGTATAAAATGCTGTTCCGAACTCGTTTGATAATTGAATTTTGGCCAAAAAAAGTGGCTTCAAAATCTATTGAATTTTGAGAATTCCCTGCGAATACCACGTGCATCAGATGTGGATTCGACGAGTTTTTTACACACCCATCGTCGGCTCAGCGATCCTTCAGTTTGGAAGCTGTCTTTGACAGCAATTTGCCATTATGGCATTCATAACGCAACATGTAACGTAGTACAACATGTAACGTAGTAAAAGATCCCAGAAATCTTAGCAACGTAGCAACATGTAACGTAGTAAAAGATCCCAGAGATCTTAGCAACAAAGCAACATGTAACGTAGTAAAAGATCCCAGAGATCTCAGCAGCGTAGCAACATGTAACGTAGTACATGTAACGTAGTAAAAGATCCCAGAGGTCTTAGCAACGTAGCAACATGTAACGTAGTAAAAGATCCCAGAGATCTCAGCAGCGTAGCAGCATGTAACGTAGTACAACATGTAACGTAGTAAACGATCCCAGAGGTCTTAGCAACGTAGCAACATGTAACGTTGTAAAAGATCCCAGAGATCTTAGCAACAAAGCAACATGTAACGTAGTAAAAGATCCCAGAGATCTCAGCAGCGTAGCAACATGTAACGTAGTACAACATGTAACGTAGTAAAAGATCCCAGAGGTCTTAGCAACGTAGCAACATGTAACGTAGTAGAAGATCCCAGAGATCTCAGCAACGTAGCAACATGTAACGTAGCACACGTACCCAGACATCTTGGCAATATGGCAATATATAATGCACGAAGTACAAGGAACGTTAACATGCCCCCCCACCCCCCCCCACCCCATCAGCAGCGTAGCAACATGTAACGTAGTAAAAGATCCCAGAGATCTCAGCAGCGTAGCAACATGTAACGTAGTACAACATGTAACGTAGTAAAAGATCCCAGCGGTCTTAGCAACGTAGCAACATGTAACGTAGTAGAAGATCCCAGAGATCTCAGCAACGTAGCAACATGTAACGTAGCACACGTACCCAGACATCTTGGCAATATGGCAATATATAATGCACGAAGTACAAGGAACGTTAACATGCCCCCCCACCCCACCCCAAGCAGCAATACGCAAAAAAGTAGCAAAACGCACGTACGGTTTTCCTGCCGTAGGCATAAACTATATTAGAGGGAATGAGGGAATAATATATATATATATATATTAGTACATCATCATCTTTCTATATTAGTACTCAAGTACTCTATTAATACATGGGAATGAAGGAATGAGCCATCTGAAAAAAAACATATTAATCCTATTCCTCCATTCCCATCCTCTACGAAACATGGCGACGCCGCTACGAAATGGTGGATATCTCCACCACCCAATAGTTACCCGGCCTGGTTATGACTAACTAACATAGCCATGGAAAATCCCCAGCCATAAATGGAGGTTTCTGGGAAAAATATACCATGGCTATGTTAAATAACCAGAGGGTACCCGGCCTGGTAATTTTTTACATAACAATTTTGGGAATCACCATGCTATGAAAATGGGTAAAAATCAATGATTTCGACTGGGCCATTTTCAATAGTTATCTGGTTGGTGGTTTCAAACATGAATTTTATTTTCCAAAATATATGGGATAATCCTTCCCATTGACTTTCATATTTTTCAAGATGGTTATTGCACCACCAACCAGTTATGTTAGTTTACCAGAGGGTACTGGAGTTCCGTTGGTCAACTTCGCCAACAGCTTGGGGGGCACCTCTACTGTCACTGTAGTGAGGTCCTCACCATCAACCCCTATACGGTACTATAGGTGGGTGCCCGAATTCGTTAGCTAAGTCAAGGTAGTTTCCAACTCCAATAACTAGCCTTTATGGTTGATGTATCTATTTATTATCTATAGGCAGTATCTATGTGGGATGTAAACCAACAAACATAACATTTGGGGGCACCACCCTGGTAGTTGACGAGTCACAAGTTGTTTTATTGTTTTATTCCCCATTTGAATATAGTCATGTCACCATAAACCCAAGATATTTAACCTATAACTCTAGCGATTTCACCATCAATTGCACCATAAACCCAGGATCCTACACTTCTGAAGCACCAGCTTGCCCTTTTTGGCCCAAAAAACCGGTGGTCACTTCACCCACTGCCCTTGAAAAACCACGTCCGACGTCAGGCCTTGCACTTGTGCATGGGCTGCGCGCCGGCCGGACCTGCTGGCACTGGGAAGACGGAAAGTACCAAGGACTTAGCCAACGCCGTGGCGAAGGCGGAACAGCCCGGTGCCAACCTGCCAACCATATCTGGTTGGTGGTGACTGGAACCATGGAATTTGATGACTTTTCACAAATTGGGAAAAGTAACCCCAACTGACGAACTCCATGATTTTTCAGAGGGGTAGGTATACCACCAACCAGATATATATATATAACCACAGTTATCTAGGGGATATCTTATGGGGGTTATAACGGTTATAGCGTTTTTTGGCCTCAACTGCACCCCCAAGTAGACGTTCATCCACCTAAGCATGGTACGCAGATGCAACCCATGGTGCTGGAATATTTATTTATATATATATATACCTACATTTACCCCCCAACAAAAAATTGCCCAGTTTTGTAGGTGTGCATATTTCAGCACCATGGTGGTTCGCATCTGGGACAACTCATTGGGCTATGTTTTTTTCAAAGCTGGGTACTGTGAATTGACACTTCAAGCTACCCTTTGGTAAACGTTTACATGGCGAACTGGAAAATCACCATGTTTAAATCTGTTTAATGAACGTAAATGAACTATTTCTATGGTCATTTTCAATAGCGAACTGTTAGTCATTACCAGGCCGGGTATCAGATTTGGGCCAACATTTCTACTTCCAACATGGGTTGATCTCCGACACTTTCTCGATAGTCTATCTCGCAAAAAATCTGCAAGCATGCGAAGAAAAATGTGATGAGAAGAAGAAATGTATCGATTCGATTGATGAAAAACAAGACATGAAACAAACAGGAAAACTGGAGCAATCGTACGGAATATTCATGGCTTTGGGCCCGAAATACCCTTTGTCAAACTTGCTACCTCCAGGCATGAGGGGAAAGCTGCAAATTTTGTACCCATTAATGATGTTTGTAGCAGATTGGACGAATGATGAAACCATCAAAACACATAAAGACCAGGGAAATTCATGAAAACGCAGGATTGAATCACACAAACCGTGTTAAAATGATGGACAACAGCATCAATACATGCATGTAATGGAAAATGGATGAAAGGCAGCATCCAACCAGCTCGAAACAGATGGAACATCATGAAACGGCATCAACACGTGTCAAGAATACGGAACGTATTGAACAATACATGCCCGAAATACCTTTTGAATATCTACTTTGTCGAATTTAGCATGCAGGCATGTGAAGAAAGCTGTGATTTTCGTTGCAGTGAACCTTTCCAGTCTCCAGCTAAGGTTTCTATACCTTCTAATCAACTAATGTCAACTTCGGAAGAATATACCCCGGTAGATTAATTTCAGGGGTCTTCCCATAGCGATAATCAACTTTTGAAACATCAACAGCCCAGGAGTTTGTTGATTCGGGGGGTTGACATCATCATTCTATAATTTTATGGCGTTTTTTCTGGGGGGGGTCCCAGCACACTGATCTACAAATTGTGGATGTTCCAAGCCGCCAACACGGAATATTCTCATGATATCCCCATGACATCCCTATAAGATCCCTATGATATCCCCATGATATCCCTAGTGCAAAGGATGTTCAATGATTTTCCGCAGTGGAGGCCTGCTACGTCATCAATGCGGCGCCAGAGATGGACTATCTGACGTTGGGTGATATCTACAAAGGCCTTTTTGAAAACCTCGGTGGTTTTCCGCCCGATGGAAATCCGCTTTGGGCTATATGCAGTTTGGAGGATCATCCCACTTAGTAAGCATTTAATAAGTCTGGTTAGTACATCACCTATGTGTGTTGTGCCGTCTATAAATACCCTCTGGTAAACTAACATAGCTATTGAAGATGGCCCATAGAAATAGATGATTTTCCCATTAAACATGGTGATTTTCCATAGCTATGTTAGTTTACCAGAGGGTAGATTACAACTACAGTATATTACTAACCATTGACGAGTCGTGGGATGATCCTTCAAGTGGGAATTGTCAAATTTCATGTTCATCATCGTCTTGCCAAAATCGCCAGCTCACATGTTTAGAAGCTGTCGAACCGGGATTTCACCCTTTTCTCATGGTGAAATCCCGAACAAAAACGTGATGGTTTGTTGCTAGCAATTTTAGCCCCAGAAACCATTTGGGCACCACCTCGTAGTTGATAGGTGAATTTCCCCAAATGTGATCGAAAAAAACCAAACCCTTTGTGGTGAAGTCACTAATGTTTGGATCAACACCACTAAAATATACGAAAATCACCTTTCTGAATTTTGATCTCTAGACTCTAAATCCCAACTTATCATAATTTATCAAGGTTTTCTATCTTACGATCTGAACTCTAAATCCCAACTTATTATATTCTTATCAATTTTCAAGGCTTTCTTAAGGCAAAATTCATGTTTCACATCCCATCCCTACGGATCCCAAAAAACACGGTCTTTTCGATACGCTACGGCCGCTACGGCTAAAACGGGGGCCCCATGATAGTCCCATAGAAAAATCCCATGAACAAGTCCCATATTCAAACAACAATCTCCCGTTATCCCATGATTATCCCCTGATTATCCCATTAGTGTACCATTAGTGTACCACTATTGTTGTTTTTTTTTTACCAGCCATGATCAGTTATCTAAGTCTATATAAATCCCAACTTATCATCAATTTTCAACGTGTTTTTTTAAGGCAAAAATCTCTGAACAAATCCCATCAAGGTTTTTCTTTCCCATGATTCAGCATATCACCAGCACTTACCATCATCTATCAGGATCCATAGGTGAAGTAAAGGAGCCATGTCAAATCCCATCTGGTTGGTGGTGACTGGAACTTTATGGAATTTTGAATGACTTTCCAGAAACAGTTGGGAATGTCAGAAAATCCCAACTGACGAAGTCCATGATTTTTCAGAGGGGTAGGTAGCCCCCACCAACCAGATGTTCCTAATATGGGATAATCGGATAATCCTTCCCATTGACTCATATTTTTCAAGATGGTTAAAACATGTTAAAACCAACAACCAGCCATGGTTCTCCATGCATTTTTTCTTCAGAACACCGCGAGGCCTCTCCGCGAGTGGCTCCTGGGGTTGCTTCGATGAGTTCAACCGCCTGGTCCCCGAGGTGCTGTCGGTGTGCACGGTGCAGTTCAAGGCGCGGGGCATTTTTTGGAGGAAAAACGTCGTGGTTTTACCATGAAACATGATGGTTTTAGAATGAACAATGGTGGTTTTCAAGTGAAGAACTGGGTTTTTACCATGGAAAATGGTGGAGCACATGGTGGTTTAAAGGATGTTTAAAGCATGACACATTGTGAAGTAGGGTTATATCCCTTGTTTTTCAGTGGGATAAGTAGATAAAGATCCACTAAAAAATAACGGTGAACTGACCTACTGAGGGTTCTTGGGATGAGCCACTTGGTGAGGACTTGGCCTTGTTTCATGGTGGTGAAGTAACCAACAAACATGGCGGTAGAATTGGTATACATAAACCAGCCAATAATGGTTAATATTGGTTAAAAGTCATTAGTCATCCATTAATCCCCATTATTAACCAATACTCAGCCAATAATAATGGTTACTATTGGTTAAATTTTGGTGATTGATGGATGACTGATGATTAATGTAAACAAACCATCTGGTTATGACATTCACAGTTAGCGAACTGGAAAGATCCACCATGCTATTAATAGGTAAACCATCGAACTTTCTATGGGCCATGGCTTAACCATGGCTATGTTAGTCATACCCAGAGGGTACATAAACCAGATGATTTTAAGATCATGTTTGGTCCGTCAAAAAAAAGTCACTTCTGGCCGAAGCAAACCATACAAGGTGGTGCCCCCCAGTGATGTGAACGTTGGTTTATAAACCCCATGAAAATTATAGATATATCTACCATAAACCATAGTGAAATTGGAGTTATGTTCACCAACTGTTTCATGGTAAAACCACCATTTTTCATGGTAAAACCACCATTTTTCATGGTAAAACCACCATTTTTCATGGTAAAACCACCATTTTTCATGGTAAAAGCACCATTTTTCATGGTAAAACCACCATTTTTCATGGTAAAAGCACCATTTTTCATGGTAAAAGCACCATTTTTCATGGTAAAACCACCATTTTTCATGATAAAAGCACCATTTTTCATGGTAAAAGCACCATTTTTCATGGTAAAACCACCATTTTTCATGGTAAAAGCACCATTTTTCATGGTAAAACCACAATTTTTCATGGTACCAACTTTTTGGTCGTTAAACGCCTAAGGCGGTGTGCGATGCCATCAGGGCCGGCATGACGCGCTTCATGTTGCAGGGCGATGAAATCAACCTGAATCCGCAGGTGCGGTGTGCGATGCGGAACGGGGTCGGTTGGTTTGGTCACTTAGGGATGGTTAAATTGAGAGGACCACATGTTAGTTTATCTATGTTAGTTTATCTATGTTAGTTTATCTATGTTTAGTTTATCTATGTAGTTTATCTATGTTTAGTTTATCTATGTAGTTTATCTATGTTTATCTATGTTCAATAAATAGACAAATGTTAGTTTATCTATGTTTATCTGTAACTGGCTGGTGACTGGAACATGGATTTTGGAATGACTTTCCATTCAGTTGGGAATAATAATCCGATTAATCCTAACTGACTTTCATATTTTTCAGAGGGGTTGAAACCACCAACCAGTAGTTTATTTGTAAGTATTAACCATCCATTTTTAGTACCCAATTTTGACCCATAGCCACTTGGGTTTCAGTGATCACGTGGGAGATTTAGCCATGATTATTACATGAAAAATAGCAGTTTTCATGTGGAAGATACAGTACATCATTCTACAAGGTGGTGCCCCCCAGTTATAAGTTGGTTTATAAGCCCATTAACTATAGATATATCTACCATAAACCATAGTTATTGGAGTTATAAACCAACTTAGCTATCTTGGGGGCACCACCTTGTAGGGGTACCATATTTTCAAGCCCGCTTTATGCATCATCCCACGAATCGTCAACCATTTGAACAAGCCTAGTGATCGTAAGTCCCGCTTTTGGACTTGTTGGGTAACTCATTGATGGTCAAATCATCTAGAAAATCTAGAAATGGGTGAGTCCCATGTGTGTCGTTGAATGAAAACCAGTTATCTCATGTCAAACAGATAGTTCACGAATTTTCCACCATTTCTTCATTTTTCTTGGTGAACTCAGTGATTCAACATGGTGAACTCCCCCAGGTTCAACCTTGTGCCCGGCTCCACACCGGCATCGGCGCCTCAGGTGGGTTGCTTCATCACCATGAACCCGGGCTATCTGGGCCGGTCCGAGCTACCTGAGGGCTTGAAGGCCTTGTTCCGACCCATCACGGTGATGGTGCCGGACTTCAAGCTCATCATGGAGAACATGTTCATGGGATGCTCGGATGATTAATGATGGATTAATGATGGATTTATGATGGATTAATGATGGATTAATGATCCCTATGGATCCATGGCCACTGTCGAGAGGAAGGTACGGCTAACCCCCTAGTCATCATACCCCAGTCCCACTTCCTAGGAAGGTACGGCTGGATCCATAGGGGATGATTAATGATGGATTAATGATGATTAATGATGGATTAATGATGGTTTGGTCTATGGATGATCTAGAAAATTCCGAATTCCAGTTTGTACCTCCATGAATGTGGGAAAAATGGACACATGGGACGCTCGACGGATGTGTTTTTTGGAATCCTGGATGGCTTATGGATGATCTATATGGATAAACCTCCATTCCATTCCTGGTCAATGGCCATGAAGATTTTTAGGCTTTATGGATGCAAAATGGTGGATATAAGGAACTGGATGATCTCGGATGTATTTTTTTTCTGATTTTGCGGGGATATAAGGAACTATAAACTACGTAGTTAATGGGTTTAGAAACCAACAAGCTGGGAAATTACATAAAACATATTAAAGAATCATAAAAGGATGTCCGAATTTCTGGAAATATTTGGAAATGACAGAAATATATATATTTTTCCATAGTGACCATGACTTGAAACCCATGGCTTTTGACTTCCGATGGTCGAGGTGAAGGGTTCACTGAAGCCAAAGCCCTGGGACTGAAGTTCTCCACGCTCTATGCCTCCTGGTTGAACTCAGCGCAAACAGATGGGAAAAAAATAATAAGGGCGATGTTCAAGCCATGATTACATTTAATAGAATGATACAAAATGCTTGAAGATGTTCAAAACCATAGAACTACAGGGATTTAAGGTGAGATTTGATTTTCCTTCCACTTTGTTGGTTTTTGTTGGGTATTGTTTGAACATGACCAGGAGAAATGATGCGTCCTGGGTTTGCTGCATGGTTCCATGATCATAAGTTTTTGTTTTGGGAGATATGACAATATATATATCATATATATATATATATCATAAATAATATCATATATATATATATATTATCTATAGATATCTGGGACCATAGTGATATGACCTATCGACCATATCTTGGAATCCACTTTAAGATATCCATATTTTCATCTTCCATCATCCATGTGGTGCCGATCATTTTGCTGGTGCCATGGTGGTTTCACCACTTAAGAAGCACCTCGAGGCTTTGAACAAGGACTTGCTCTCCCAGTCCAAGAAATATGCCACCTGGCAGCTGAGAGATAGCCAGCTTGGCTTGCGATGTTTTTTTTTGAGGTCAGAATCAGAAGGATTTATAGGGAAACCCGGAAGCCATAGGAACAAGAAAAATATTTTCATAACTACCAAGATAGAAGGAACTACCATGAACTACCTAACATAGACTACTATGGTGGTATTTTACAAATAGTTCCTTCCTCTATTTGTTCCTTTTTTCTTAGGCTTTAGGGTTTAGGGATATCTCTCTGGGATGAACATCGGAATATCATGGGACAGTATCCCATTAAAAAACCGATGAGATTTTCCCAGTAAACGCTCCATTTCTCTCCATTTATCTCATCATTTATAGGACATGTCCCATTGCTATCAATGGGAATTCCAAGATCCTAAAATGGAGGTACTGTACCATATAAGGCCATATTTTGGGGGGATATCCCCTTACATAGCCCTTATATAGGCCTTATATATGGTAGGTACCTCCATTTTAGGATCCTGAAATTCCCATTGATTGCTATGTTTGATTGCCGGAGGTACATCATCCACATTATATCCACCAAAAATTTCATCCTCACGAGGATTGCATCGCTTTTTTTTGGCTGCTTGAAATCATGTTTTTCTGAAAGAAACACCATGTCTATGGCTGAATCGGCCTTTCTGTTGGTGAAATTACCAGCTTGTTGCTTGTGGTCGAGCCCCCCAAGTGTTGTGAGTGAACCTTGGACACAAGAAAAGAACGCACAGGGTCCAAAGATTAAAACCCTGGCTTTAGGGTAGATCAACTATGAACCCTAAATCCCAAAGAACACACATTCCCATATTTTTTTTTCTGAGCCTCCCCCAGCATTTCCTCAGTTTCTGGCGGATTCTGGCGGTGTCCCCCTAGGACTGGGGCATGCGAGCCATCAAGAGTGTGCTGGTGGTGGCCGGCGGCTTCAAGCGTCCCTGGTTTCACAAGAAAGAATTGCGTCCCTGTATCATATATTGGGATATCCCAATATGGTGGTTTCCTAAACTAGGGGTACCCCCAAATCATCCATGCTAATTTCGGATTTTACAGTGGAACCATCCATGTTGGGGTACCTTTATTTTAGGAAACCTCCATAGAACTAGGGGGAGTACCATAGTGGAATTGCCTGGGGATTTCATCTTGGAAAATGGATTTATAGAGGCTATAATACGGGACCCATAAAAATGGACCCAGCTTATGATTTCATCAACTGGGAATAGCAGCACTAAGTGAACAGGGGAACTCTCAGAGCATATTTGGATAAGTAATATGGATCGAAGACATTGACAACCAGGGCCAAAAATGAAGGGTAATATCGATTGGAAAGCAGCAAATTGAGGCCTAAAATCAGGATGAGACTTCATATCTTTTTATTTGTTATACTGTATTTTTCCGGATTTCCTGCGCCAAATGAAAATAGACATGGAAAGCTCATCGTTTTCCAAAGAACATGCGAGCCGCAAATGCAAAGCTCATCTATGTCATTTTGCTTGAGGGTACCCTCCGGTCTCATCAATCCTAAATCATCTAATTATACCATAGCTATACTGGTTGGTGGTTTGGAACATTTTTTTATTTTCCCCAATAGTTGGGATGATGATCCAATCTGACTTTCATATTTTTCAGAGGGTTGAAACCACCAAGCAGTATATGTTAAATATTGTAAAATAACCAAAGGGTAAATGAGAAAAATCAATGACAAGAAATCCCCCGACAACCTTCTGACACTTTGATGATTGGAACAATCGAGAGCAGACCCCCTCCATGTTTTTTTCACACTAGAACCACTCAGTTTCAGCTGCAAATTTCCAACAAAACCAACCCAGTGAAACCTCTCAGCCACCATGTTTTACATGTTTTTCCACTAAATTCTCATACATGGCAAATCTCCATGTTTGATGCTCAAACCATCGCACAACATCTCAAAACCCCAATGTTTTCAGGGTTCCATCCATCATTTTCCATGGTGAACCATGGTGAAACCATGATTTTTCCCGGTGAAACCACCATGTTTCCTGCTAAAACCCATGGATTTTCATCGCTTCAGGGTGTCCTCTTGAGGTGCCGATGCCAGTCTGTCGGAGCAGGCGGTCCTGATGCGGTCCCTGCGCGACACCAACGTGGCGAAGATCGAAGGCGACGACCTGCGAATCTTCATGGCTCTGCTGGGCGATCTCTTCCCAGGCTGCCGATGTTGATGAAAAAAATGCGGGGGGATCAAGCGGGCTGCCAGCATGTGGTGGATTTATATTGATTTATAGATGATCTATAGTTGATGAAATGTGGTGGTGTTTTTTTTCAGGTGAGATGATTTGTGAGGGTGATCTCTCTATTTTCTAGAGGATTTCATCAGCAAAAATGATGGAACCTGGGAATGGAGGAGGAAATTTGCAGGCGGGGATGGGTGCACAACAAAGAATTATGGAACATGTGAATATAAGAGAGAACAACTGTGATTTCAAGTCGATCATAGTTGACTTTTGATGGACATTTATAGTATTAAATGGTTCTATTACAGTCCTCAACTAGACAGAACAGTTATTTAACACAATTTTTGTGGGACTTTACTTTTCGTTGGGTTATGGCAGATATTTCTATAGTCAATGGAGGATACTCCAAATTTGCCATTCTAAGAGTGGGGAGGGTTGACCATCAGACATAGGCTATGATGAGGGATGTTCATATCATATCTATACAATGTGGGGCCCCCTAGATGGCTAAGTTGGTTTATAACTCCAATAACTATGGTTTATGGTACTTATAGCTATAGTTAATGGGGTTTATAAACCAACTTATAACTGGGGGGCCCCACATTGTAGTTAGATGGGTTTTGAAGTAGACCGATTTACCTTATTTTTGGGTCCCCACATTGTAGTTGGTGTGGGGGATTGGTGGATAATGGTGAAGATTATCAAATTATCATTGTGTTATTATTATTATTATTCTGGGTAAATTATAACGACCTCACTGCGACCTCACTGGAATCATAGTTGATAAGGGAAATCATCCCCAAATGGCCTTACTTCAGGTTAGTGAAATATTATGATTTACCCAGATTATTGTTATTACCAGTACCATTATTACTGAACACATCTAAACACATTGTTCCCCACCTGCCAGGTGAGGGTTGTTAGATTTTATGTCAGTTGCCTGGTCCTCCTCGTCCTCCTCCTCCTTCTCCTCCTCCTCCTCCTCTCGTTGTCCTCCTCGTCCTCCTGCTCAACTGCGACTCGCGATCCACAGTGTTCTCTGTCGGACCTCCACCACGACCATCCACGCCCAGTGTTCCCTGCCGGACCTCAACCACGACCATCCACGCCCAGTGTTCCCTGCCGGACCTCAACCACGACCATCCACGCCCAGTGTTCCCTGCCGGACCTCAACCACGACCAGCCACGCCCAGTGTTCCCTGCCGGACCTCAACCACGACCAGCCACGCCCAGTGTTCCCTGCCGGACCTCATCTGCGAGTATCCATGCCAAGTGTTCCCTGCCGGACCTCAACCGCGGGTATCCATGCCAAGTGTTCCCTGCCGGACCTCATGTAGGAAGATATGGGACAAAGAATGTGCAGAAGAAAGTTAGAAAGAATGTGAGAAAGAATGTAGAAGATATGCCAGAAGATATGTCAGAATATATGCCAGAAGATATGTCAGATAGAATGCCAGAAGATATGTCAGAATATTTGCCAGAAGATATGCCAGATAGAATGCCAGATAGAATGCCAGAAGATATGTCAGATAGAATGCCAGAAGATATGCCAGATAGAATGCAGAAGATTTGCCAGATAGAATGCCAGAAGATATGCCAGATAGAATGCCAGAAGATACCAGCAGAGATTATGCAGAAGATATGTCAGAATATATGCCAGAAGATATGTCAGATAGAATGCCAGAAGATATGCCAGAAGATATGCCAGATAGAATGCCAGATAGAATGCCAGAAGGTATGTCAGATAGAATGCCAGAAGATATGCCAGATAGAATGCCAGAAGATTTGCCAGATAGAATGCCAGAAGATATGCCAGAAGATATGCCAGATAGAATGCCAAATAGAATGTCAGAAGATATGTCAGATAGAATGCCAGAAGATTTGCCAGTAAGAAAATGTATAAATGTCATGGTGGGGATCACACGAAGTAAAGTATTTTTTTTGCTGGATTGATGTAATGGGCTGATTCTGATTTTATCAACAAAACAAGGGGGAGTTAAGGGGTGGACAGAGCCGGAGAAGCTTTAAAGTGCAGGTCACTGGGTTCGTTTTGTGGCAGATAGAGAAATACGTTGTGTCCCAGAACGGCGGTTCTTGGGCCCCAGCCCCAGTTTCAGCAAAGCCTACTGTTACAGTACTCAGTCCCAAAATGTAGCCTATTTATAGTTCCAATAACCTTTTAGGTTTCTGGCTTATGGTAAATTTATACTGAACCAGTTCATGGGGGGTTATGGGGGGGTTGTCAACCAACAGGCATAACTGGGCAAGTACCGCCTTGTGCTTGAAATCCCAGACATGGGAGTGGCAAGTGTTGAAGCGATTAGGTCAAGGATAGAAGATCCAGGTGTAGGGAACCAGAGATGAATTTTGGGGACAATTTTTGGGGAACAACATCGACTAGTTTGTTCTATTCTAGATCCCAAAAAAAACACAACATAGTTCATCATCCCAGTTGGGGTACACAGTTTTGATTTATATATATATATACATATATATATATACATATATATATACATATTATATATATACAAATATATATATATATACAAATATATATATATATATACATGTAATATACATGTATATATTTATACTGTGTTCCCATTAAAGGTGCCCCAAATGGTCGACAGGCATTGATGTGCCCCGAGCCCGCGATTACGAGATGGAGGTGCGGATGGTTTGAACCACTTTGAAAAGGCCCCAAAAAATTCTGGGCATAATCCCTGAAATTTAGCATCTGGTTATGACTCACATAGCCATGGAAAATCACCAGTTTTAATAGGTAAACCCAGGTAAACCATCTATAAATGGGCCATTTTCCATGGCTATGTTAAATTACCAGAGGGTAGCTCTAAAAAATACGCCATATATGTCGGTAGCTCCAGTTCCTGAAATGGCCATTCCTGTGGAAAAAACTGTCCAAGTTCTCTCAGTTTCAAAAAAACTTCCCCAGCTTCATATACGCAGCTTGATCCACCATTCTAAGTGATGTTCATCATCCATTATGTTCTCTTCTCCGAAATCATGTTTTGATCAGAATCGAACAGCATCCGGTGGCTAGAAGGCAGCTAGGCGACTATCGGCACCGCTTTGCTCAAAAAATGGGGAGCCCAGAGCAATGAATTGAGTGTCCCAACCAATATTAGAACACATTGATGATAGTGAATGATGATAATGAAGTGACATTTAATGGTGGTTGGTGATGGTCGGTCATCTGATAGCTCATGGCAAAACCATGATTCTTACATATTCTTACCACACACTAACCATATTGTAGGAATTTGTAGGATATGTTCACCAAAATGGTGGAGTAAAACCGGTGAAATCGGCCATTTCAACAGAACTCCCTTTGTTGCCAGAACCATCGGCCGGGAATCGGCCGGCTGTAGGAAGTGCTGGTGGATGTGATGCAAACGGACTACGGCTACACCCACGACCCCGATGGCTATCTTCTCTTGAAGATCACCCAGCTGATTGAGCTGCTGGGTATCCGACACTGCGTGCCTTGGCGTGGCGGTAGTGATCTTTCCATGTGGTGAAAAAACAATGCCACCCTTACCATGCCCCAGTCATCACCATTTTTATAGGTGGTATGTAAACCATTCCATGACCATTCCCAGTCATGGATGGTTTATGCTGGTTGGTGGTGACTGGAACCATGGAATTTCATGACTTTCCATTCACTTGGGAATTGAATAATCATCCCCCACTGACTTTCACTCCATCATTTTTCAGAGGGGTTGGTTGGAACCACCAACCCGGGCTGGTAAACATGGCATTGTCAGACGGATCCCAAATGATCCCATCGCGATGTTCACGGTGGAAATTTTCGAGCCTCCGAGGGTGACGTTTTTGAGGTTCGGTTCATCCCCTTTTTTCAGTGCGCAATACAACCCATCATTCGATCATATACTATCCCCATGATTTCCGATTGATGCCCATTTTGGGTTGGTTCTCTACCTGTTGTCTCAATGTGTTATTCTTTACTTATCTAGACTTATATGATTGGTACATCCCTTTTTCATGAATAGGAACATCGGAACTTAGACATCTAGACATCCCAATGTGTTTTTGAACACAAAAATATTTTTGGTACATCTAAAGATTTATATCCCCGGTTTGGGTTTGAACATCGACCTTAAGTTATCCCAAGAATGGTTCGTGTTGGTCAACCTAGGTCTTCTTGATGGGCAACCCGGGCAGCTTCAAGTCCGCCATGTGGATGCTTTGCCGAGCACTTAAACGGGAGGGTGAAAATTGCTGGGATTAATGCTGATACTAATGGCTGGTTAATAGTGGTTAATAGTGGTTTAAGTTAATAATGGCTAAAAATGGCTAATGATATAAAGCCTGGTTGGTGGTCTGGACCATTTTTTATTCTTCCATTCAGTTGGGAAGAATGATCCCAACTGACGAACTCATATTTTTCAGAGGGGTAGGTCAACCACCAACCAGGTTAAATAGAAAAGAAGGATAATCAACTAATATAACATGCATAGCCAACATGATTGGCTAAACGGTGATTTATAACATGTATAATCATTGTTGGTTTAAACGGTGATTTATAAGATGTATAATCATTGTTGGCTTAAACGGTGATTTATAAGATGTACAACCAACAAGAATAGTGACATGTTATGTTACAAATGGGTGAATACGGGCTTTAATTGTGCGGGTGTCTTTTTAAGCGAGGGATACCCATGGGTAAACATGATAAGCCATGGGATTTGGGTGTACATGATTTTAGGCAACCCCTTCCAGCCACATTTCTTGACTGATAGATTCAAGTAAACAGCCATCAACATGGCAACTTTATGCAACTTATTTATTTATAGCCTTGTGTCTTTTGCGGGCCATTGTAGGCGTTCATTCATCCTTTTTCGTTTCTCTGTCTTGGCTTATCACCAAAATTACTTGCCCAGGGACCTTTTTAAAAGCCAGCAATCTATCAGGATGTGTGTTTCCTAAAATGCATGTTGGTCCCTTTTTTGGATGATTTGGGAATCATGTTGATAATGCACAAACTGATCCCCAGAACGATGAGAAAACGAGCGGGTGAGCTTGGGAGTTGTCGCACGGGGAATCGAAACTAAAGCATCTCAGCAATGGATGGTGAAATTCTACTGGTTTCCTGCCCAAAGCATGGATGAAAAAACCGTTGAACCACCAATGTGGTAGGCCCACCAATATGAAGCGCATGTTTCAAGATCTATGCGGTTTACGTCAACAACACATTTTCGAAGTCAAAAAAAACAATATATTGCTTGGTGATTATAGGAGTTATACTACATTATAGTACCCAATCTGGTTAGTGGTTTGGACCATTTTATATTTTTCCATATATTGGGAATTTCATCATCCCAACTGACGCACTCATATTTTTCAGAGGGGTAGGTATACCACCAAGCAGTTGGGGATTTGCACTAAACCGATTCTGCGAATCATTCGTTCTACCAACCGATTCCATGCTGAAAAGGATGGAATGACAGAGGTAACACTAGACATATGGACATATCAGCATGGTCTATGATGGAATGGGATTACCTGGTATCATCATCACCTATATATATATATATTATAGATACAACTTCATTGATATTTTTCATACCATCATATGATATCATATTACAGTGAAAATTAGATTATAGCCATAAACCAAAGCATATCTATGAAACAGTTTACCCGTTTACCCTCAGTTTTCCTAAGTTTTTTTTTTTTTGCGAGGAAAGTCTTGAAGAACGCCAAGACACGAAGGGGTGAGAAGACGACCACAGTGGATTTCAGTCCCAAGGCAGGGGGTTGCTGCGTCCCATCTCTGAATCCAGCGGGGGTTTCCATATGGCTACAATAGCTGGATGGTTTTACTGAACAAAAATCCGAAGAGATCCGAAAGTAAAATGGATGATAACTGGGGCACCCCCAGTTTAGGAAACCACCATATCAACTTTGAATATGTTTTTTATATGTGTTTTATATGTTTTTTTTTTTCATTTTTCATTCTTGTTAGCCACCTTAAGATCCTGAAGCAAGGCAGTCAGACTGGGACAGTGAGGAATGGTGAAAAGCATACTGAGCTAACTGTTGGCTTTATGGTAGATTAATATATTAAGATCTAGGTCAGGGGGGTAAGTAAAGCCACAAACATCAGCTGGGGGTAAGTAAAGCCTTGTGAAAATGGGGAAGTTCGCCAAACATAAAAAGCAGGTAAAAAGGCGAACAAGTGACGGTTTAACCAGCAGAAATCAGGACTTGACCACTGAATTCTCGAAATGGTATTGTCTTAGAAAGGGGGATACCATATACATTTCCCATGAAGTTGGAAAACTTGTGAGAAAGGACTGGTTCTTGCATAACTTGCTTCAGACAAATCCATACTTGAAACATCCATCATCGATGATGTTGTTACTACCCTCAACAAACCCACTTGTAACTGGCATGAGCCACTTCTAGTATTCCATGAGAATACCCTAATAGGTTATTTAACTATATTAAAAATCACATTTTTTACAAGGTAAATCCTACATTTATAGGATAAATCAGCTATAGATCAGCTATAAATGGGCCATAAATGGGACCCTTAGGGTGTAGCCCTGGCCCATCCTCAGTCGCTCCATTCCAGTAGTAACTTAGTAATTAATATACATATATTAATAGATATAGATGTAGTCCTTGTTGATAGCAAAATCATGGAAATCATTAGTAAAAACTGGTTGGTGGTTTGGAAAATGACTTTTATTTTCCATTTCATATATGGGATGTCATCCTTCCCATTGACGAACTCCATCATTTTTCAGAGGGGTAGGTCAACCACCAACCAGACATAGATATGCTGTGATATGCTCGATGTCTAGTCTGTCTCGTAAGCTAACGCCTACATTTTTATGGCTTTGTTTTGTAAATGTTGGCACATGTTCTACCCTCTGGTAAACTAACATAACTATGGAAAATCACCATTTTCGATGGGAAAATCCACTATAAATGGTCATTTTCAATAGCTACGTTAAATTACCAGAGGGTATACTACGGAGCATTGGGGTAAAAACAAGATGTGCAACCACCATTTCGATCATTTTCCAAGGGATTTTCATGTTTAGTCCCGGGTAAATCCCATCGTAAATCTCTTGAAATTCCCAACCAATCCCTGAAAAAATCCCTCCCCAAAAAAAAAACTATACAATCCCCTGAAATCCTAGAAAATCCGGCAGACGCCTGTTCAAAATACAGCCATGTTTTCATCCCCTTGGTTTACCCCAGTGGGTAGCCTTCCTTCGTTGCTTCAGGCCATCTCTACGAACGAGCTCTATGGCTTCGTTAACATGCAGACGCGCGAGTGGAAGGATGGTATCATCTCCAAGGTGCTCCGCGGTTTTTGTTCGCCTTTTTCGATGGGAAGATTTTGAAGCAAATGGCTGATCATCAATATACATTATTAGGTAAAGAAATCATGCATTTCGTGAATTATATGGAATACGATTATTCTATATATATATATATGAATAAATATTGTTTCTTTGATGTTTAATATATATATATATACACGTTGTTGTGGTAAACCCACGGATTCAGGGATTTTCACATCTTTCCCACGGCAACACCAGAAAAATGCAGGCTTGAAACGCAATGATGGCCAACGGCCCGAAGGGCTGGTTGCAGAACTCACCTGGGTGTTCCCCCATTCCATCCATAGATGTGGGTAAAACAATAATACCCCATCCCCCAAATCATTCCCAAATGGGTGGTTTACTATTGTTTTACCCACATTATAATTATGATACCCTCTGGTTATTTAACAGTTCGCCATGGTATAGATGTCCTATTTATAGATTGTTACCTATTAATAGCATGGTGGATCTTTCCATGGCGAACTGTTAGTCATAACCAGATAGTAGATGGTTTTTCCCAATGAAAACTTATGGTAATTACATTAATCATCATATTAGTCATCCATCAATCACCATTATTAACCAATATTAACCAATATTATTGGCTGATTACCCATGAAAACTCCCAGCATTTCAAGGATGGAAAAACCCCCATGGTTTTACGTTGCCAGCCAGTGTTTTGTCGGAGAGGTGATGCGAGACTTGGGTCAAATCCCAGATACCCACCCCAAGTGGATCATGTTGGACGGCCACTTGGCAGAGATTGTGATCTGCTTGGATCATATGGCGATGACTCCCATATGCTCCATGCCCAAATGTAGGTAAATATTACATCCATGGAGCATACGGGTATATGGTTTAAATATGGATTTATAGATGGGATAATAGATGGGATGACAATAGAAAATAGATCTATTAGAGTAATTCTATATTTTCTGGATGTCCTTGTTTTACTGATTGGTTGATTTGGGGTTTGAATGAAGCGTCCCAACATTCTATAACCAAACCGGCGCCTCTTTTTTTCCCTGAAAAGGACGTGATATTGCTTGAGAAAGCTACTGTATAACCCATAGGATCCATGTATGGTATATATGCTAACATTGGGGGTATATTGATGGTAAATGTTACCATATATAGCATACATGGATCCTATGGGTAAGGTGGATGGTATGTGTGAGAAGTTATCCAACAAACCCACAGATTGACTGGTCATGTGAAACATGTTTTTTCACATTGCCATTGTTGCGGGCCATTGATGGCTCAACAACGAGCTCAGAGTTGTCGGCGAGTCACTTTGGAATCCGTGGTGCCAAAAATCATTTGCAGGGCCATGTTTGCAATCTTTAGTGCAGGCCAATATTCTGTTAGTCTTACATTTGCCGACTCTCATCAGCTATGAACAATTATTATCAAAGTATCATACTACCTTTCTGCGATCTATTCGGTTCATCTCAGAAACACGTATTTCGTGGGAAAATCTCTGGTTGCCTGAAGATTCGTCCTTAAGTTCAATTTCTTTACTAAGCACATATCTAAATGTTTGATGATTTTTGATAAAGTATATATCATTGTAAACTGTTAACACCGGCATGTTTGATTGTCAAACAGCAGTTTTTGTTGACTTTGTGTCAATGGTTTTGTGGATGGTGAGGCCGTCCATGCTGCCATATGCTGCGAAAAATCATAGCACCATTTGATCGTCACCTTCCCATGTACTGTGGTATGAGTTTTCAATAGTTTTGACAACCCATCAGGTTTCATTCATTCATTCATTTATTCATTCATTCATTCATCCATTCATTCATCCTTCCATCCATTCATTCATTCATTCATTCATCCATTCATTCGATCATTCATTTATTCATGCATTAATTCATGCATTCATGCACCATATCATTTTTCAATGAATGATGAATGCATGTTTTCATACCTACACAAAAAGTTTGTTCAACAGGAAGCACTACTACAACATGACCATATGACCCACTGGCTACCTAGCTGAAGGGCGAAACTCGCTAGGTTGGAAGTGCAATTCCAGTGAACTGTCAGTGGATATATAATATATATAACTATAGAGTTTTTTTGGGGGGTTATCTTGTCCCAACAAACTTTGAAAAGGCCTTGCTAAATTCTGGTGTTGGGGTTAATAAGATAGCCTTGATAAATTCGGTTATTTCGTTCACCATACGAAATTCCACCCAGTTACTAACCTGGCCGCCGCCTGGCCTTTGAGGCGATTTGGACGCCAATTGGATCGAATCCATGAACAGCGTCATGGACGACAACCGACTGCTGACCTTGCCCTCCAACGAACGTATCCCCCTGAAGGTCTGCCGGCTGAAACAAAACCCCCGCGTGGGTTTTTCTGAGGCTTTGTAGATGTTTAAATATGGTTTTAACAACCTGAAAGTTCAGGGGGTTATACATGGATTTATGCATTATAAACACAATTTTGTGGTCATAATTCCTTTGAGGTTTATACTGTAAGTCAAACACAGAAAACATGCGGTTTGTGAGTTTGTGGTTGTGTTCTTTACCAAGAACCCCCAATGGTAAGCAAGTATAAAAGCAAGTCAGGTAAGGACATATTTTTTACGGCTGAACCAGCATCTTTTCCCGCGCCCTCGAGGTGCACATGAAGATGATCTTCGAAATCCGAGATCTGAACTATGCCACCCCGGCCACTGCCACGCGCGCGGGCATCGTTTGCCACTTGGTGGCATGGGTGTTTTCTCGCATCACTGCGCCTTCAACTACCATGTGGGGAGCGGAGGGAGCGTGAAGGGAGCTAGGGTTAATATATATACATATATATATATATGTAATGTACATTTAATGATATATATATATATATTGCCTATGAGATGGAGTTTCCCAAGCATATCGTCAAGCTGCAAATCAAGATGAGAGATTCCACCAAGAATTTGTTTCACAAGCCGAGAGTCCTCTTGTAAAATTGCCATTGAAATGGATACCCTCTGGTAAACGTACCAAAAACTCTGGGAAATCACCATTTTATAGCTGGGTAATTTTTAACTATTTCGACTGGGCCATTTTCAGCCATTTTCAAGTTCGCAAACTGTTAGTTTACCAGAGGGTACCACACAATATCACATCACATTTTCACAAGGTGGTGCCCCCCAGTTATAAGTTGGTTTATAAACCCCATTAACTATAGATATAAGTACAATAAACCATAGTTATTGGAGTTATAAAACAACTTAGCTATCTTGGGGGCACCACCTTGCAGGGGTATCACAGATGATCACAACCCTGGACAGGTCCACAGGATTCCACAGGTCCTGGTTTTCTCATGCAATGAGGTATGGATGACACCTTTGGTGTCCAGTGGCGATCCTACGTCAAGAGTTGGATCAAGAAGCAGGAGACTTGCAGGGTATCAATTAGATTTTGATTGAAATGGGTATATATATATATTATAATATTATATATATATATATACATACATATACATATATATATATATATATATATAGAGTATCCAGCAAGAATATACATATTCTTACAGGGTATCAATCAGATTGGCATGTCTTTTTTTTGGCAACGTCGAGTGGCTTTGTCTATGGCAGGAGCACCCTGACAACATCAAAGACCAGCTGTGGAACTTCTTCGAGAAGTGCCTTGAGCCGGGGTAGGGTGGATTCCATCCGGAGAAATGCGTTAGGATAGGAGAGATAATATGATTTAGCATTATCTATAGCAACCCCCAGAAAGATATAGAAAAGTAGAATTCCACTTGTGAGAAATCACGGTTCTATTTTTCTTGGGGGTTACAAAAAAAGATGATTTAATATGACTTACTCGTAACCAGTTAAGATTCAACTGATCTGATTGTAGATTTAACATGATTACACAAGGAAAATTCGAATCAAACCATGGTGGTTTCACGATGAATCTCAGGATGGAAATCAGCAAGGAAAAAGGCTTGAGATGGCTCCAGCAGGGAATGTCCATTGAGTTCCAGCTTTGGGATTGGATGGGGTCTAGAATCGTTGAGCCTCAAATCATCCAAACATTCATCCATTTCATATCCATAGGATCCATGTATGGTATATATGCTAACATTGAGGGTATATTGATGGGATCCATGTTACCATATATAGCATACATGGATCCTATGGGATGTGAAATACTCCTCAATCAAACTCCTGTCTACTGGATCTATTCATGTATGAAAATGTTCAGAGAGCCCTTTGTTGGAGCTCCTCGTTCTTGGATGGATGGCATATCATCCAATTTCCGGAATATCCCATCATGAATTCCCATGAAATTCATGTGTTTTTCAATTTTTCACGACATTTCCCATGAAAAACATGGAATTTCCCCATGGAATTCCCATGGAATTGCCATATGGAACTCCCCGAACTTGATACGTGTTCCACGGCTTGAAGCCACCGAGCCAAGGTGTGGGGCCAGCACTACTATTTGGATGCTGAAAAACGTGAAGATCCTGGTGCCCATGGCTCCTCGCCAGTTCGAATTTTCGGGTGCCCCATATGTCAACCTCTGGTAAACTAACATAACTATGGAAAATCACCATTTATAGTGAGTTTTCCCGTGATTTTCCATAGTTATGTTAGTTTACCAGAGGGTAGTCAGATATAGTCAGTCATCCCCAAATAGATGGAGAAGTACTTACCCTATGGTAAATAAACTTGTTGACCCTGAACATGACCAATTTTTAGTGGAAACTCATCTTCCAACCCCCATCTGCCAGGGTCTATGTTAATTTACCAGAGGGTAAATCAAGTGATTTATTTGATGGTAAATGATCCTTACTAATTGGTATATTAGATGACCATCCTTACTTTAGATAACCAACCATTTACCATCATCAGATATATTAAATCCTTACTAATTTGATGGTGATTGACTTTTCCATCCATTTGGGGAATCCTACTTCTGAAGCAATGCATATATATGGGGGTTTCCATCAATGGAGGTACCCAAGCTATGGATGGTTTATAAGGGAAAATCCGAAAAGAACATGGATGGGGGTACCCCTATTTTAGGAAACCACCACATATATATATATACTATATAATATACCATAAATCCTAGTCATTGAAATTATAAACCACTAACAATAAATATCATTAACCCAAGAGTTATTGAAGTTATGTTTTATCTTTCGAAATTCCGACCTAGGGCACCACTTTGTACTCCGAATTTATTACAGGTTTCTTATCTTTCACCTGGATTTTCCATGTGTTCATTCGCCATTTGGGGGAAGCTCCTAGTATTCATGTGTTGTATGTTGGTGGGCTGTCTCAAATCCAAGTTAATCCCATTTTGAGGGGAAGGGGCATGCATCCTGAGTTGGGTGTGTCTTGTCTAAAACTGTGGTAGACCCCCAAAATTGAGTTCTTACATCAAATATACGGATACTGATGATTGACTTGTGGATTTCAAGGGCAACCTTATTTTTAGACAAGCCCAATCAAGCCCACCAAGTGAATGAAGTTCGCAATCCTCAAAACTAACCATCAAAAATGACTCATTCGCTGTTTCTGATGGGAAACACACCATTTATTTGTCGGTACCCTGTTTTAGACAAAGCCATCTCCATCATTATTCATTGGTTAAATCGAATCCGATTGATGGTTAGCATTTTTCTTCGACATCCCCTAACAAACCATCTGTTTATACACACCCCAATATTGGACAAATCCCAATTATGCCTTAATTTTAATAGGGGCCCATCAACCGCCAAAAACAAACCAGTGGTATTGCTTTTTCCATCCCCATCTGAAGGGAACATAGAAGGTGAAGCCTCGTAGATGGCTAAGTCGACACACAGAACTTGCTAAACCAATGGGTTTTTTATGTTTTTTCTTTTGGAATATACCTATACTCTTCATCAATTTTCGGATCGTCATGGATCTTTGAATGGATCTTTGGGTTAAAAAAAAGACATAACTCTACATGGGTGTGTCTGAAAATAGTGTACCCCATTGTACCCAATGGTTTTGCTGATCATTATCCCTATTAAATGGCTATTTCATTGGGAATATTAACCCAACATTTTCAGACAAACCCACATAACTGGGATACTGGGCCTCACCCCTGTCCTCCCAGGTGGACATTTGTCTCATCAGCGCCTGCTGTAGCCTGCTGGACAACCTGCTGTCTCCGGCCACCTACGAATCCTTGGAGCCGCCTGGCGAGCGATGAAAATGATGGGATCAATGGTGGAATCTGCCCCCAAAAATGGAAGATGTGACATAGCCATGGAAAATCCCTTATAAATGGAGGTTTTAATGGGAAAATCATCTATAAATGGGCAAACTGTTAGTCATCACCAGAGTCAATGGGAATTTCAGGATCCTTTGATATGGAGGTACGTTAGTACCATATTTCTGGCCTTATTCTGTGATATTCCCTGAAATTTAGGCCTCAAAAAAATGGTAGGTACCTTCATCAATTAGATCCTGAAAATCCCATTGAACAAGGAAACAGCATCAAACATAGTTGAACATGCTGGTTGAAGCATCAACAATTGGGATTTGCCTAATGAGCAATGGGTTTTTTTGTGCGTCTGAAAATTCTGAGCATACCCTGATGTATGGTGCCCAATTTTCAGAGCCCATTATCATGAGAACATGCTGGGAACATGAGAGGAAAACTGGGAACATGGAGACTCACTAGCGAAGTTGTGTAGCTTTAGTTTTGTCCATACCTAATGTGGGTGTTGTCATTTTTTGCAGGGTATCTAAGATTGGCCACGATTGGTCCCATATTTGGTAAATCTGTCCCATATAGCTATGGACAATCACATTTTTTAGTAAATAACTGGGTAAATTATAACGACCTCACTGTTCTCCCTCACTGGAAATCATGGTTAGATTGTGGGAAATCATCCCCAAATGGCCGAAAGATTCAGGTTAGTGAAATATTATTAATTTTGCCCAGAAATCACCGAACTAAATGGCCATCATTGGAGGTATTGGTTCATGTTCTGCTTCACGGCTGCCTGTGGTCTGTGCCTCGCGGAAGTGGATGGTGTGGATTATCGCAAGAACTTCAGCCCCTCGGAGTGCAGGTGGGGTGAAGATGCGAAGTTGGTTTCTACGGAATTCCAATAAGTATGGCTTATGGTAGATACACATATGATATATAATATGTATAATATCTTAAATATGTATATTAATAATTATTAGTATATATTATACATTGGTAAATTATGACGACCTCACTGCCACCTCACTGGAATGATGGTTGATAAGGATACATCTCCAAAACTTGCCTTAAGTCAAGTGAGTGAATCATTATTAAATTCACCCAGATATATGGATATCTCGTTGGTGGTTTGGAACATGTTTTATGACTTTCCATTCAGTTGAGAATTTCAGAAAATCCCAACTGACGAACTCTTATTTTTCAGAGGGGTAGGTCAACCACCAACCAGGATATCTTTAGTTAGTTAATTACAATGTTAGATTTCACATTCCCGCTCCAGCTCAAAGGTACGTGTCTCCCTCAAAAAAATTGCTTTTCCCTAGATCTAGTATATTACATGGTTGGGATTGCATAGGTGTATATATATATATATATGATGATGAAGCTCAAAGCTACCTTGCTGGCTCACTGCCTCCTTGCTAGCTCAAAGCTCAAAGCTACCTTGCTGGCTCAGTGCCACGTAGCTGGCTCACGTAGCTGGCTCAATGCCACGTAGCTGGCTCAGCGCCTCGTAGCTGGCTCAGCGCCACGTAGCTGGCTCAATTTTTTTAGCGAAAAAAAAAAAAGAAAAAAAAAACCTCGCAGAAATTGAGCCGGCTACATGCCCTTGAGCCGGCTCGCCAATGCGTCATGAACCCGGCCAATACATAGCTAGTATTCGTTTTGATGCTCTCACATTCGTCCGCCAGCTCAACGTGACGTAGCTGGCTCAATTTCTGCGAGTTTTTTTTTTTTCGCTAAAAAAATTGAGCCAGCTCGATGCCATTGAGCTAGCTCGATGCCCCTGAGCCAGCTACGTGGCATTGAGCGAGCTCGATGGTGCTGAGCCAGCTCGTTGCAGTTGAGCGAGCTCGCAGAAACTTCCCAATCTGTTAAATTGCATTAAATTGCCAGGTTCAATCCCCACTGATTACTTTAGTACTAGATATGGTACCTCTGAAAAAGCCCAAGGTGACTGTCAAAACATACCCCTGATGAAATTGAGCCAGCTACATGTTTTGAGCTAGATCGAAAAAATGGAAGATTGGGAATTCCAACATTCAATTAATGGGGGTTATAAACCAAGAAACACAACTGAGGAGCCACGTGCTGGAGATTTAGGGTTTGAAGCAACCAGCATGAGAGGTTCAAACCATGAACACACGTAAACGACGTAAACACCATGGGGATTGAACCAATAAACAACGGACATCAATGGCTGGGGTAAGTGATTTCAATACTAGTATGATGATACCCAATCATACCCAAGATGAGTGTATCTGAAAATGGGATATGCCATGAATTTCTGGCTATTTGAATGGGGACAAACTGATGAAGCAGTGAAATTAGGGACCCATGGCAAGGCAAACCCAGACGATATCTCACAAGGTTTTGCCCCAGAGTTAGCGAACTTGGTTAATTAATTTCACTCCAAAAAACTAGGGTGTATGGTAGATATATCTCCGTTAATAGTGGTTATAGACCAAATTGTACCTCTTGTATATATACATATATATAGAGATGTACTGTTTTTATGGTTAATGGTGGTTACACATAGATATACCTATACCCCAATTATATGGTAGAGATATCTATACTTAGCTGTTGGGTACCATGTCGTACCATTTGGTAAGGAGGAGTGTATTTATTTCACCAAGGTGTCATCCCACCCCCCTAATGCTACATAACCCCCTTCTATGGTCCCAAATATTAGTGGTGTCATCCCCTAGCAAGTTGAAATTTGGCTTATAAACTCTATGAACTTTAGTTCATAAGTACATACGAGATCATTTTTTACTACCACAAACCCCAGTTATCTTTGTTATGTCTACCTTAAGTTATCCAACAGGCCCCCTCTTTGTAAACCCCGGACACCACGAGGCAACTGGTGGAAGGGCGAGATGAAGAGCGTGAAGTATCCCTCCAAGGGTGGCATCTTCGACTACTACGTAGCTCAGTGGCGTTACTGCCTCGTTGTTCCACTGCTAAATTCAAGCCCAATTGGTTGATGCTGGATTTTTTTTCAGACCATTTTAGTTTCCCAAATGAATTGCCGAATTGAAAACGAAAACATAAGTGGACTATAGTTATATAGTGTATATATAATTATATAAATATATAATGGATAAAATCACAATCTATTGGGGGAAATCCCTATCGTTTGAAACCAGTATTTTGCGGGACGCCACATTTTTCAGAGTTTGACCCTGAAAATAGAGATTTTTGAGTGAAAAGATGTGGCTTCAGAGGATCGGTTTTGTTTTTTTTTCCGTTTTTTATCGGTGAATGGAGCTGTTGCCAACATACAATGCTCGTGTTCTTTCAGGACAATGAACACCAGAAACCCGCAGAGTTCATATAGGACAAACATGGAAACACACAACGTGTTTTCGGTGAAGATTTTCCCGACAAAAGCGATCCATTGATGGCGGAAGTGCCGGGAATTGGAATGCGCGTAGCCCTATGAACTAATCTGGGCAGCCCCCAGATGTTCATGGGGATTTAGCTATTTAACCAACGGACATGGTGGTATCCTGTAATAGGTATTTCATGGGAATATAATGGGTCTATCTATATGCATATTCCTGGTATATGATTTTTTGTTCAACCAAAATGTGATTTTTATGGATGGTTAAGCCCCAAACTTCCCAGGTTTAGTATGTGCAAAAAATGTGCATATGATAAAAATCGCACTCTTACCCCTTAACCATCCCCAACGACTATTTTTTTCTAACAACATCCCACAAGCATCAGCCAGCACTTCCCATGAACTCGGGCCATTGTTTCTCAGTGCCAACGTTTCCCTACTTTTTCTATCGAGAAACATGCAAGTGACTGTCTTTTTTGCCACCATTTCTGCTTGAACCATGGACCACTTCAGAAATCTTTGGTCAAAAGTGATCCAAGCATGCTTCAGTTCCAAGCTGTCGTCACAGTGTCACCTTGTGTCACCATTCTCAGCCCAATTTTTAGCCCAATCTTTCCCATAGATGTCCTTTTCCCATTGGTTGGTTGATTAATAGAGAGGTTTGTAGAAACCCCTTTAACAACAGCTTTCTATGATAATAGATAGGGTTTTTCACCAGCTCCCGGCCCCAACCGTTTTTTTTACCAAAAAAGGACGCGACATTCGCAGCCCAGGTGAAAGATGCCAAGTTCGAGGAGTGGTCCACCGCGGTGGAGACCCTGGAATACTCCAGCGAGACGCCCATGGGAGAAGTGACGGTCACTTACCTGTCGCGTCGAGCCGAAAAACGCCTGGGGAAAAGCCGGGAAAATGTGGCCATGTTTTTACCTGGTTGGTGTTTTGGAACATGGAATTTTATGACTTTCCATATATTGGGAATATTCATCCCAACTGACTTTCATATTTTTCAGAGGGGTAGGTATACCACCAACCAGTTACCATCCGGATCAATCCAAACATGTCCAAAATCCAGCAATTTATGGATGATGTTCATGGGTTTTTCCCATTAAAACCCTCATAAAAACCCTAATGAGTGATTTAGTTCGGGGATTTCCCAGCCGGCAATGATGACACCGGAGTGGTTTCCAATTTATCATGGATATGATGGGCGGCGAGTTTCTTTAAGTGGATCTTGAGGTGCGAAGCCATCGATTTGTGGATGTGTGGATGACATTAGATGACGAATGTTTTAAGTGCACTGAAACCATCCGGAGGGTCTTAGGGGTCTTGCCAAGCGATTAGTCACATACCAGCCCTCAACTATAGAGCCGCCGTGCCCCAAGTGATTCATACGACAAGTTCCAGAATGTTCCAGAGATATTTCTATAAATCCTCACTACATCTCAAAAAAACGCGGAGCTGCGGAACATGTCATAACCAGAGCCTTTCCATGTTTTGTTGATACCCCAGCGCCAGCGGAGGTGACGACCAATGAGACCTACGCCATGTCCTACTTGATGAAGGCCCTCATTGAACAGCACCACCCCGCACCTCCGACGATGCGGGATTTGTGGATTGCGAGGTGTGATTTCGCAAAGGCTGACCAATAGCTATATGCTTATTGATGCTGGTTGGTGGTGACTGGAACATGACTTTTATGACTTTCCATTCAGTCGGGAATTTCATCATCCCAACTGACGAACTCCATCATTTTTCAGAGGGGTAGGTAGGTATACCACCAACCAGGATGTTATATTTATGTTATTATTATGTACATGAATAATGTTTCTTTATGAATTCATGTCAATGTTCAATGGTTGTTATTTAATGTTATTTACTGCTCTAGGTGACATTGTTATACAGTTATACAATGTTATACATTGTGAATAGCTCTGCTCTCGGAGTAACCGGTCACGTTCCGTGGGGCGCGTACTGGATATTTGCGCCATCAGCTCCTGGAAGCTGAGAAACATCCAGGCCTAGTTCCGGGGGTTAACCATGGCAATGATGCTACCGGAGGTGATATTCCATGATAGTCCCTGGGAGTAATCAGTGATTGACAATCACGTGAAATGGGGAACATTGGGGAAATATGTTAACCATCAAGTTATCATATATTAATGTTATAGCACTTTTATAGTTCACCATAACTTGATGGGATATGGTTAACATGAGGATATTGACAATCACTTCCATCAAATTATGGTGAACTATATCTCCCCGTGAAATGTCCTCATTATAGTTTTCACCTAGCTATATCCCCATCATAATCCTGCTTGTTCATGCTTAAATCCATAAATTCCTGTCGGAAACCCAATTTCATAAACCTCCATTTTTTTAGTAAGGGTTTGGATACCACCCATTGAACATGAGTGATTTTGGGGATGATTTCATTACCCATAGGATCCATGTATGCTATATATGGTAACATTTACCATCAATATACCCCCAATGTTAGCATATATACCATACATGGATCCTATGGGTTATTGGGTTTACTACATGATCCTTATTCAATGGTAAAATCCCGATGGTTGAACCGCGAACGCGCCGGCGATCTGAGGTGATGCTCATTGGTCTGGCGGGATGTGGAAAGACACAGAGCTGCTTGGGACTGCTGAAGTCTTTACCCCCGGATGTCTTCACCTACTACGTTGCTTGGAGAAATTTGGAGATTGTAAAATTGGAGCAGACGTCACTAAACTGGGAATCCTAAACTGGTGCAAAAGGGATGGATGTTCAGCTGTCGCCAAGCAAAAAAAGATCGGATGGTGGCTTGATCTGGCTTGATGTGGGGTGGCTCCTCCAAGGCGATGAACATGAGCTACTACACGGATTCCACCCTTCTTCAGACGATGATGGAGAATCCCCTGGAGAAGAAGGCCGTTTTTTTTTCGCCGGATCTGGATATGGCGACTTGGGGAAGGGCATGAATCAGGTTGAGAGGGAACATGTCCAGCCGTTTTTGATGCAAAGAATTGTCAAGATAATTCACATATACCCAGCTAAGTAGTGTAACTCTTTGGTATAGGAGTGTGGCCTCGAGATGGTGATGGCAGTTCAAACATAGCCAGGTGTCTACTTGTGGATGAATATAGGATACTAGCCTCCCGATGTGATGGTGAAATACTCAAACTTCACACCAAGTAACCACTAATCTCTGCCCCCATTCATATTTAACACACCCCATAAACCACTTCATAGTAGCGGATGGAACCACATATTTGGAACCATCTAGGAGGATGCTTAACGCTAGTTTAATATGAATTGCATAGGGGATGAGATTCTTTGAGGCCTTGGGTCTGAATGTTTTGCCACCACGCTAAAAACCACGGCCACACATCAGATCACATCAGCCAGCTCAGCCAGGCCGGAAAGTTGTATGCTCCTCCGGGGAAGTTGCAGTTGATCTACTTTGTGGATGACTTGAATATGCCGGCCCTGGACAAGTACAACACACAGCGCCTCCGGCCGGAGTGGTTTCCGGAGCGGCTTCCATGGCTTGCCCGAAAAATGGTGAAAATGCTATACCTTCCAGTGGTCTTAGATGGCTGGACCATGACCGAACATCAATTTGTATATATTTCTATAGTTTGCTGGGAAAATCATCGAACTTTTTGTGGATTTCGAACTGGGAAAATCATCCAAGGTCTGGATTTTCATCTGGATTTTCCAGCCTTGATCCCATCAGGTCTGCCATCGAGTTGATGAAGCAGAAGCAGGACTATGGGCACTGGTACGACAGGCAGAAGATCTTGGTGAAAGACATTGGCAACACCCAGCGGCCTGGAACAAAGTAATTAGCGGCAGCGGAGAGTTTTCATGGGCCCCCCCTTTTGTTTTATGTTTTGGCGGCTTCGGCTATTGATTCCATGAGATTGTTGATGAGATTCTTGATGCTTTTAAGTTATGTGTTTTTTTTGTCATCTTTGTAAATCACAAAAACTAAGATGGCTGGAAGATCCATTCTTTGCTCCATTCTCGTAGATGAGTTGCTAACTTATTTCTATGACCATGTGTAATGATCGGAGGGCACATCTTGGTTTCCAGCGCGGAAAAACATCAGCGACCATTGTGTTTAAGGAATCACCAACCTCCAGATGAAAAATCGCTTCAAAAAATCATCAATAATCAGTAGCTGAAGAGAATAATCGGATTGATCATCACTGAAATCGACCTTTCAAGCTTTGAGTTTCATCAAGAGTTGCCAGGGGATGGTTCACCTTTTCCTATCCATTGGAGTGGGATACGTCACAGGACTGGGGATCGGTTAGACACCAACACCATGGGATCTTCGTCTTCGGCCGATTCAACTTGAAATATTTAAGATACTACCCGACACTTGCCTTTCCAACCTTAACACCTTCTGCAAGTTTCTGCCAGTTTCTTGCTTCTCAGATTGAAATAGAATGTGACAGCACGGTGGGTTTGTCGGAAAAGCCTGAAGTTCCATGCTTCAATATACCTCACTAAAAACAGATTTGGTCGTAAATCATCGTAAATCCACGATTCTCAGCGACCGAACCCATGAGTCAAAAACTACCCATATTTGGCTGAGAGTCCACGTCAGCTTTTTTGATGTTCACAATGATACCAGCCTTTTGATCCATGTTTTCCATCCATTTCTTTCCATATCGAATCCAATTCCGAGGTACAGTACTCATCCATACTCATCCATTTTTCCCATGCAATTCCCAGATTCTTCCAGGTGTTCCATCCATTTCTGCAGAAATTCCAGGTACCTGTGCTGCATGAATCCCACTGCGGGCTCCTTCATCGTGAACCAACGTCTGCAGCGCCACTTCTGGTGCTGTGCCGTGCCCTTCCCCGAGCAGTGCCTTTCCGTGACGAATTTTGGGCGGGCCGGTGACTTGGGGCCCAGGGGCTGTAGCTTGGGGACGAACAACAAAAAGGGGGGGGCGATCCCCACTGGATTATGCTGGATCTGTTGATGTTATGGAAAATTGCATGTTTTTTTCATGGATGATAAACCTGGGGTAGAAAAATATGACTTAGGAAACCTCCTAATATAGTTGAGAATATGATGTGAATTCTGATACGAGTTGATATATGTTGATGTATGAATTCCTTTTATTTTCCAAAGATGTTGAATATGGAGTGGTTTTAATACTAGTGCAAAACTCTTCAGTTCGGGATTGCCACTGAAGTAGTTTATACTTTTGGCTGCCCCATCACCAAGAAAGGAATGATTGATCATGTTGAATTCTCATTCATATTTTCTTGGCGATGTTTGCATGAATAGTTTCGCGCTGAAAAACATGATTGGTCTTCATCCTCGTGATACTCAACCCCCGACAGAAAGTCATGGTTTAGTAGGGGATGAAACCACATATTGGGAACCATAGAATGGGGTTGGTTACGTAATATGATTCGGGGGATGGGATTCCTTACAGTTGGACAGTTATAAAACCATTATAAAATCATTAATCTCCCACTGGGGTTGGTAATCCCCCTAATTATTTTGGGATATCCCACTAATTTATGATTGTTAACCAGTATCAGCCATTGTCAAAGACAATTAACTCCTCTTAACCATTGTGATAATGACCGATAATGGTTGATGATTACTCATTGGGGGGGATGGTAGTGAACTGCCATGATTACTAATGATTCTAGTAGTGATTACCATTAAGATCCATTACCCTCTGGTGAACATAGCCAAAAATGGTGATTTATAGTGGATTTACCCATTACAAATGGTGATTTTCTATAGCTATGTTAGTTTACCAGAGGGTAATGGGATAACATGAGATAACTATGAATCCTTACTACCATTCACTGCTATTGTTACCATAAGTTACCAACAAATTCTAGGGGAGGATGGGATGATTCTTCTTGGCGATTTTCCATTTCGGACCTGCGCAAAGCTCGTGGCTGTGGTCCATGAGGTCCGCACTGTTGACCATCTACTCCACCTTCATGAAGGGTCACTGGGCAAGATGTTGAGTGCATTTCAGGTACCCTCCGGTACTTCAAATATGGCTGGTTGAAAAATCCATGAACATCCCATAATATTTTTATATTGTGGAGTTTTCTTTGTCGGTTTGATTACCGGAAGTAGTTCCAACCGGTTTTGTGTGACAACTTGGAGATGATATTGATCAGTTTTTCAGGAGGTGTTGAAAAGTTTGCTTGGGCTTTCATTAGACACCTAGAAGGCACCTGTTTTTCTTGGAAGTTCATTGACAAAACGGAAGGAGATATGGGATTGACTGGTGCATTTCAAACAGGAGGACAAGCACTATGCACTGGGCATACTTCCTAATGTTGTCTGACCAATAGTGATATCTTGTCAATAGTAGAAACATTTTTCCGCAACTCCAGTTTTATCTCCAATACTAAAAGTCAATTAGCTCTATTTACTTTTAGTATTGCCAAAGAGTCATGTTCAGACCTTGTCCAGAGGGCATGGCCAATAGTGGACCCAACATGGCAATAGTGGAAACTGTTTTCCCAACTCCAATTTTTTCTCCAATACTAAAAGTCAATTAGCTCCATTTACTTTTAGTATTGCCAAAAGAGTCAAGTAAAGCAAATCCTTTTCAAAGCAGCCTTCCCTTTTGATTAGCAAAAGCTTAGATTCCAGAAATCTGATCCAATTACCAAACAGCTGATTTCCTTATAAAACCCTTATTAAAAAAAGCAAGAAAACAGGTCCACAAAGGGTACTCCCTTTGCAAGCCCCAGAATAGCAATAACAAACCCGCACCAGGCATGGCAATAGTGGAAACTTTTTTCCGCAACTCCAATTTTGTTGTCCTCCTTCTCCTTCTCCTTCTTCTCCTTCTCCTCCTCCTCGTCCTCCTCCTTTTCAGAAACCAACCCTAATCCATGCAGAACCTATGCAGAACATCTCAGAAATCTAACCAAACCCTATGCAGAATCTAACAGAAACCCAACAAAACCATGGAGAATCTATCAGATTATAGATCCCAGCTATAGATTCCCACAAATAGATTATTATAGGAAAGTTGACCCCCCCCTAAAAAAAAAAAATAGGGGGGGGGTATTTATTATTAGGCAGCCAACATTATGCCATTTTACAGTTGACGCACTTTTGCTGGATATATTTTGGTTTGGTTGGTGAAATTGTTGCCTTATATACTTCCCTCCGGTATTCAACCGTATAACTGATCGAAAATCCCCGAACTAAATAGAGAAGTTTTCATAGGAACATCAACTATAAATGGAGGATTTTCTAGCAAGCCATGTTTGTTTACCAGCAGTGAGTCTGTGAATCTTGTACGGATCAGGGCGCCAGGCCCTGCTGGGCTCCCCTTATCGGTTGGTTAATATCCCCAATATCTACCCATTGTTGGTTAAATCCTTCATGTATGCCTGAAATCACTATTGTTGTTGGTGAAATCATGTTAAATCACCATGCTTGCTGGCTAAATCTTATGTTTAATGATTTTAATGGCTTCAATCACTATTTTCGTTGGTCAAACCATGTTTAATTTCACGTTTTTCATGGCCCAAAATCACCACAGAAACCCACGCGCCTTGCCTCAAAAAGGTCACTTTGAACGACTGCCCTTCAAGGGTCCGGTACAGGAGCAGGTCTCAGGCGGGGAAGTGCGGGTGAGACCGGTGGCACCGAAGGGGCTTGCGTTTTTTGGATTCAGCATGATTACCCTCTGGTAAACTAACATAACTATGGAAAATCACCATTTTTAATGGGAAAATCCACTACAAATGGCCATTTTCAATAGCTATGTTAAATTACCAGAGGGTACATCTTTCCATTTTATGATGATTTGTGAGATGTTTATGGTATTTTATGATCATGTATATTATGGATTTTATGATTTTATGTGCCTGAGAATTCTTTAATTTATGAGATATGATGATGGTTTTATGACAATTTATGATAAATTTTGGACCTAAATGAATGTACAACCAGTAGTTGTATATCATGTGAATGATGAGATGGTATGATGATGGTATGATGATGGTATGATGATGGTATGATGATGGTATGATGATGACGATGACGTTGACGATGACGATGATGATGATGATGATGATGATGAATAGTCTGGTCTGATCTGGTCTGAGATGGAGATGTTATGTCATGTGATATGTTATGTCATGTGATATGTTATGTCATGTGATATGTTATGTCATGTGATATGTTGTACTGTAATATGATACGCTAGTACGAAACGTCATCATATGATGCTTGCCACTTGGCCAGTCCAACAGCCACGCCGAGAGGTATCATCAAAGCCGCCTTGAGCCTTCACTCCATGGTGGTCGGAGACTCACTCGTTTTGCATTTTGTTGCACCTAAGGATACCCCGTAACATAGATGTGCATAACATCCACCATGTCTAGATGATTTTCCGATAGAAACCATAGGTTGTTCGTAGGGTTTTTCCACATCGACGTTAGGTTACCCTAGTGGCCCTAGTGTACTTGAGACATCCTCATCCCAGTTGTGGGGATGCAACCTTGAGGGGGTGGATCCTTTGGGGGTTGAGTTCCCATGAAGTTTAATGGAAATTTGGGCCTTGGATGATGCATGAAGTTTTCCTGATGGGATTGATGGGTGAGTTACCCGGCCTGGTTATGACTAACATAGCCATGGAAAATGACCATTTATGATAGGTAAACCATCTATTTCTATGGGCCATCTATACCATGGCTATGTTTACCAGAGGGTAACTCATGACCTGAACTCCCATGTTTTTTCCACGGCTCCACGGTTTTTTTTTTAGGTCAGCAACTTCCGTAAGACTGCCAGCAACTTCCACTACGAGTTCCCTGCCTCGCTGGGAAGAAATGGGGCCAAGGAACCAATGGATATACCATGTGCTTAACGTGGCGAACTGGAACATCACCGTTAAAGTTAAATCACCATCAATTATCGAACTAAATAGACCATTTTCCATATCCCATAGGATCCATGTATGGTATATATGCTAACATTGGGGGTATATTGATGGGATCCATGGCACACCATATATAGCAGCACCATGGATCCTATGGGTATATGTTAAAATTAACTCGACGGTATCAGCTCACCAATCCCAGTTTTTTTTATATCACCGGACTCAGGGAGAAATACTGCAGATCTCCGTGGTAGAAACCACAGAGCAGTGACCCAAAGCGGTGAAACATCGAGGGTTTAAGCGTTCGGAACTACCTGGTTTAGGCGGTCAAAAAAAAAATGGAAATCCCTATCAACCAGTGAAGCTGAATGGCTGTCCATTCGCTGGGATTCTACCCAAATAATCCCAAATATCTTTGAAGTCTTGGAAAAGCCAAAGAAATGCAGCAATGTAAGGCGGAGTTTGTGGGATGATCTTCTCAAAAAAATTCAGGTCCAAATGGGATACCCGCTGAAATTTTCATGAGTTTCTGGTAGTCACATTTTGTCAATACTTCTCAAAAAACATACGCCCAAAATCATAAACAAAGTCTCCGGACCTGTTTTTGTTTGACCAATTCCTATATACAAAAAGGAAAGTAGCCTCTACAAACTTGAACTCCAATATTTTTCACCAGTTGTCATATTTCTTTCACCAGTTTTCAGGTCCAAAAAAACTCACGACACCAGAAACGTCGGGTCCGCCGCCAGGTTCAACATCCGTCACATGAGTGGCGTCTTCAGCGGCCTGCTGCAGGCAAAGCCCGGGGAATTCGCCGAAGCCGAGAAGGTTCGCCGAGGGCCGGGAAGTGATGGTGTTGCAGGGTGGGTTTTACCGTTTTACCCGGCCGAAATGGTGAAAGGATGGAGTTTGAAGCCAGGAAAAATGGTGAACATTGATGGTGTACCCGGCAAAAATGGTGATTTGAACATATTTGAACCACAAACATTGGATTAAGAGGACTTAATATGGGCGGTTAACCATCAAACAATGGTATGTTCACATGATTTCACATGCGTTCATCAACATAGAGATTGAAGCAGCCTAACAAGGCTTTTTGCCCGCATACATCAGGGAGCCGGTCATGTGGTATTTTGAAAGAAATGAAAGTTGAGGATTTCACAAAGAACAAGAACTTGGGACCTAGCCAGCAAACATCGTTTTTTTTTCACCAAGACTGAAACAACAAGAACTTGGCTATATATGTTAGCATGTCACCAATCAAACATCTGGATATTAAGTATTATGTAACCGTGAAACACTGACATTCACCAATCGAATGGGATCAACCTGTTGAGTTGTGAAGGAATTGGCCAACACACATTTATTCGGAAATCTGTGTATATATTATATATAATGTGTTGGCAGGAACATACACCAGCAATAGTTCAATGATTTTGGGGGTCATGTTCCCAAATTGAAAATACATTCGAACATCTGAAGATCTCATGGAACATCATAGAATTGATGTTCAAAAAAAGTTCATAAGATCCATTCAGAATTTTGTAAAAAATGATGAAACAAAACACATTCTAAACATCACCACGCTTTCACCACCATATGAAATGAGTTTTTTGCCCAGGAACGCCCAGGACGAAAATCCGATCTTGCCGTGGACAGGTTATGAACTCAGCAGAAACACGGACCATTCGATGATCCGAAAAAGTAGATACAAAGCAAGTCTGACGTAGGTAGAAGGTAAGGCCCCTCACTTATAACTGGGTCCTATATATATATAACATATATATATATGTTATATCATGGACCCATTTTATGGGATACAAGATAAATGGCTTTATAAAGCCCATTAAGGTCCATTAAGTGTAGTTATTTCATGTTATATCCACAATAAACCCTAGTTAAGCAGGTGAACTAAGTCAACTTAGCTATCACACATCATCAATGATATATTCCCAGTTGTAATAAGTGGATTGAACAAAAAAACATCAACATCCGGTGACTATAGTTACAAGTTAAGTTATAAGTTAGTTACAACACATCATAACACATATCTGATAGGAGTTATATTATGTTGTATGAACAATATTATACATCATTATGCTAGTTATATCTTATGATTATATAACATTACAAAACATAAACGACTATAGATGACTATAGATGACTATAGATGACTATAGATGACTATAGATGACTATAGATGACTATAGATGACTATAGATGACTATAGATGACTAACATTTTACTAACATTATATGCTAGTTATATCTTATGATTATAGATGACTATAGTTATATCCCTGTGATATTCCCCATAAACCCATCGACTTCACCCCAGTTCGAGTTCGACTTCGATGGCCACGGTGCCAGGTGGTGCTGTTGTGGATCCACGAGAGCGAGCGCATCTACGGAGATCGCTTGGTGAGTCCCCAGGATCTCAAGAAGTACAGGGCCCTGGCGGCGGATCTCAGCAAGAAGATGTTTGGAGACTTGGTGATGACTTGGATGATTTTTGGTGATGACTTGGATGATTTTGGAACCATAGATTTGATATGATTTGATGCTAGGAACCATATATTCATAGTTTATGGTTATTCATATATGTTTTTTTGGGATGATTTTGGTCATTGATTTGTTGCTGGTGGTGTTAGGGATGTTATTTTTATACGATGATTGCTCTTAGATTGCTCTTAAGGTGAATTAGGGTGATCTTAGGATGATCTGGGATGATTTTAGGATGATTCTAGGGTGATTTTGGGATGATGTTATGGTGATTTAGCATGATATTTAGGATGATTTCAAAGTGAACTCAAGTTTTTTCGGGAGATTTTAGGATGATTCTTGGGTGATGTTATGGTGATTTAATCTGCTGATTTGATGCTGATTTTAGGGTGAGTTGATGGCAAGCAAAATTGGTGAGTTGATGGCACCAAGAATTGTGATTTAACGTATCAAACATGGATTGAGATGACTGAATCGTGGGGGGGGGAAGTAAAACATGATAAGACACGGTGATTTGATTTGAAGTTCCATGTTTCCTTCCTCAGTTGAAGATCTGCACAAAAAATACGGCAAAACCTTGATTTATCACTAGATCAATAACATACCATGGAACAGTGGGGGGATTAGATCAGACCTAGGTTTCATATATTTGCATTTTTTTTTTTGTATTTTTTTGCCTTTTTTAGTAGGACACATTCAAAGTTATTCAAAGAGTTTTGTTTGTATACTTGGAGAACGTGGTGATTTAACGGAATAGTGATTTGAGTAACCCCAAGAATGATAGAAACGTATTTCATATTTTTTTCAGGATGACATAGATGATGATTTTTTTCCCAGCTTTCCACATGTTCTATTCATTTGGGGGTTGCTACACTGGGTCTGTTGAGGGGAACCAATTCCATTTTTTACATCGCTGGAATTTCGGTGACTGTGAAAGGCAGCTGGTGCTGAGGAAAGTTCAACTTCGCCAAATACTTCCAGGAAAAGAATCCGGAACCCCTGGTCTTCGCACCCTTCTCCAAGGGAATCCAAGAGATGGATGGCGGAGGCCGCTAGATCCCCATGGATGGTGAAAACGCTTTAAGTTTGATGTTTGAATTCATTTTTTGAGTTTGTAAACTCCCATTTGTAAGGTCCCCTCCGATACATAAGCCAACCTGGCAATCAAATATCCCACCTTGCTATCCAAAGAAAACAGACTATCTTCCTGCTCAAGATGTGTTTTCTACTGCAATCTTACCCAGAGTTGTCTCAAAATATTTGGAAACCCATCCCGCTTGCCCTAGCCTCCCTGAGGCCGGTTTCTTGTACCATCTAGTCTATGATCATTTACCTGTTGGTTGTTGAATGGGGTGAAACCTTGATTCACCAGTGGAAAACGGAAAAGCTATGAGGTGGTGCCCACTTCGGTGATGTGTGTTGGTTTTTATACCCGACTATAGGATACTATAGTATCAGTATCTCTACCATAAACCCTAGTAGTTGTTGGAGTCATGTTTCTCAACTTTTTCGTACAAGTAGCCAGGGCACCATCTTGTAACATGTCCACTATTCATTGAAGTTACCCTCTGGTAAACTAACATAACTATATAGAAAATCAATGAACATCACCATTTTGTAGCTGGGTAAATCCACTATTTCTATGGTCATGTTCAATAGCTTTTTGTATGTTTACCAGGCCGGGTAAGTCCCGATGTTTCAACGAACGACAGGTTTCTACGACAAGATCCCATCCACGGAGCGTTTGTCGCAGCTTCTGGGGGAGGCGTTGCGCGAGCACCTCGGTCACCATCCACGAAGCCAGCAGTTGGAGTTTTTCAGCTCATTTCCCATGACGGATCCATGGTGCTGGTATATTAATGCTAACATAAAGGGGGTATATTGATGGGATCCATGTTACCATATATAGCAGCACCATGGATCCTATGGGTTTGTTGGTCCCCATTTCTGAAAGACCGTTTCTGAAAATATAAGGGATTGTTCATGTGTTCATCGTTTCTGTCTTGATATATCTATGTTTCTGTGGGTCAAAATTGAACACGCCCAAAAAAACAGCGTTGTTGGTTTGTTTTCACAAGTGATTTCCAGCATTTATTTCTGGTTGTATCCCGAGGGTCAAACCCCTGACGTCCAGCTGCATCAGGTACAATGAGAACAATGCGGCCATGGATTTAGCTCCGAAACTGAAGAGATGGGGATGGCTGTCCGGGATGATGGGTTAAGACATATGGAAATTAGCGAGATTCACACTGAGACATGACTGGGAAATGATGAGTTCGTTGAAGTTTGGATTTTGACGCTTGCGGCAGTTTCAAATACTGGGTAAAACCCGATGATAGATGGAACTAACATAAACCATATAATTAGCAAACCTACCTTACTTCTAGTAGTTTCCCTTAACCCTGGATGCCTGTTGCTGTTTAGGTGCTCTTCAACGACGCCATGTGCCACGTGGGCAAGATCTGTCGAATCATCACCAGCACACCGGGACATCCTCTCCTGGTGGGCGTGGGTGGCAGCGGCAGACAGAGTTTGTCACGACTGTCGTCGTACACCTGTTTGTATCAGACCATGATGATTGTCATCAGCTCCTTGGTGAAAGCCGAGCCGTCAGGAACTGCCATAGATTTTTTTCGTGGCGCGAATCACCTTTGTTTGAAGTATGTTGAAGCTGGCCTGTAGAAACTCAGAGATGATCGAAATGTGTTTAGCCAAAGGATGCCAAAGGCCAAAACTCATGAGTATCATGAGTTCCCACTTTCCACCCAGTTTCCATCGTCCATTGGTCCGAGGTGGCAGCTATGGCATGAACGATTTGAAGGCTGATTTGCAGGCCATGTATACCAAGGCTGGTGTGAAGGATGAAGGCGTTCTCTTCCTCTTCACCGATGGACAGATCACCAATGAGAAATTCTTGGTCTTCATCAATGACCTGTTGGCATCAGGTGGGATCTCTTGGGTTTTTCATTGTTGAACTTTTTGGGGTTCCAACTTGAGTGGAACTTGAGGATTGAAAACATCATGCTGTATCAGATTGAAAACATGTTGAACATCATTGAACTCAGTGAACAAATGGGTATGGGTCAAAACCTACTAATCATGTGGTATAAGGGATGACCATCAACCTTGAGGTTCACTGGGGGTACAGGGTTTCGACCCACATCCAAATCAAACCAGATTTGGGGTATTAACTGTGCGCGGTGGCTTTTATTTTTGCATATCTTTGCTCTTGATGGACAGTTCAACTGCACAACATCTGCGCAATGTACCCTCTGGTAAACTAACATAAGTATGGAAAATCACCATTTTAGTATATCCACTTATGAAATGGCCATTTTCAACCAGAGGGTAACCAGAATATCTATGGTTCATTATGGTTCTATATCCACTGATATCTATAGACCATATCTGGTAGAACCATAGATATTCTGCTACCCTAGAGGTCTCGTTGCTGGTAGCACTTCTGCAGGAGACATCGCGGACCTCTACGCCAGCGATGAGAAGGATGCTATCCGCAACGGCGTCCGCAGCGGATGCAAAGGCGCCGGGATTCAGGCGCAACGCGACGACGCGGCGATGGAGATTTATGGAGGAATATCCCCTGATATGGGATGAAATATGGGTTATATAATGTTATAAATATATGATATATATATAATATCTATAGTATATCTATAGTATAGTATATCTATAGTATAGTATCTATATGGATGTGGGTAGATATCTACATGGATGTAAAAATGGTGGATATATCCATATAATTCCATATATGGGGATTTCCATAGTCATGGGGGTACCCCTTTATCGCTGGTTAAAAAAAGTGGAACATCCTACTAAAATGGATGATTTGGAGGTACCGCTAATTTAGGAAACCTCCATTTGACGCTGGTATAACATGGTACAACTGGTAGGTCCTTGGGAGGCTTTGAGGTGGAGATTTTGCTGTATTCTCATAATTTCTCCATGGCAAGGATGTTTCTTTGCTCAAGAGTAGTAGGACATAGCAGCTATAATATCGCAGGTTACATGAGTCATTGAGGACACATCCACCTCCGGTTACAGCTATCATATTAATATTATGTTGTTTGAGTAGTATTTGAAGCAGTATGTGAGCTCATACTACTTTGGCCAGTATGTTTTTTCAACGTTCAGAGGTTTGTCACAGAAAAGGAAGACCCAGCCCAAAATCCAATTGTTCATCATCATTTCCCAATTTGATTGTGAGTTTTGGGATATACAACATTTCCAGACAAGCCCAGTTCCACTATTTCCTGGTTGAGTCCCAATTCACCTCAAACAATAACTGTTTACCATTGTTGATGCTTAAACGACCATATTTCACCATGTGTAATGGTCAGTGCATCATGTGCAACACATTTTGTTTTTTTTAAACACATTTTCCCACTATTATGCAAGGTGGTGCCCCATAGTTAGCTAAGTTGGTTTATAACTCCAAATAGCTATGGTTTATGGTAGATATATCGAACTAGTATTCATGGGGTTTATAAACCAACGTTCACATCACTGGGGGGGGCACCACCATTATGGATTGTTCAGCATGGACGCACCATGATCCCCATCAGGACACACCCGAGAATCTCTGGAGTTTCTTCATTTCGCGCATCCGAGACTTGGCTTTGAAGGGCTTGTGTGCCAAATATGGTGGACACGTAAAAACGCACAAAAAAAAAACGGTGTGTTTTTCGCCGTTGTTCGCCCACAAAAACCCATGCAAAACATATGCAAAACATGGTGATACATATTGGTTTACGTATCCAAAAAACCGGTCAAGAATGGGCAGTTTAAGCATGAAACATGGTGGATACTCAAGGATTTTGCCATCATTTTGCAGACACAACGATCCCCATTGGGCCTGGCATAATCTATACTGTAACACGTCCTTACGTCGGCCCCCTACAATTGTGTTTCTTGGTTTACACCCATGAAAACTATAGATAGTTCTATACCTCAACCAACAGTTTTTGCCATTAGCATTAAACTTAGCAAAGAAAATCTCATTCAACCCCATGGAAATCATCGTGAAATTCCCATGGAAATCCCATGAAATCCCACAAAAAATCACCATGAAATCAGGCAAAAAAAACCCCAAGAAATTGCCCCTTTGGGCGCCGCAGGAAAGAACCTCCACATGTCGCTCTGCTTCAGCCCCGTGGGCGACGCCATGCGGAACCGCGCACGAAAGTTCCCGGCCTTGGTGAACTGCACCTGGGACTTTCGTGGGGAGCTGGGGGAGCTGGGGCTGCTACCTGGCTGTTTGGTGGTGAACTACCTACGAATCGTAAGTGGGTTAGTTCACCCCAGTTTTTTGAGTGGACATTGCCCTTATCCCATTTAGAAGCAGGGTTATAACATGTTATAACCCACTTACGATTCGTGGGATGAGCCACCAAGTGGCTGGTTGCCGTCATGTTTGGGGGTGAAAAGATGCGATTTTTATGGAAACATGTGGAACATATGGAACATGTTTGAACGTCATATAGAAAAACGGACTTCAATTGGATTTGTTTCATCACTTTCAATTTGCCTCAAACGAAATAGTTGTGCAAAGACATGTGCCAAGGTCAAAACATGGTTTGTTGTCCCGGAAAAGGGAGATTTGTCATTCCACCCATTTCCATAGGGATTGATATATACCCATCATGTTTGGATTCCCATTGGTGGGGATGGATGACCATGGCACATTTTTTTCACCATGGCCATGATATTATCGGGATATCTCCCCATTATAACATACCATACTGCTTTATTATAATTAATAATGGAATATCATTGTGTTGTTGTTCTTTTTGACCATGATAAAAAAAATCCATCGTAAGATCGTGATATAGAATGTGATGATGTTCCCATGATATTAGGTCTTTTATCCCACGATATTCCCTATGAAATACCAGCCAGCCAGGATGAAACATATGATATGCCCTCTGGTAAACTAACATAACTATGGAAAATCACCATTTTTAATGGGAAAATCCACTATAAATGGCAATTTTCAATAGTTTTTTGTATGTTTACCAGAGGGTAAATGTGATCAAATGTCCATGCTATCAGGTCTCCCACGATCTTCCCACCATCTTCCCCTTGCAGCCACAACGGTTCTGTTCTTCCCGGTATGCAATCGGATTCCCATGCCATGGGATTCCCATGCCCATATGCTCCATGTATGCAATATTTACCAACATTTGCCCTTGTCCAAAGTCACCAGTTTTGTAGGTATACCAGCACCATGGTTCGCATTAATAGGATATATTATGATATGTTTCATGATATATCGGATATACTTATGGATATTTTATGGATATACTTATGGATTATGGATATTATATAACAACAATAATCCAACAATAATCTATATGGATATTTATATGGGATGGAAAAAACCCAGGCACGGTGATCGATTGGTTCCAGCCCTGGCCCATGGATGCCTTGTACAACGTGGGAGCCAAGTTCTTGGAGCCGATCGAGCAGCTGGGTCCACTGGACCGGAAAGCTGCTGCGGCACGTTGGGCTAGTTGGGGTAGATTAGTGTTATACATGTGTTATACATAATATATATATATATATTATAACATATATATATATATAAACATATATATATATATATTTAAAACAAATATATATATATATAATTATATATTATTTGATGGAATCATCTTAAACCCTTATCATATCATAATGATAACAATAAGAATAAACAACGTATTTTGCAGGGATGACCGGTATCTCAGATTGGACATGAACATGGCTGAAGTCAGATCGACTGAAGTCAGAGCGCCAGGACAGCCCAGTGCGCCTTGGAATTATGGACTTCCTTCCCTTCAGCTTTGAAGCAGCAGGACCTGCCGTGTGAGATGCAGAATATGGCATTTTAACCGGAACAGTTTTTCACATCATCTAGATTTATGGGCGATTATGGGGGATATTCCATATGTATGTTAGTTTGCTGGATATCTGAAAGAATGAAGCCGCAGCCTAGTTCTTGTTTGTAATTTTGCCATTTTTGTCAAGGTTTTTGAACTCAACCTCGCCACCGTTTCTCGGTAGAACATGCAGAACATGTTTTCAAGTTGAGTTGGATAGAGGCTCCAACTTCAAGTTTAGTTACCCTTGGATAATCTAACGCGGCAATGGGAAATCCCGCGTTAAAAAAGTTGATTTTCCCAGCTACAAACCTCCATTTGGTTCGGGGATTTTCCAGCTTCCCAGTGGAATGGGAACTGAAATGGCCAGGACAAGTGGCGACCACATTTATGAACGTTCAAAGGCATCTCGTTTGCATAGTATTTGGGCACTCCAAGAGTCCCCTTGGGGGAGTCTAGTGACTACTGTGGTCCATTTGAGTGATGTTCGGACAATTTTGGACATTTCACATTTGTAGTAGATGTTAGCCCTTTTACTAGAAATGGGAAGTGACACCGTCGGGGTCCTGACGTTTGAAACAACATATCCTGACTTTGCTGGAAATGCGTTGGATGATGCGGGGAAAAGTGACAGCAAGCAGAATGAAGTGAACCCATGCAGAATTTCCGCCAAAACGGTTCACAAACAATCCGGTTCAATCCAGCTTCACACCAGAAGGTTTATTGACTTATTTATCAAGTCGTGTGGTGACAGGTACACAATATTGCACAATGGTACACAACTAATTAATTGTTTCTTTTGCAGCATATGCCACATGGATACACTTGAAGAAAGAAACACATGAACCACCCATCCAAGTCCTTTTATTTTTGGAACAAGAGATATGATACCCTCTAAAAAAACATAGCAATCGTGACATCATGGCAATGGACTGGACTAAGAAAACCACCATTTAGAAAGATGGGTTTCTCCATTCAAAACCTCATTTACAGTGGAAAAAAACCCAAAAACCTCCGGCTATGGATTTATTTCATTCTATTTCGATGATTTCCAGCGGCCAAAAGTGTGACTCATGACACTTTTTAGGGAATCTTGGCGTATCTAAGGCGCTTTGCCTATACCACACCCAAGAGTTTCTTGGAGCTCATCAAGCTCTACACAAGCATGGTGGGAATGAAGGCCGGACGTCTGTCGGGAGTTCACCAGCGGGGCGGGGGTTCGTGGGTTTCTATGACTGATGACTTCATGTCACATTCTGAATGACGGCCAGTGAACATGGTTAAATGCGCATGATATGAATTTCTGATTGTGGTCAGATTCGATGCTCGAAATATCTCGAAATGCTTGGAATTGAGATTCTGGAAGCTTTATATATATACCTTTGCACCCACTGATCCTTTGAACTACTGACAGTCGGTCTTAGGCTTTGTCGAGTTCTGTTGGGTTGTTACAGTAAAGATCATCCCCAGAAAGATTTTTAAAAGCCATTTTGGCTCACTGAATCCAGATTTCCATGGGGAAGCACCGGAAAGTGTGAAAATTGCTGGGATTAATGCTGATACTAATGGCTGGTTAATAGTGATTAATAGTGGTTAATAATGGCTAAACATGGCTAATGATATAAAGCCTGGTTGGTGGTTTGGAACATGAATTTTATGACTTTCCATTCAGTTGGGAATGTCATGATCCCAATTGACTTTCATTTTTTTCAGAGGGGTAGGTATACCACCAACCAGATATAGCATCTCTTTGTTTTTGACATCCCGAATTTGTTCACTTCTACCGTGATGCGATGTTATACCCACCATGCTTGCGGGTCAGATATGGGCCATGGTTAGGGCTCAATGACGACCAAGACATTTTCTATCATTTTCTGTGTCCACAATGGTGTCAATACTTCGGGTCAACCCATTGCAGTCATTTAATTAGTCCTCTCCCCTACTTCGAAAAATCAGCGCCTTGCGGATTAAACACCCTCTGGAAATCACGGCGCCCACATTAGTGCCAAGTTGGACTCTTTTGAATCTTACCCAAGATATTCGTCCGCTCAGAATTACACAAAATATCTCAAAATATCTCAAAATTGCCTTGTATGTCATCTACAAAACACAAAAACGCTTTGGATTTGGATGGATGTTGGTCTTTCATGGTCTTTCTCTCCAAATTGTTGGACCAGCCTATTTGGTTTTCTTGGTTTTCATCCCTTGTTGTTGATACTTCAATCGATCATGATCTCATCCAATTCTCATCCAATGTGATGGGCGAAATCCCAAAGAAATTCCCAAGATGGACATCTTAGTGTTCGATCAATTTCCGTTTTGTGTTTTCATGCAACATTCAGCGGATCCAACCTATTTCTATTGTCGATCATGGGTTCAATATGGTTCAATACGCTGAAAAATTCATTTTTCCAAGGCTTCAATCCAAATTTATACAATTCTGACTGTATATGACTGTATTAATGTATGTATAGGAAACAACATATATGAATTACATATATGATGTACATGTTTATAGTTTTCATATGGGTTTTTCCTATATGATTTCTATATGATCTGCCTGGAGTCGCCTCTCAGGTGGACGCCTTGGAGGACCAAAAGGATCGCTTGACCAACGGCCTGGAGAAGCTGCGCGCCACCTCGGAACAGGTCCGGTTTCTCAAAAAAAAGGCAATTCCCGTAGGATCCATGGTGCTGCTATATATGGTAACATGGATACCATCAATATACCCCCTTTATGTTAGCATTAATATACCAGCACCATGGATCCGTCATGGGATTGGAAAGTGTCTATAAATATCTATAAAATTCTATAAATATCTAAGTGTTAATGGGAACATCCTCTATAAACCGGATGGCCGGATGGTGTCTAGCATAATATATATATATATGCCATCTGGTTATGACTAACGGTTAGCCATGGAAAGATTCACCATTTTTAAGTTCGGTAAACCATCTATTTCTATGGGCCATCTATACCACGGCTATGTTAAATAGCCAGATGGTAGACTTCGAGTCGACTTCGAGTGATTTTTTGTTCAGGTTTTGGAAAATCGAGTTTCATCGAAAATTTTTAGAGATGATCCATAAGTCCATAAGCCATATATAAATCCAGAGATGATCCATAAGTCCATTATATATATATATATATATAAAGCCCCTGGTTTTTTGTTGGGATGGGAAGTTTTTCAGGTTTGGGGTTGGTTTTGCTTCCAAAGTGAGATGCTAAAGTTTTTGTTCGTTCCCTTCCAGGAAGGTGGAAGGGTCATCAGGTCATCCCAGAGGAGGGCGCAGGTGCAACATCAAAAGAAGATCCCAACTGGTTGGTGGTTTGGAACATGGAAAAATATAGGGAAAATGGTGGTTTAATGGTGATTTAATGGTGGTTTAATGGGCTTATGATGGCTGGTTGGTGGTGACTGGATCCTGAATTTTATGACTTTCCATTCAGTTGGGAATGTCATGATCCCAACTGACGAACTCCATCATTTTTCAGAGGGGTAGGTATACCACAAACCAGACAAGCATTTTATTTTTGTCCATGCAACATCCCAGTTTTGGATGATGAATTTCTGGTACGGATATGCTCCAATGTATGGAATGTTTAGCAACATTCACTCCGAACATCACCCAGCTTTACCATGGAGCATACGGGATGTATACCGGGGCAGAAAGAAGGTGCACATCATCATCATATGCATATATATACACAGTAAAATATACGTATATAAATATAAATAGATATAGATAATATAATAATTCAATATATATAATATATATATATATGTATATTAAATGTATATATAATTCAATATAATTCACCACATAGATGACCCATTTGTAGAGGATGCCTTTTACAAGTTCCCGGGGGTTTTCAGCAACTCCCAAAATTCTTCCTTCAGGTGGCTGGTTTAGAGGAAGAACTCAAGGAGAAAGCCGTGGTGGTGGCTGAGAAGGTGGGGGGCTGGATTCCCTGGATGGGTGAAGGCATGAGAACAGGGGGGGTCTTGTTTTTGGAAGAATAATCTTACTGTTGATTTCAACATGGAGACGGCATAACTTTTGGGGTTTCCATCTTTTTTTTGTTTTTGCTGGCCGAAAGCGAACTTGGTCACAAGTTAGGATATACCCGTTGAATTTCACCGGTATAGGCATTGTAGCCAAACCATTTATGGCGAGGAAGACTTGGGGCGGATTAGACAATTTTGAACAGTTGGGAAGTTGGTGTTTCCGCCACACAATGAGGTGCCTTGATTTTTTTCCGCACGTTGAGTGGTGAAGGAAGACTTGGTGTGAAGCTAAAGTAAAGAAGTTGTTGTAAGCAGCAACAATGGGGATATCAATAGCAATTGTAAGGGTTGTTTCATGTGTGTTTCCTTTCCATCCCTGGAAATGAAGAATACCTTGAAATTGATGAGAGTCAGAATTGGATAGTTTGATAACTCTGGTGATTTGTCCTATCCTATCTTATCCAATCTTCCCCCATTTTGGAATATGTCCTTCCATATTTGTTTCCTTGTTGTGACACCATTTCGAGTCGGAACCTGTTTCAGCCCCGCGATATTTCAATTCACGGTGAGCATTGCTCTTGATCATAGGAAGGCCTTCCTTTTTCTTTGATGACCCTTGTGATTACTCAGCACTCAGAGACCTCCTGAACTCCCAAACCTCAATTGGATTTTGCATAACGATCATCCTGTTGCTAGACGAGTCAGAACAATTCTGACTTCAAAAACTGCGAAGAGCTAACAGATGTCCTTTTTGTTGAACAACCCCCGTGCTCGCCGTGCCAGCCTTGCCATGTCGACCAACAGCCTTGGCTATACGGCCCGCACGGCTGCAATCTCTGATTTTTCTGCCGTGGGCGGCGAACTTCCTGAACTAGATATGGTGGACATCCGAGTCTGTGGCTTAAGTGGTGAAGAAATCATGCGAACAAAGCTGGCAGTTAGCACGCTAGGCCAGGAAGTGCAAAAGATTGTCGCAGAGAAGCTTCCATCGAGACCGGGTGCAAGATTTCTTTTGTATCAAGGTGTTTCCCAGTTGATGCTCAACAAGACCTTGCAAGAGCAAGGTATTGTGGGCCAAGAAGCGACGTTGACGTATACCTTTTGCTCAACGGACTTGTGTGCTGCATGGTCCTTTGTCCAAAGGCAGCGGCCAAGCCAAGAAGAGCCACTTGCATTGGAAGGCTTGACATGCATAGAAGGTGCCATAACCAGTCACTATCTGCGCAACCTGCCAGAGACCCTGCAGAGCTTGGCGTTTGGTCAGATGTTCAACCAAAACCTGGAGGGTGTGACCTTCCCAAGCAACCTGCAGAGCTTGACGTTTGGTCACATGTTCAACCAAAGCCTGGAAGGCGTCACCTTCCCAAGCAACCTGCAGATGTTGACGTTTGGTCGCAAGTTCAACCAAAACCTGGAGAGTGTGACATTCCCAAACAATCTGCAGAGCTTGACCTTTGGTGACGGGTTTAACCAGAACCTGGAGGGCGTGACCTTCCCAAACAATCTGCGGAGCTTGGCGTTTGTTGGACAATTCAACCAAAACCTGGAGAGAGTGACCTTCCCAAACAATCTGCAGAGCTTGACGTTTGGTCACATGTTCAACCAGAACTTGGAGGGCGTGTCATTCCCAAACAATCTGCAGAGCTTGACATTTGGTGACATGTTCAACCAGAACCTGGTGGGCGTGACCTTCCCAAACAATCTGCAGAGCTTGACGTTTGGTGAACATTTCAACCAAAACCTGGAAGGCGTCACCTTCCCAAGCAATCTGCAGAGCTTGACGTTTGGTGGACAGTTCAACCAAAACCTGGAGGGTGTGACATTCCCAAACAATCTGCAGAGCTTGACGTTGTTCAACCAGAAGCTGCAGGGCGTGACCTTCCCAAACAATCTGCAGAGCCTGACCTTTGGTCAGAATTGCGACCGAAACCTGGAGGGCGTGACCGTGACCTTCCCAAACAATCTGCAGAGCCTGACCTTGGGTCGGATGTTCAACCAAAACCTGGAGGGCGTGACATTCCCAAACAATCTGCAGAGCTTGACGTTTGGTTTCATTTTCAACCAGAACCTGGAGGGCGTGACATTCCCAAGCACACTGCAGAGCTTGGCGTTTGGTCATATGTTCAACCAAAACCTGGAGGGTGTGACCTTCCCAAGCAACCTGCAGAGCTTGACGTTTGGTCACACGTTCAACCAAAACCTGGAAGGCGTCACCTTCCCAAGCAATCTGCAGAGCTTGACGTTTGGTGACGGGTTTAACCAGAACCTGGAGGGCGTGTCATTCCCAAACAATCTGCAGAGCTTGACGTTTGGTTTTCTGTTCAACCAGAACCTGGTGGGCGTGACCTTCCCAAACAATCTGCGGAGCTTGGAGTTTGGTCAGATGTTCAACCAAAACCTGGAAGGCGTCACCTTCCCAAGCAATCTGCAGAGCTTGAAGTTTGGTGACGGGTTCAACCAGACCCTGGAGGGCGTGAACTTCCCAAGCAACCTGCAGATGTTGACGTTTGGTCGCATGTTCAACCAAAACCTGGAGAGTGTGACATTCCCAAACAATCTGCAGAGCTTGACCTTTGGTGAGGAGTTTAACCAGAAGCTGGAGCGCGTGGCTTTCCCAAGCATCCTGCAGAGCTTGAACCTTGGCACAAGCTTTATTCAAAACCTTGAGGCCGTGACATGTTTAAGTAGTCTTCGCAAGTTAGTGGTTCAAGATGTGGTGGTGAGCTGCCTGTGATCCCTTTTGTGCTGCGTATTTGAATGAAAAAAGCGACCAAATCCCTACTTGGGCGTCGGCCCGTTTTTCTCTGATGTATTTCGGAGCCGGGGAAAGCTGGCAGTTTGCGGGGCGTGTTGAAAAGCATAATTATCTCCAGATTAAGTTTGAGCTATGGTCATAAAATGTGAGGCCCCCAAGGTAGGTATTCTATATTGATATGATCAGGTTTACAACATGTTTTGTGGTCGATAAAACTATATACAGGCATCTGACAAAGTCGTACCTGTTTTAGGAAAAAATCGTTGTGCCTTGGGGAAGTGTGTTTCGCAAAAGTCGTGCCTTTAGCAAGAACGCATAGGAACTCTGGAGTTTGGATTTGTAACCCGTTTTCTTATGAGATCACGTAGCTGATCACTATTAGCATGCAGAATTCCAGGTTGTGGGTATGTTGATTAGTTATAGGTAAGATGGCGTTGAGCTGGTGATTTGATGATTTTGGATGTTCATCCCAGATTATCCAGATTATCCTGTTTGGGAAAGACTTTATGCAAGCTTTGTAGTACAAAGTAGTACTGGGAAGGACTTTGTGCAAGCTTTGCAGTACGAAGTAGTACTGGCAAGTACTTTGTTCAAGCTTTGTAGTACAGGAAGTGACCCAGAGAATAGAAAAATAAAGATGCAGAATCCCAGCGTTCACATGCAGGTTGCACACGAGAATGACATTGTAAGAGAGTAGAAAATCAATATTTTCATCAATCGCGTTCCATTGTGTTTCATTTGTTTTTCATGTCTAAAATGCATGGTTACACGTTTATTGAGGACAGCGTTCCATGCAGAAAAGCATTTAGGCATGACTTAGGCATGACTTCTTGGATACAGCGTTTACAATGGTAAATGCCATTCAAAAACATGCTAGGCATGACTTAGGCGTGACATTGTCGCTTCCCTGTAATTAGTTCTGTGGGCCATGGGTGAACATAAAATACATATGATTGGACCTTTGTCGAGTAATTTGAGCGCAACGTTTTTTCCATTACGTTCCCGAAAAAAAAAAAACTACCCTCACAAAATGGTGCCCCAGTTTGTGGTAGATATATCGAATTATGGGGGTAACATATATCATATAAACCAACATCACTGGCTGAACCTCACTAAAAATCACCATCTACCTCAGAATCTAAGAAATTATTCAAGTCCCATAGAATTATATAATAGAGTTCTAATCCAACCCTGTCCATTCGGAACAGCTGTTTCAACTTCTGCTTTTTGATCAAACATTAAGATCCAAAGTCTTACGGTGTCAGATGCTTTCAAGAGTCTTACTCCGACCTTGCCCAAAGGAACTGCAGAGGTTCACTTTTTTCCCCCAGCCCATAGTCCCCATTATCCTCCGATCCCAGCTGTCAACTCCTCAACACTAACTGCTGTTTTTTGGTGTGTTCATTTAAGCACAAACGTTTTCGAGAAGAACGATGTTTTAAAGAAGAACGATTGTTCGAGAAGAATGCGCAAAGTTGTTTTTAACCCCTCTAAAATGCAACCCTAAATTTTACCCTACCCATCCCTACCCATTCTTCTCAAAAATCATTCTTCTCACTTTTTTTGGTGAAAAACTGTTTTGCAATTTCCACAGAGAAATCTCTGGTGAAAACGATTTCTCTCATGGGAGCGATCTTTGGTCATTTTTTTTTGGGCCAAACATGTCCTCAAACATGGCCCATGAGAACGATGAATGACTTAACCATGGCATTTTTCCCAGTGATGCGTAATCACAGCGTAGCAGAATCATCATTACACCATATGTCACCCGAAAAGAGAACTGGGGCACCGGTACCCACCGGCGCCGTACCGCATCCCGGTTTGAGGCGGCGGCTGCGGACGTCTTCGCCAAGGAGGTGGGCGAGAAGAAAGCCACGGTCGAAGAAGAGTCCGCCAAGGCGTGGGCGCGGTGGTGACGTCCTGGTTTATTGATGTTTATTTGAGGGTAACTAGCTAGTTAATCAATGTTAATGTTAAATGTGGATGTTATGTTGATCTGAGGGTAACTACTATACACATCTATATACTACTATACCATATTATACCTATAGTTAGTTAATGTTGATTGTTAAATATGGATGGAGCAGTTGGTGGCTCCAAAGCATCGTTTTTCAGTCTTAGTTGCATGAAGCCTTCAAGGTTCATGACACTTGGAGGATAGTGGAAGAATCACCTATAGTGATATGAATACCCGGCCTGGGAAACGTTTACATAAACTATGGTTAGAATCACCATGCTATCACTGGGTAAATCCACTATTTCGACTGGGTCATGGCTTCAATCGCTTGTTGTAAACGTTGACCAGGCCGGGTATGGGATAGTCACAGGAATCGAGCCCCGATCCATCCGTGGAATGATCCCAACCAGTTGTGCAAAAAACACACAGATATAAAAAGGCCGAAGTGTTCAGGTGAGTTAGCTCTAATTCAGCTCTAGATGGAAGTTTTTGGAATTGATATGAATTGATCGCTGTCTCAAATCATATTATCATATCCCATTCCCCTCTTTTGATATACCATGGTGGAGGAGATTTAGTTCGGAAGGCGGTGATGTTTCTTTTGAATGAAATGAAACTACCCCAGAATTACTAAATGGCTATGGATCAATACCTATACATACCATTTTTAGGGGGATGAACATCCATTTACCAGCTATTTTGATGTTCACCAGGGGTACAAGGTTTTGACCCATCCCCAAATAACTAAATGTAACGGTCACTCCCCAAGCAGCAGGACCCCAAACCATGAACAGATCCAGTACTAAACCAGGTCTGGGTTGTTGCTCAAACTGGTTGGGTCAAGGGATTTTGCTTTTGGGATCCCCAAAAAAACACTGCTCAAATAACTTGGATATGTTGTTGCTATTGGTAACCAACAAGCATATTTGTTAACCATGAAAACTAGCAAACTTGCAAAACAAACGGTAAATCGTGATGCATCATGGTGACAAGTTACTTTTTCTATTTTGGGGCGTACCATTGAAAATCCCACGAAATGCCACCAACTCCCACTATTTTCTTGGTTAAGTAGTTTAAATCCATGAAACACGCACAATTATATCGATCCATTAAACACCCCATGGAAGGTTAGTTATATCCTGATTCTAGCCACAATATGTCATCATAGCTCACTAGAGTGAACTATACTTATATGATCTTATATGGGTACAAGTCAAAATTAACTACCCCAACACTATAGATAACTGGTGATTACTAACTTTAGACTAAGATCTGTGGTTCTTTAGGTCTTTAATTTTGACCCATCAACAGATCCGATAATGATCTCCAAAAAACTGACTCAAATCGGAGTCCAGGCGGCTGTGGAAGCCGAGAAATGCGCCAAGATCGCCAAAGATGTCACCTGCAGTTCCCAACGCGGAGGGGGAGCGGATGAACTTCACTGCAGGTTTTATTGTAGAAAAGCCGAGGAAAAAGATGAGACATTTCTACCAAGAATATCAGTAGGGTGATTTGTTGGTGTGTTTAGTTGAAACAACATGTCGCAACACAAGTATGATGATGCTTGGTGTTAAAAGTTAAAGTTAGCTATGTTGGTTTCTGTATTTGAACATATTTGAATGATATCATTGCATTGTACTATGAATAATATGCAGAAGTTGAGTTCGGTAGTTTGAGATATGGATTCCTGGAGGCTTCAAAACCTACGGATTTCCCCAGAACTCCGGGGGCATGGGGGATCCAGAACTCAACTGGAAATCCTTGGGCCAAATTTGGTGACCTGCACGACCTCTAGGACCTGTAAAAAATCACCGGAACGCAGGTGACATGTGAAAATCTTCGTTGGTTAGGCCTGACGTTTCTTGTTGCTGAAAAACCATGATATTTTGCTGAAAAACTTCACTTCCATAGTTTGTTTGCCGCTGCAATCAGATTGTTTTGCTAAAATCGTCGAATCGCGGGCAAGAATCACGGACTGTTTGTTGGTGATTTTTGCTACCAGTAAAAGCAGGATGTTTACAGTATTTGTGAGTATTTGTTTCGTGAAGGTCCTTGCCTTCTCCCAGATATCATCCCACAGATATCCCATGATAATCGCCATAAAGTTGTTGGTTAACTCATAAAATCCCAATGATATTCCAATGATATTCCATAATAATAGATAATCCCCATAAAAGTCCCAATGATATCTAACCTTATTAAACCTGCCACAATTACACCCAATTCTAGTAAACCTCCATTTTCCCATGGTTATCCCATCACTATCCCAATTATCATCCCAATCATTATCACAATTGTCATCTCAATGATATCCCTTTTTGAATCCCTATAAAGTTGTTGGTGAACCCCATTTATAATTATTATACTGTTGATTTCCCAATGATTAATCATTCTTTGATTCATAGGGGATTAACCTATACCTTTCCCATGGATTTCCCTATATTTTCCTCCCCAAAATGGCATAGTCATCCCAATTGATATCCCAATGGTATCACGTTTTCCCCATGTTTTCGAGGTCAATTTTGGATGGGTAGTTTAATCCTTTAGTCCTTTGGTATCAATGGGATTATCTACTAACCAGCTAAGAAATTATTTGTTTGAAGAGTATCTAAGATTGGCCATGTTTTTTCCCCCAAAAAAAACAAGGCCTTCTCTCGTGTCTGATGCTTTGCCTCTGAGGTCTCCATTCAGCAGGCGGATTGCGAGAAGGACTTGGCTGCTGCCATTCCTCTGGTGGAACAAGCCGAGGCGTCAACTGGCGCTTCGCTGGTGTTTTTTCATGGGGGGCTTCAGCCGGGCTTCAGACCGGTGGAAACAAATGGTGGGTTGAAGTGTCAAAAATGGTGAAACATAGTGGCTTAAGTGTCGAAAATTGTGGTTCGAATGGTGGTTCGGCTGTCAAACAATTGCAAACAAATGTGTTTTCGGATGATTTCAACTTCAAACACATTGCAAGATAATGACGGTTTTCACCGTTTGCTATGGATGGCCTGTTTGGTTTGACAAACGGATGACTTAGGTACTTTTAAAAACGGCGATCTCCGGCGATCAACATTTGACCAGATGGGAAGTGTCACTGAAAATTGGGGGAATGAGGAGTTTGGTAGCTGGGTTCTTTGAGGGTCCGCTACTGCGGTGCTACTGTACGGTCCGCTGAAAACAATTGGATGTTTTTGGATGGGTCCAGAGCTATGAAATTCCCATGAGGTGATTTAGGATACACCTGGGGTGTTAGGTTGTGACTGGCCATGTATCCTATTATCCTCTTGAAAATGGAATGAACTTTGGGTTCCATGAGTCTTCCCAGCCAAGTTATTAAGTGGTTTATATTAATGACATAAGAAATGATGACTGTGTTGTTTAGAGTTTAGTTTACTCTGGCTTGTAGATAAATATATGAGTTTATATGGACCAACTTATAACAGGGGGACCTCCAATTCAAGCTGCTTGCAGCTTGACCAACTTGTCAAGCTGTTTGTTACCCTCCAGTAGTCAAAAATGGCAAGCAACAAACTCCCGAAGATTTTCAAGAAGATTTTCCCATGGTAATACCATTTATAGGGTGGTTTTCCAGCCATGTTTGATTGCCAGAGGGTATTGTTTCAACAGCTACGTTTGCGAAAAAACAAGACCATCCCCGGCCAGAAAGCCTTGGATGTGCTCGACAAGAAGGTGCCAGCTGGAAGTCACATGAGGATCAAAATATACCGATGTATATGGATGATCATCTATCTCGTTTCGGGAATCCTTACAATAGGTACCCGGCCTGGTAAACTAACAGTTCGCGAACTGGAAAATGGCCCAGTCGAAATGGTTGATTTACCCACTAAAAATGGTGATTTTCCATAGTTATGTTAAATTACCAGAGGGTATTTGAAACAAAAGAAGACAACAATCCCTACAAGGTGGTGCCCCAGTTCGTTAGCTAAGTTGGTGAACATATCTCCAATTTCACTATGGTTTATGGTAGATATATCTCTCGTATTCATGATATTCATGGGGGTTATAAACCACCATTCACATCACTGGGGGGGCACCAACTTGTGTACACCCAACCAACCAAAATTGGGGATTCAAATGGATGGTTGAGTTCAATTGGGTATCTTGGTTCATCTCCAATACCATGGGGGATGCAAATGGTTCAGTAACTAATAAATGGATCAATCCCTTTTGTGGGAAAATGAGCCATGATTTGACCATGACACACAACACACATGGCAGAGCAAGACTTGGATCAAGGGAACATCAAGTTGAAGTCACCAGGTAAGCCCTACGTGTATGGTAATCCGAGTGTTTGACGGATTTCAACTTCCGATGTATATATATATATGCAATATATAATAAGATATATATCATAGATATACATATTATATATATAATTATATTATATAATATTATAATATTATATAATTATATAATTAGATTTGTTTTAAATATAAATATATATATATATATATGTACTCAGTGTGTTTTGTCCAAACATCTGTGACTCATTTTACCCCCCCAGTTTAATCTACTTTGTCGTGATCCACTTTGTGTCCGATGTTTGAATTTTCTCCGTCGCGACTCTCGGGGAGGCTTTCCCCAGCTGGGGATCCATGGAAAAAAGTAACAAGTTGGGAACAAAAGTGCTTGGTATATATGGTACCCTCTGGGAAACTAACATAAACTATGGAAAATCACCATGTTTAATGGGAAAATCCACTATTTCTATGGATCTCATATTTATCTGGGGAAATTATAACGACCTCACTGTTCTCCCTCACTGGAAATCATGGTTTATTTTAGGGAAATCATCCCCAAATGGCCGCAAGATTCAGGTTAGTGAAATATTATAATTTACCCAGATATATGGTACCAGTAGCGATGATATATCAAACTATTTGATGATCAAAAATTAGCGTTTGCTATCATATAAAGTATCCTAATATTTGATGATCAAACTGAAAAAAACGACCAGTTACGATTCGTTACGATGGTATATATATATGGTAGCAATATGGTAAAGAAAGGGAACAATATATAGCACAAAAAAAGGTATTATTTAACAATATATTTGATGATTTTCTACATCTGTTCTTGGGGAAGCCATCTATGAATATAATTAGTTCAATCTTATCTGATTGGTGGTGACTGGAACATGGGTTTTTATGACTTTCCATATATTGGGAATGACATAATCCCAACTGACGAACTCCATCATTTTTCAGAGGGGTAGGTAGCCCCCACCAACTATAGTTATTGTTCATGATATTGTTCTTTATTCTGTTTAATTAGCCATTCCCATATGCTCCATGTATGGAATATTTACCTACATTTACCCCAAAAATGGCACAAATGTAGGTAAATATACCATACATAGAGCATATGGGATTATATGCCATTATTATTCTCCATTAAATATTGATACGCACATTTAAATACCATTAAAAGTCACCACGATGATCATCCGACCGGCGGGGAAATACCATTAAAGTCCATTAACATTCATTAAAATCCATTAAACTCGACGAAATCACCATTAAAATCTATTAAAACAGAATGAAAACCCATGAATTCACCATTCTTCTCTTCGATCCAACTAGTGAAAGGACTTGTCTTTTTCGGCGCTGCAAGGACTTCCAGGAGCTGAAAGCCTTAGCGAAGCCGCCCGGTGGGGTGGACCTGGTGTGCGAGGCCGCCATGCACCTACAGGCGAGATGTAGGGGATGGAAAGGTGATTTAGGCGATTTTGACATGGTCAACTGGGATGAAAAACCATGAACGATAATTTATATAATGATATTGAATGGATAAGAATGGCGAAGAATAGTCGTTTATCACGGCTGGATCCATCTTGATGGTACTTTTCCACAATGGTTTCTGATGGCCGATCATTAAGACCTAATTCATGATGGAATTAACCGACAAACATAGGAACGTATGATGGGGGTATAATGGGAACAGATAGAAAAACTATGATAACTTGGTAGTGCTTCAAGTCTAGATAAAAATCATGTGGATTGGAAGAGAGAATGAACATTGAACATGATCTGATCTGGACTACCCTTTTTCCTTCATTCTGTTGCTCTTTCAAAAACATCATTTCTGTCCGTGAAATGTAGTACCCCCAAGTCCTTGACGTTGACGTAATCATCATGTTCCTTTATGTTCCAACGGGCATGGCATCAGGCTGGCTACGATGAGAACATCGAGCTTGACAAGAAGGGCTTCGTCAAGGAGCTTTTTTAACATACCCTCTGGTAAACGTTTACATAACTATGGAAAATCACCATTTTTTAATGGGAAAATCAACTATAAATGGCCATTTTCAATAGCAAACTGTTGAATTACCAGAGGGTAATCCATGGGCTCCTGGGCGAGCTCCGCGGAGCTCGGAATTGAGTGTCACAATCGATAGTTTCCTCGCTGAAATGTCTCCAAAAATGGGATGCAAAAAACCACTCAGATGTGGGAATAGAAACGACCAACAATATCCAACAATGACCAGCTGCCCTTCAGATGTGAGATGTCAATAGATCTGATATGATCTGATGGTTCATCAAGGTCCTGCACTTTTGGACAGCCAAATGATGTTTGGTCACTACTAAAGCGGATCTCAAGAACCACCGGCAATTTGTAGATCTCGTTCTTCCCTGAGGGACCAAGCATATTATTGATGTGGTCGTAGACAATTCAGTGCTCATACACTTTTGCGACCTCAAACTGGTTTCAACTTGCTTAAACTTGGTCTTGTTTGTTTGATTGCTTATTTTTTACATGTTTTTTTTTTTTAACCATAACATGGGAACATCGACAAAGCAGCGAAAACATGCAGGGTATTCCACTCATTATCACGTCAATCATGTCCGCTCAAAACGGGGGCAGGATCCCACCTGGAAGGGTGCACAGAAGATGATGAACAATCCAGAGAAGTTCCTGCAGAACTTGAAGGGCCGCCCGGTGATGCCTGCGCTGGGAGGGAGGTGATCCCTGGGCGATGAATTGGTAAGGTCAACTCCAGATTAATGGGTCCCCCTGGGTCCCCCGGGTGGTTTAATTATGAGACACTCTGCTGGAAAAACAGAAAGTTGGAAGTCAAAAAAGACCAGACTTCCCAAGCGCACCGGTTTGAACCAGTCAATGCTGCAATTTTAAATCAAACGGATCCCGTTTAAACGGGAGAACATCAGTATTTCTCACCATGTGTTTACAGTTTTATCTAAAATCTATCTGCACTTTGAAGTGCAAGGCTTCAACTGAATTACTTGTTTTGACTTGGGATGATTTGGGTGCATCCGAATGATGTACCCTCCGGTAAACTAACATAGCCATGGAAAATCACCATTTTTTATGGGTAAATCCATCATAAATGGCCATTTTCAATAGCAAACTGTTAAATTACCAGAGGGTAGTCAGTAATAACTGAAGTGTATCCAACAAAAATCACTGGCTAACATTAAATGCTGAGATGCCAGGGACAAACATCTACCCGGATGACATAGGAATTTTTGGTGGTTGTTTGTTCCCATTGTTGATGGTTAATTTAACCAATCACTATGAAAATAAACTATTGGGGCATTATTACAAACCATTAAATGATTGAAAAGCAAGATCAACTGTGAGGTACTGATACCTCTATTGTTAGGCACTATTTTTATTCAGCTTCTCTTATTATGCGAGGCTTCAAGAGCTACATCGACGACGGAAAGGTGCCACAGCAAAATGTGGAGAAGGCACGAAAGATCCAGACCAACATGGGCGATGAGTTCAGTGTCTTGGTTGAGAAGGAACCGTTGAACCGTGTTTTGTTTTTTTTAATCCTGGAGGATCTGGATATCCAAAAATATGTATAATATACATGTATATTATATATACTACATATATATATATATACGTATATATATATATATATGATATTCTGGCTTAAAGACAGCAGTGAAGCAAAAGGAATACAATTGTTACTTGTTTTGTGTTGTTTTTTTTTCTTTGAATGAAGTTGTTGTGGGCTTCAGGTTGTTTTGTCTTGGAGAACCAAATTGTACAAGATTTCCCAAGCTTTGTCCTGCCGCAAGCTGGGAGAAGGATTCCGAAGGATTCGATCTCTATCCAACTGAAGTGAGGATCCATCATGAGTACCGCACTTTTTTGGCGGATGTGGGATAGCTACTGAGCATCTTGTGAAAAAAATCAGCGGGAACACAGAAAAACCATTACTTGGATGTGAATCTCACTTCATATACGGTTCATAGATATTCATAATCATTTTGGAGCCCACAAGTGGAATCTTTACGAGGTGTATGGCTTGTAACCCCTTCGCAGATTCCTGGCTCCGATCCACAATTTTTTTCGACGCGCCAAGGCAAGGAGGGCATGTCCAAAAAGTCCTCAGCTGCCGCGGGCCTTTGCGCAACTTGCCGCGGCAGGAACAGTGGACATAGATTTCTTCGTGGAGAGCACTGTATGGTAGTATTTGCAGGGAACCACAAAAACATGAACATTCAAGATTGTCTCATAGTTTTTGGATGTTTTTGGTACACCGTAGTGAATTTTAATGTGTTTTTAGGATCATGTGTGGTTATTTTGATGGATAAATTGCTAAACAATGGTTATCAATGGTTGGTACAGTAGTCTCTGCACACTCAACGAAGCAGTGTGACATGGGATTCGTAGACCTGGAGATTGAAGAAACCACGCTGTGCCATGGCTACCCCCATTATTTAGATAATCACTGTGGCTTGGGGGGAGATCATCACTGTTGAAAAAAAGTCGAATGTGACTGGATGTGAATGAGAATTGCAAGTTTAGATCACTGCATGCTATACCAACTTGGTGCCCAAAATATCCTTGGATCCCTCTGGTATTCCATCCCCATTCTTCGGCTTGGGACTCATATTAAAGGTGGTTGTCCGATTCCCCCACCATAAGAGATGTATCTTTTACTGGAATAGATGGTACAAGTAAACCCATCTACTCCCAAAAATGTAAAAAACAAATCCATCAAAAAAACATGACACACATGTGATCGAAACCTAGGAAAAACAATCACTCAGCTCCACTTTTCTGATATGTTTTTGTTCCCCATCTCAGCTCCTCAGCTCCTCAGCTCCTCAGCTCCTCAGCTCGTCGCAGGTCTGGATCATCAATATGATTAATTTAGTATATCCCTATATATATAATTATATATAAATATAATTAATTATATATATGTTCCTCTAAATCCCTACAATTTCCTATAAATCCATATGTGTTTCCATAGAAATCCCTACATTTCCCTATATCTTTCCCAAAAAATCCTGTAAATTTCCGATTCCAGGTCTGGATCATCAACATCATCATGTACTACGACGTGGTGGTGCAGGTGGAGCCGAAGCGCAACGCCCTGCGCGAGGCCACGGACACGTTGAACGCGGCCAACACGAAGCTGGCAGAGGTCAAGGAACTGGTGCAAACCTTGGAAACGAACCTGGCAGCGTTGAATCTTTTCGGCAGTTTTTCAAGTCCCTATAGGATCCATGGTGCTGGAATATTTATACCTACTGTATGGAATATTTATATAATATTTATACCTACATTAGGATTATTTGGAAAATTACATACATGGGGTCAATGTAGGTAAATTTTCCAGCACCATGGATCCTAAATGGAGTGTTTCGTGTTTTTTTTTTCCGGCCTGGTAAACATACGAAAAACGATGGAACGATCCACCATGTTTCATGGGAAAACTCACTATTTCGACTGGGCCATTTTCAGTAGCAAACTGTTTGTTTACCAGAGGGTACTTACTGGTGCTAAACGTAGGGAATGGATGGGTTGCTGGGGTTGCTGGGATGATTATTGATAGTTAGCCAGTGGATCATTCCCTCATTCCCTACTAAGCACCAGTAAGGATTTCAGGGGATAGTTCATGGAGTGAGTGAAAGTGCCTTGTCGTTTCTGGGATTTCTTCAGGGAAGGGGAGATATGTATCTTTGACATGGGATTTTGGATGGTGATTTTGATGGGTTTTAATGGGTGTTTGATGGGTGTTGATGGACTTTAATGAAGATTTAGCCAGAATTTTACTGGGAATTCAATGGGGTGTTAATGGGAATTGTTCAACAACATCAGAAAAAATACAGAAAAACGATCCCAGGATGGTTATAGAATCATCATGTTTAATCCCTTTAAGATCTCCACTCTTTGGTGTTTGACATCTTCAAAAACATGGCCGCCTTCCAGGATGAAGGAGTTTGACAAGGCGATGGCCGAGAAAAGTGCGCTGATGGCAGATGCCGAGAAGTGTCAGAACAAGCTGAACATGGCACAGCGTCACTTGGGGCTTTACTTGTGATTTAATGGACAAATTTAATGGGAATTTTTGGTGATTTAGTGGTGATGTATCTGAAAATAGGTGTCTCTTTTTTCTTGACCGACGAATCATCATGCTCAATGCATAGGAATGCCATTTGCATTTGGTGGGTATACCCTCTGGTAATTTAACATAGCTATTTAACATAGTAATTTAACATAGCTATGGTTGATTTACCCATTAAACATGGTGATTTTCCATATTTGTTTGTATGTTTACCAGAGGGTACCTCATTTTCAGTCACATCCACAACTGGGGCTTTGGGGCATGGAACATCCAATGGTGATTTCATCAGAATTCCGTGAAAATTTGGACATAACTAGCCAGAAATAGGTTTTTGTTTGATGGGGAGAACGGTGGTTATACACTTAGGGTTGGAATGGTTTGGTGTTGACAGAGAGTGACCTGGAAAATTTTGGAACAGGAGCACATAGGATGTTTGGAGAATGATTGGTGTTTCGCAACTGAATAGTCTAGTGACTGGTTAAAAGTGGTTGATGTGGTTTCACTCTGTTGCACTTACTTTCACTTCCATCCTTATCTGAGATGATTGTTAATGACTCATTTGACAATCATTTGACTCATTTGTTATTGACAAACGAGACGTCTGAACCAGCCAAGTCGCCATGACGGCTATGACGGCTATGACGGCTATGACGGCTATGACGGCTATGACTGGTTGGTGGTTTCAAACATTTTTTATGTTCCATAATATATGGGATGTCATCTTTCCCATTGACTTTCATATTTTTCAAGATGGTTATTGCACCACCTATTCTTCAAGATTGTTATTGCACCACCAACCAGATGAGGTTTGGTGGGTGCTCTGGCAGCCAACGGAGTCATTTGGGAGCAGACGGTGGAGAATGCTGGGCAGGACCGACCACCAATGGCCGAGTTGGGTCCATGGCGGAAGCCCCATGGCCGGCGCTAGTAACAAGTGACCGGAGGGCAAGGTACATCGACCTAAAAACTACCCGGCCTGGTAAACTAAGGTAACTATGGAAAGATCCACCATTTTCTAGCTGGGTAAATCCACGAACTTTCTAGCTGGGTAAATCCACGAACTTTCTATGGCCATGTTCAATAGTTTTTTGTATGTTTACCAGAGGGTAAAAGCGTTGACCTGTTGACGCGGTCAAGCCATTCCAACACGGGGTCCAGGTCTTTGGTGGTGAGAGAAATGCAGATATAGACTATGTCACTTCACTTAATTGTACGATAAAGTGCTGGTAAATTCAGGTTTCAATCCTTTTTATTTGCAGGATAAAAAACTCGTTCCCAATTTTGCTGGATAACAAACTATCTACCAGGTTTATATATATACCATTTATACCCAGCTAATCATCTAACCCTAGATTTATCTAGCACATTCTCCACAAACCACAGTTAAACTCACAGTTCAACCACAGTTCAACCACACTAAGCCATACTTCCAACATCGCCAACCGTTCCGTTACAAGGACCTGGCTTCTCCGCCCATCCTTCGTGTTTATTAACGGGGCGCCCGGCCGCGAAAGGAGTTGGTCTTCATTCCGGGGGACACCTTGGTCGCCTGCTCCTACGCCTCCTACGTAGGCGTCTTCACCCGTCAGTCGCTAAACCGCGGATGTGGAGGGATGGGGGCGGATGGTGACCACGGGAAGCCAAGAATGGTGATTTTTCATGGTGATTAAGCCACCAAAATGGTGATTTTTCATGGTGATTTAATGATTTAAAGCTGATTTAATGGCGTTTTAGTGGTGATTCAGGGGAGTTTAATGGAGTTTTAATAGCGATTTAATGGGAAATTCAATTTTGGAAATTCGTGGTGATTGAGTGGTGATTGAATGGTGATGAAGCCAGCAAAATGGTGATGTTCAGCAGGAAAAGTTGTGAGACATGGCAATTGAAGCATGAAACATGGTGAAAACATGGATGGTTTATATAAACATCAGACATAGTGAATCATAGGATTTTAAGCGTGAAAAATCAAAACTCTCTGGTTGAGTGGGTTCTGGTTGGATATGGTTGGCCACTCCACTTAAAGTCATATAATCCTTGATAAGCCTTCATTTGTTTAACACATTGAACCCAAGAGCAGACGGAATCAGACACCCACTTGAACCCTCCAGGTTTGCTTTGATGTTACAGATATTTAGAAGCGGTTTTAGACATTAGACAGATTCAGAATGGTTCAGGGTTCATAGTCATCGTCAAATCAATATACCTGCAGTGACACTGGACGGATCTTACGGATCGCGTTAATCAAGGCCACGGAAAGCCCAGTGCTGAGCAGTGCTGGTTGATGGTTTCACACATTTTGGTATGCCGGTCTGTCTGAGAATGGGATAACAATTTCATGCAATTCAATAGATAATAGGGAAATACCCTCTGGTAAACTAACATAGCTATTGAAAATGGCCATAGAAATAGTGGATTTACCCATTGAAAATGGTGGATCTTTCCATCGTTATGTTAGTTTACCAGAGGGTGGACATGATGATAAAGCACCCAATTTTAGGAGTAGCCTATGTTCAGAGAAGCCAACTTTTGGAAGGGATGGCGGGCTCAGCATTAACCGATCCAGAAGGTGAGACCCCCTGCTAAAATTTGAAGATAACTTGGTTAACAGTTGGGTTTATGATATATATATATATTTATGATGGTTTATGGGCCATACATATCTATACATATCACTATACTAACAATGGAGTGTATAGACCAACAAACATCAAGTTTCAAGTTTGGTCCTCACCTTGTGCAACACCCCAGATTCATATTCGAGTGGTCGAGGTATCGCGAAGACACGGTAGATGCCTTCGTGCAGTATCTGACGAAGAAGGGCGTGCCACTAGGTGCGCTTCTTGCCGATCCTGCAGAAAGGGCGCAGAATCTTTCAGAAGGGAATGCTGACATTTTACCGGCATAGAATGACAATGTTACCCGACAGTCTGGAAACATTTAGATGTTCAAAATCCATCATTTTCTTGTAGATCATTGTCTGGTTTCGGTTTGAAACCCATTGGTTTTCCACAACAGATGTTAGTTTACTCCAGGGCAACTCATCAAAATCTCAGTTAAAATCCCATTTTTGGTCCAGTAATAAACCCCATCAAATCCCATAAATTCATATAAATTCTATAATTTCCAAGAAATCAAAAACACCATGGACCATAGATTGTTTACGGAAAGTTGCTGCCTGTAGGATCATCCAATCGGGTGCCAGCGTAACATGAAGAACTGGATGCTGGCCTAGAAGTCCCACCAAAAATAGATACTGTATACCCTCTGGTAACCATACAAAAAACTATGGAAAATCACCATTGTTCATGGGAACTATTTCTATGGCCATTTTCAATAGCTATGTTAGTTTACCAGAGGGTATCCATGATGTGTGTTTCTTATATATATATACACTAGCCAGATCTGTGTATGAATTTACCTATCGACTGGTAGCCTCATATAGTAAAGCATATGTGTGTGTTTCCATAAAAAGCCCAGAATCGGTTGCAGGGAACACCGGAAAAGCCCTATATGATTAGTGTTTCAAGCGCAGACATTTCCCTGAACCCATTTGTTTGTTCATGTATGATGCTGAGACCAAAACAATGTTGATGGTTGGAACGATAAAACCCTGATGTTTGCAGCATCTTCGACACGAAAAAAAACATGTGAAAAACAATCAACCAGGTTGATGCTTAAATCACGATGATTTCCAGCATGTTTCAGGAAGTTTCAGGTGCCATTAGTTTTCCATGAAACATGGTTTTCCATGGTTTTTCCATGGTTTTTCCATGGTTTTCCATGAACCATGCTTAGTTTTCAGCAGCTTTTTCCATGGTTCATGGTTTTCCAGCACCACGTTGTTTCCGCATTTTTCTGGGCAGGCCCCAAACCTGATCCCTTGGCAGTGCTGGCCACTGATGCGGAGATGGCAGCCTGGGCAGGATGGTGGTGTTTGATGGTGTTCTTCATGATTTGACACATGATTTTCAGATGTTTTTAACACTTTTTAGTGTGAATGATGTTTGATGATGTTATATGAACATGATTTCTATTGATTTATGATTTGTTCTGATTCTTTTATGATGTATGTTGATTGGTTAAGTCCCAAAGGAAACTAGACTATACAACTTCGAAATCAAACATAAGGGTATTTTGTTTCCGACCACGATGAACTTAAGGGGAGTACCCTCTGGTAAACTAACATAGCTATGGAAAATCACAATTTTTAATGGGAAAATCCACTATAAATGGCCATTTTCAATAGCTATGTTAGTTTACCAGAGAGTATGGTCTCTGAAAAGGTCCCTGGCCCCTGGAACGACGGCAGGACAGGGCTTGCCATCGGACCGTGTGAGTTGCGAGAACGGCGCGATTCTCTGCAACTCGCAGCGCTGGAGTGTCTTGGGCGATGTGAATGGTGAGTTGTCTGAAGGTCTCCACCAGTAGATACAGATACTGGTTGGTGGTTATTCATGGTTATTAATGGTTATTAATGGTTAATGATGGTTAATGATGATTAATGATGATTAATGGCCATTTATTAGTTATAAGTACTTATAAGCCCATTTATAGAATGTATATGAATGTATAATCCCATAGAAATAACCAGTTATAACTGGTAAATGGCCATACCTGCAAAGATCCCCATTTGGGGCAAGGTGCCCCAAATGCAGTGAAACATGGTTGGTTCAGCCAACCATCAACCATCATTACAGGTGGTTTTTCCAGAGATTTCAGGAATGAATGGGGGCAGGGATGAGAATCAGGTTTTCCAAGTCAGCATCTAGGGAGTATACCAAAATGTGAATCAGAATGGCTCTGAATGTATCATCCAAAAAGAATACGTAGATTCTGTCAGCAAACAATCAACACTTTCTCCGGGAATCCGCACTCGATTCCTGGGTCTTGTCATGCCATACCCGACTTTTGCACATGCGATGGGCAGCTGGAAGTCCTGTTGCTGATTTTCAGTTTGAATGTCCCATGTTTTTGTTGGTGTTAACTTCAGATATGCCCATAGGGCCCATAGGGTAAAGTAAGTTTGGTAGGTTTTGTAGGTCAGATTCCTATTCCACCCACTTTATGCTTAATTACTGGTTGGGGGTTTGGAACATTTTTTTCCATATATGGGAATGTCATCATCCCAACTGATGAACTCATATTTTTCAGAGGGGTAGGTCAACCACCAACCAGATGATGTATAACTAACCCTGTGTTTTTCTCTTGGCTTTTTGTCCCCGTTTTTGTGGGTGTTTTTTTTTGTTCATTGGGGTTCCGTGGAGCCTCAGGCTTGATCATCGATCCACAGCTTCAGGGTATTGCAACTTGGCAGTGCTGGCCTGCAGATGTTGATGATGTTGATGGTTCATGGTGAGAGTGATGGTTCTTATTAACAATGTTGATGATGCTGATTAATCATAGTTACTATCAATAGTATATAGTTGCTACAATGAATATCACTTTATTGTTGTCATTATGTAATTATATACTAATTATTGATTTTAATGATATGATATGGAAAATGAATGAACATGAACATAATATTGGTATGATGTTGATACTGATTCATAATTGTTATTACAATAATGAGTATACACATGTTATTATGATAATTGTTGATGTTGATTTACACTGATAGTGCAGTAATAATAATAATAATGATGATGATGATGATGATGATGACGATGATGATGATGATGATGATGATGATGTTGATATGTTTGTCCATTCTTGCTATTACCATTACTACATATGCGGTGTGTTGTATTTAGTACATCACTAAGTTTTATTTTGTTCCTACTATCGGTAGTATTAACATATATTAACATCATGTTGTTGTTGTGGATGTTGCGGCGGTCCCGCTCCAACCTCTTGTCGACGGCATCAGGTGTGGATCAAGAATCGCGAGTCGGACAACGGCTTGCAGGTCACACGCATGGGCCATTCCAAGCTACTCGGTGTGGCCATGGAATGGTCGATGATGTCGACTTGGTGTGGGGCTGTGGTAGTGGGATACCAACATAGCGGACATAGCGTTTGGGTATGTTATGTGTGGGTTATTGTAGAAGACTACCCAGCCCTTGTTTCTTTTTTGTTTGAAGAATTCTCAGGAGGTCAATGGGCAAACAGAGAAACAACATGACATTGTCTCTGAGATTTCCGGCATCCAACATCGAAAACATGGGCCAGATATGGCCTTCCGAATCCAAAGGTCGCGCCAGTGGCGCATACATTTCACTTTGTGTCAGTAACGCGGATGATTGTCACTATGGCCCATAGACTCAGTGGTTGTATCTTGTGTTTTCTTTCATAGGTTGTAGATGATAATGCGATCCGTTCTACAGTTGCTCTCCATGTTATGGGCTTGCCTGAAAGTTCGGGGTACAGTACCTCTTGACATGGCTATAAGATGCTATAAGTTTGAGTAAATCCTCAAGTTTGGGACTTAAACCCACTTAAACCCACTTCATCTATTATTCATCATTCAGGCTGATGAAATTTCCTTTAAAATTGCTGCTCCGTTGGTCCTGCAAAGTGGTGAACTGTGTGTTTTATCTGTGCTGCTTGATGTTATCCCCAGTCCAACTATTTCGATATTGAGACATGTCTATCATAATCTGAAGCTAGTTCTTGGAATTATGTAACAACTAAGTTCTGATGTTAAACTTGTGCACAAACTTACATCAGCTAACCAACTTGGGATGAACACATTATCCTCACTACTGTATTTTTTTCATTACCACCACTTTTTGAATATGTTTGATGGTTAAGTCTCAATTTGTGCTAGCTAAGTTAGGATTATCTCCCATGAAATATGATGAAATACGGGGATTTCCATAAATGTACCCAATTTCATGTATCATCCATTTCAATCGGATTTTCCTTAACAAAACTCATCCAGCTATTGTGGCACTATGAAATCCGCACGGTGACTCGAGGATGTTGTCCACCTTCGAGATGTCTTTGGATCAGGGAAAGCCCGTGCTGATCGAAAATATGGGCGAAGGCGCGCGCTAGCGCGCGCGTTTTACGTGGGCGAAGAAGACTCATGCTCTATAAAATCTTAAAATATTTTTAAAAGAACAATAGTTATATATATATATATTACCCATAGGATCCATGGTGCTTGTATATATGCTAACATTGAGGGTATATTGATGGTAAATGTTACCATATATAGCATACATGGATCCTATGGGTTTTAATTATAATTTATATATAAAATTATTTATTGTTATTAATTATCATTATTGCTATATAATCATATATGATGAGCATACACACTTCTATGAATCAACATTATGATATAGAATGTTTGTAATATACACCACATTTTACATGTACAATGCATATATATATATAAATTGAAATTGAACTTTTGTGAAATACGGATGCTTCTTTTTCATTGTGAAGCCGGGCTTTGGGTTTAAATATACGTGTACCAAGTTTTGGGCGTGCAGATACAGGTGGGCATTTGGTAACAGAAATGGAGGATTCAATGGGATGGGAGAATCATCTATAACCTTTTGCTATAGATAGTGGGTTAATGGGATATTCTATATAGAGACTATAGATAATGGGATAGTGGGATAATGGGAGACAGCTATAAATGTTTTTTTTTTTTTATTTCCCATTCTCATGTCGATTACCGGGTACCAGCTATGTTCATGTTTTCAGTACAGGTTGACATTTGATCCATAGCTCGGAATTTATTCGTACCATGATCTAGGCAAACATCACTTCCATGTTTGGTTGGTGGTTGCTGTTTTCATTTGTTTTGTTCAACCCTTGTATCTAAACTGGAGGTACTGTACAATATAAGACCATATTTTGGGGGTATACCTTACATAGCCCTTACATAGACCTTATATATTAGATATATGGTAGGTCCCTCCAATTCCTGAAACGGCCATTGAACTGAACTATTTTCTTTTTCTACCCAATTGACTGCAGTAATCAAAATGATTTGACCAGAATAGGTATCAACCCGCCCAAATTGGAGGTTTATTACTATATTCCCTCAGATATTTCTTGGTTTCGACTTGATACAAATTCTCTTTAGGATTTATGGTACTTGATCGAAACAAGAAATTCTGGAGGATTGCTACTTACCATCTGGTTATTTAACATAGCCATGGGACAATCCAGCATTTATAGCATGGTTTACCTCTTAGAAATGCCTAGATCCATCATCTTTCCATGTGGCCATTTGATCCCAGGTATCGATGCCGTGATCATGCCGGTGGTCTCGCGGAATACCATCAAGCGCGGCAACAAGCGCGTGGTGAAGCTCGGAGACAAGGAGATCGTCCTGAATGCTCCTTGGCCAATCCTGACGGTTGACGCTGGTGACGCTGGTGACGCGGGGCGAGCCGGGTTGCGGCTTGTTTTTCGCGAGTGAAAGGTGGTGGTTGCGAAATCCGTTCAACATGGGGTTGTGGATATGTCTGGATATACATATATATATATGGGTAAATTTAATCACGACCTCACTGTTCTCCCGAACCCTGGGAATGATGGTTAGTAAGGGAAATCATCCCCAAATGGCCGAACCATTCAGGTTAGTGAAATACTATAATTGACCCAGATATATGTATCGAACTACTTCATGAAGGGGGTTATGATATAAACATATCGAAGGACCGTTGTAAATGATAGAACATTTGCACTTCTTCGTGGCTTCCAGGATACGTGTGCAAGGTTACCTCTCGTAGCTTCACTGCAGTTTCACTAATGCAATGTGCAGCCCCACCGTGATGTTTGTTGGTTTATAAATCTCATCAACTACCCTCTGGTAAACGTTTACATAACTATGGAAAATCACCATGTTTAATGGCTAAATCAACTATACATTGCAATTTTCAATAGCTATGTTAAATTACCAGAGGGTATATAGTCTCTATAGTTGTTATTAGATGTGTTATAAGCATCATGAAGCATAGCTACTGAAGTGATGTCCACCCACTTTAGCGATTTTGTAAACGTTTACAGCCCCACTAAGTGGAGTGGTACCCCATGAGCGCCTCATCCTTGAGCTGCGTCAGAACAGCTTCAAGCTCTTCATGCAGACGAAGTTGTCCAATCCTCACTATCCACCGGAGATCCAGGCGAGAACGAAGACTTTCTTATTGAAGGCTAGCCACCAAATCTAAGCAAGTGATATATATATATATATACATAATCATATATATATATATAGAATTATATACATAATCATATATATATATATATGCATGGGTATACTAGGAAAAAAGGCTTTCGAAAAAAAAAAAAGGTTCGAATTTGTTCTATGGGTTAACCCGGTTAATGTCCTACGGAGGCGATCGATGTATACGTCGTTTCTTCCTGGGAAAGCGACAGCGATGGTGTGAAAGTTACTGCGCTTCTCCTTGTAGGAAACAGTCATTGTTTGGGTGGGAAAAAACAAAAATAAACCAGATGAAAAATGTGAGAGTGACATTTTTGTTTGGTTTGCTAGTGTTGGTCATTGATGAACGTGGAAAACCATGTTGATGAATGAATGTGCAAAAAAAGAAATCAAATGAATACACAAATAACATCGGTGGCTCTCTTGGTTGAGGTTGCTCAACCTTTGCAATCTGGTGCATATTCGACTGGCATGTTTGAAAAAATGGAACTCCAAATCAGATAGTCCACAACAAATTTGCGAGAAGAGTTTAGATAGACTTATAATAGTATTCCAGCTGAAAGGGAAAGCAACATTTTTTCCCGGTCCTTGTTTCCTGAAATTGGTGCCTTTTCACCAGTTTTTTTGATTGAACATGACCTTTTGACATCCATGTGGCATGCTGGCTTTCACCATTTGGCCATGTGGCATGACGGATAAGAACTGCGTGTACAATGGCACATGCTGTAACACATGATTTTTCATTGACAAAATTGGGGTATATACTGGTATACCACGGTATACCTCTACAACTGGGATGCTATAACATATTATGACATACAGAATGATAACTCTATGTCATGGTACAGAATGATAACTCTAAAACAGTATTATGACATCATGTCCAAATATTATGCTATAAAATACTATGATCCAATGAATAGAATTGATAACTTCAACTCTTTTGGACAGACATGACTTGGCCCCTTGATTTCGGACATGATCAGATGATGGCAGACGTGTTGTTCCAAGAGAAGATATAGATGTTCCGTTAAGTATATGCCAAAAATAAGCAAAGTATAAATCACAAAAACATATTGCTGCTGAGCAGCTGCTGTTCCAGGATCTGCTTCTCGAAGAAATTGCTTCCCCCACAGATGAACAAACAATTCAGACGGAACATTCCCCATAGCCTATAGCTAAGTTGTATACCTTTTTCGACAGCCAGATTAGTGACCGCCCAAATCCCCATATCTGATGGTTAAATCGCAATTTGTGATTCTTCAATCATGTTTACCCTCTCATAATCTGGTAATCTAACATAGCTATTGAAAATGGCAATTTTTAATGGGAAAATAATCTATAAATGGGCCATTTTCCATAGTTATGTTAGTTTACTGGAGGGTAATCCCTCTTGGCCGTGAACCCTGCATGATTGCCAGAGAAGTTTCGAAGTTGCTTCCGGCACGGAACTTTGGCAGGCCGAATGCACCATCATCAACTTCACAGTCACTGAAGACGGTTTCTTGATGGGTTTCAGCAGCCGCTGCATGGTCGGTGGTAAACCCATGTAAACCCATGGGGATACGCCCTGCCTATCATGCAGGTAACTTGCAACCTGCGAAACTATGAGGGTTGGGAGCTTTAGAAACATGACATGACCTGTTGGTTAGCTAAGCTGGATGTGAGAACAAAACGTGAAGGTGCAACCCACGTCTGTGTGCAACATGTTCTTGGAGGGTAATTTGGCAGGACAATTCCCAATCAAGGCATGCATGTTCTTGATGTTCTTGTTTATGCTCTTTCAACATGAAGGCATGAAAGGTGTGGCCTGCTGAGCCTAAGCTTCAAGTAGACCTGCTATGCAAGCCTGGCTCAGCATGCCAGGCATGCCACATGCTTGATTTATCCTCTGGGAATCAAAGGTGGCTGGAACATGCCCCATAAAAAACGGGAGGTTTCTAGCTAGGAAACTCTTCCATGGTGGATTGTCAAGCCATGTTTGATGACACATGCTAGTGCTTCTCTGGGCGATACCCCCAATGATCTTAGGGTTTATGAATATGTGGTGGTTCATCCCACGAATCGTAAGTAGGTATAATAAGCCTGGAAAAAAAAATAGGCTAAGTAGGGGCAATGTCCACTTAAAACAGGCTCAAATAACGTACTTATTGGGATGAACCACCAAGTAGTGTCCCCCATGATGCCGAAAAGTTGTGAAGCTGGAAAATAGCAGGAACACTGTTCGTTCATCTATACCATCCTGGAAACACGTGATACTGTTCTGCTATATGGCTTACTATAACCATCAACAAACACGAAAAAACAGGTCAAACATCGCATCCCCGTTTTCAATGTTTACACTATGGAGATTTCTGGGAAAATCCATGGAAAAACGAAAACCATTCCTGGTGGAGTTTCCGTTGTCAGCAATGTTTGATGTTTCCTCCAAAGGGTTTTGCCATTATCATTGGCCTGGATTGGCCTAGATATGCTGATGATTTTTGTTGGCCTCTTTTTGGAAAAACCACTACTCAGGGAATCGATGAAGTGAAGATCTTGGTTTTCGTTGGGACAAATCGAAGTGACTGAGTGGTTACCCTCTAAACCAAGAGTTTGCTATGCCCATATGCTCCATGTATGGAATATTTACCAACATTTGCCCTTAAAATCACCCAGTTTTGTAGGTAAATATACCATACATGGAGCATCTGGGATGGTATGGCCCATTGATCGATGAACAACGGCAGCTATGTAAGGCGGCAGTGATCCCGATGAACTGCTCAGGTTTGGAGGATCAGTTGCTCTTCCTGGTGGTGAAGTTAGAAAGGTCCGATGTGATCTGAGGATGGAGTGCGCTTTGCTGTTTTTTTTGTTGTTATAGGTGTATATTATATAATGTATTATAATGTATTATATATATATATCTACATGGCGGTGTCCATTAATGGTGATATCCCCAAATGGATGGTTTATAATGGAAAGTCCTATTAGAATGGATGATTTAGGGGTACCCCCATTTTAGGAAACCTCCATATATATATATATATATATGTGGTTGTGTTTGTGTTTGTGTATTCATCAATGGATATTATATGTATGCCCCTTTTCTTAGACGCCTGGGAGCATGGGTCGGAGTCGGAGCCATTGTTGCCACACTAAAGCACCAGCCGCTGTGCTTTGGAGGAGGCTTTCAAATCACTCAGATCTTTGCCACTTTACTTTGCTGGGTCTTTGATGTTTGTACCCTCTGGTAAACTAACATAACAATGGAAAATCACCATTTTTAATGGGTAAATCAACGAACTAAATGGCCATGTTCAATAGCAAACTGTTTGTTTACCAGAGGGTAAGACCCAGCAAACCACGTTGGGTGCGTCTGGAAATGGGCTATCCTCCCAGTCATGGCCATTTGATAGGAACATGATGATCAAGCACTGGATTTTTGTTGGCAGTTTCAATCATGATAGCTTTGAACCATCCCATACACTCCCTGAAACATGTTTCCAAGCCTATTCTATGGGTTTGTCTGAAAATGGGATATGCCCCAAAGGGGTCATTTTTGGATCATCGTAGGTTCTGACAAGTCCAGATTCATCATTCATTGGTTACATCCCGGCTTTCGATGGCCAAATCCAATTTTCATGGAGTAGGTTAGATATTGTTAGATCCTAATTTGTCCTGGCTCAAGTCCAATTCTTCAGGAAGGATTATACCCTGTGGTAATGACTAACATAGCTATTGAACATGGCCATTGAAAGTTCGTTGATTTACCCACTAAAAATGGTCATTTTCCATAGTTTTGTGTATGTTTACCAGAGGGTACCTTTTTTTCCAGGATGTTCTACATAGAATCATCCCGAAAAGGTTGCCAAGTAAACTCCCATGTAATTAGCGAAGATTCACTTTTCTATATCTTTTTCGGACCTGCGGAATATAATATTCAACATTTAATATCTTCTAAAATTATAATATTAGTTATTTGATCATCCCATATAGCCTCTGGTAAATTAACATAGACCCTGAAAATAATCTCATATTATATAGTAGAAAATAATCTTCCAACATCTTCCAACCCCTAATTATTTGCCAGGGTTTATATTAATTTACTGGAATGTGTTTATGCCTTGGAATTTCTATCTGCCTCGTAGTTGTTCAGCTTCCGCGGTGGGAAGACCTGGGGGCAACGCAGGCCCGATTTGGCAAAGAAGAAGTCTGAGCTCATCAAACAGCAGAACGAGTTCAAGGTGAACCCATGACTGGTGTGGTTTCCGTAGAAACCTCCAATAACTGTTGGGGGTTTACGGTGGAAATCATGGTAGAATTATAATGTGAGCCTGAATATTGTATATATATAATTATACAGATACATACATATATTTATGTATATGCACATATATATATATATATATGCATGTATGGATATACATTATATATATATTATGTATAGTATGCCCTAGATTCTTGACAAAATGATGACTTGATGGTGGCTTAACCATGGCAAAAGACTATCAGACTAATGTTGGAAACTGCTGGATGAATCCTTGAAAAATGCTGAAGAAATGCTGCTGCAACTCCCCTGTACCTTGAACGGTGGATGAACATCTAGGAACATGAATTTTATTTTTCCATTCAGTTGGGAATAATATTCCTAACTGACTACTGACTTTCATATTTTTCAGAGGTGTGGCTCAACCACCAACCAGTAATCCACTTTCAACCACTCAGTTGGCGAGCTGGTTGTCCCATCGAAGTGCTGGTTGATGGTTTCTGGATGAATCGACATCAACTACTGATCCATACTGACTCCTCACTGGATCAGTAGTTTGATACAAGTTCTTTGTTTTGCAATGTTTTTGGGAGCAATTTGAAGTATATAACTTATATAACCAGTGCTGATTTTAAGGTCGTCTGAGATTGGGGAAACACTAACCCAATATTCTGATTTCAGCAGCCAAAATGGGGACACACTAACATATACATATATTGTGGATTGAATTACACCAGAAATGAATGTAGGGACTGGAGTTATACCAATTCTATTTGGTGTAGTATATTATCAATTATTATTGGGCTGATGGCTTTGTTCCCTGCCCAAACCCACACATCGCCATGTTTCACGCCATGTTAAAGGCACCTTTTTCGGTTTATTGCACCTACTGTAACCAGGTCGTGTTTTTCCCCCCATCTAAAAATGCCGGTCCCAGGGTTTCTTCGCGGTTTTTGGCTCCAGAAATCAGCCATGGCAGCCATGGCAGCGATGAAGAAACCTTCCAGATCTGCATCTTCCAAGGCCCCAGCCATGGCCCCGAAACGGGGCTGGCGACGTCCCGCGGCCGCGGCAAAACGACCAGCTGCGAAAGCGGTCAAAGCCGCGAAGGCCATGAAGGTCATGAAGGTCATGACAATTTACATTTGCTTTGCCAGATTTTTTGAAACATGTTCTCTTTTTTTTTGGTGTGTTCCGTAATTTATGATAAGTCATATATATAACTTTATATATGTGTGACTTTGTGTAGATATATACATTATATATATATATATTTTATTATATATATTATATTACATTTAGATATATAATTTAACAATATGTGTATCTATATATATATATTGTAATAATCAATAATATACACTATATAACATACAATATATAATATGCGATATATAATATAGAATATTTATTATATAATTTATAATATATAATATATAATATTTAATATATAATATATAATTTATAAGATATAATATATGATATATAATATATAATATATAATATATAATATATCATATATAATATATAATATATAATATTATCATATAATATATAATATATATGTACATTAATAGTACTACTACTACTACTACTGCTACTACTACTACTTCTTCTACTACTACTACAACAACAACTACTACTACTACTCCTGCTACTACTACTACTACTACTACTACTACTACCACGACTACTACGACTACTACTACTACTACTACTTCTACTACTACTACTACTACTATTACTACTACTACTACTTACTACTACTTACTACTACTTACTACTACTTACTACTACTTATTACTACTTACTACTACTTACTACTACTTACTACTACTTACTACTACTTACTACTACTTACTACTACTTACTACTACTTACTACTACTTACTACTACTTACTACTACTTCCTACTACTTACTACTACTTACTACTACTTACTACTACTTACTACTACTTACTACTACTTACTACTACTTACTAATACTTACTACTACTTACTACTACTTACTAATACTTACTACTACTTACTACTACTTACTACTACTTACTACTACTTACTACTACTTACTACTACTTACTACTACTTACTACTACTTACTACTACTTACTACTACTTACTACTACTTACTACTACTACTTACTACTTCTACATACTACTTCTATATACTACTACTATATACTACTACTACTACTACAACTACTACTACAACTACTACTACAACTACTACAACTACTACAACTACTACTACTACTACTACTACTTATTATTATTATGATAATGTTAATAATATTGATAATATATTAAATATAATATATTGTATAACTAGTATTATATGTATAATTACTTGTGATACCGGGTTCTTCAAAAAAAACAGCCATCAACCAAAAGTTGCAACATCCACCGAAAGCCCCCGGACCCCCTGTCTCAATGTTGCTAACCATCGCTTCTCAATGGCCGGAGCAAGAATGGCTGTTTTTTTTGAAGGCTCCGCGAAGCACTGCTGTCACACAACATTGAAATTGGGGTCAAGGGGTGTCTAACTCTCCTCGCCAGACTTCAAGTTGGTTGGCTGTTTTTTTTGAAGAACCCGGTATGATTTCACCAGGACTGGAAAAATCAAACGGAATAAGTAGCATTTTGTACCCCAGAAATTGGACGGATTCTAAGAAGCATATTTTATGGTCCCAACATGGTGCTATGTTTGAACCAGAGATGTGTGATTTTGTTTATGACAGCCAGCATGGCCCAAACATGTTCCATTGAATTTGTGGGAGCAGTAGGGCAACAGTTTATCATCTTAACCAGTTTTTTTTGGTGATTTGAATTTTGGAGCTCTTCCGAAACATAATTTTGTAACTTACCAATGATGAGGTATCCACGGTATCCCTAGGATCGCAAACCAGAGGGTTGAAAACCACAAATGAACCACGAATTACTGAAATTATCCGAAATCCCAGAAAGGTCCCCATGAAAATCGCCTGAGCACCCTGAAAGATGCCCGAAACGGCCCGAAACATCTCTAATTCCGTCACATGTTTCCCCACAAAAGATTGTCCAAGCTCAACCCAAACCCCTTCCCTTCAATGTTCCCCAACCTAAACGTCGTCGCTCTTCAACGGTCGCTCCTTAGGAAAGCACAGCGACCGCGATTGCCTCCTTCCAATTCCTCCAGGGCCTTGAAGCAGATCACCTTGGCGCGAAGTCTCAAGGCCTTCGCGACGGCGGTGAGTCGTGTGAACGACGTGAATCGCCTGGCACAAATGCATCCTGATTGGCTCAGGAGACTAGCTGCTGGGCGATTCATTCAGGCCTTTTTTTGGAGATGTTGGCAGATTTTTACCATGGTAATTGGGCACATGGCTATGGAAAATGGATGAACATGGTCCATTTTCAGTGGATTTAGATATCTATGAATAGTGTTGATTTTCATTGATTTTCGCTATGTTAATTTACCAGAGGGTAATTTAAATGGTCCGTACCTCGCTTAGGCCTACGTTTTGGCTCACTTAGGCTTACGTTACAGATACATGATGATACTTGCATTAAGGATATATTCATATAGCAGGACATGATTTCGACAGACTTGCACAAGTGGATTAGAGATGCTCATCTGGATACTCTTTCAGTCTTTCAGTGTCTCCCCCCGGTTCCAGTGGTCGCCAATCCCCAGTCCCCCCAAAATGTCGGCCCAAGTAGTCCTGGGACCTAAATAAACTGCATGGTTGAACCGCGGATCGGTTAAAAGAGACATATATTTCAGGACCAAATGCAGGTTTCAACATATGAGGGTGTATGTATAGTTATACTTATTTATCTATCTATCTATCTATCTATCTATCTATCTATCTATCTATCTATCTATCTATCTATCTATCTATCTATCTATCTATCTATCTATCTATCTGATCTATCTGATCTATCTGATCTATCTGATCTATCTGATCTATCTATCTATCTATCTATCTATCTATCTATCTATCTATCTATCTATCTATCTATCTATCTATCTATCTATCTATCTATCTATCTATCTATCTATCTATCTATCTATCTATCTATCTATCTATCTATCTATCTATCTATCTATCTATCTATCTATCTATCTATCTATCTATCTATCTATCTATCTATCTATCTATCTATCTATCCTATCTATCATATCTATCATATCTATCATATCTATCATATCTATCATATCTATCATATCTATCATATCTATCATATCTATCTATCTATCTATCTATCTATCAATCAATCAATCAATCAATCATATCTATCTATCTATCTATCTATCTATCTATCTATCTATCTATCTATCTATCTATCTATCTATCAATCATTTCATGTATAGTAGAATGATCCATAGATTATGGTTCCTATGGTCCTTTGGATATGACATAGGGGCTTATTGACCTATCTAGTTTAGTTGGAATTGTTTCAATCAATTTCATAGGGATACTTGTCAACCAGCCAATGTAATGGGATGGGTTGGAGAGTTGTATTTTGCATGGCTCAGTTGTTTGAAATTAAAGTTACCACATGTCCGTTGAGTTGTCGATCCAAAATGTTGCTTGAAGATGGTTGGACCGCTGTAATTCCAACAATTTAGATGGTTCAGTTGTTTTTTTTCTGCCATGCATGTTGGTTCTCCACATATATGCACTTTAAAAGACAAACTACTTGGTGGCTTATCCCACTTAGTAAGTGGGTTATAACCCCAGTTATAAATGGGATAAGCAGGGTTAATACACTTATAACTTGGGTTATAACCCATTTACTAAGTGGGATGAGCCACCAAGTACACATGTTGGATGTAAATGGATTTCAAGAACGGACTTTTTTTTGAGACGATGTTTGCAGACTCCGCCGGGGTTGAATGCTTACTATAGAGATTTTGTACGACCTAATTTACTGGGGATGATGATAACCTTAAAACCTATCAACCAACTACCGGTACTATTTCATGAGATGTCAAAACGGGTTATTTTGAATGGCTGAGAAACGTATTCGGTTCTGTCAAAATCTTGGGACATCATCTGGATGTCTCGAGAGATGTTTTTTTTTTTTTTATGTAGTTTCTCTGAAAAATGGGGACCCTTAAAATGGATGGATTTTTGGATGGATTCCATTCTGTAGGTTTTTTTTTCATTCATGGAATGGATTCGATATGACCCGGCCGGATCCTATCGAATCCAAAAACGGATCCTGAGCTGAGGTGATTGATGACTGTTGGAATTTCAACCGGAACGGTTGGAGATATCAACATAACCGGCTGAACAGGGACAAACTTGAGCTGCTCCTTGACGCAGGCTGGGATCAGATGGGCTTCAATTAGGTTTGAATTTTCGGGGGTGAGAGATGTCAAATACGTACCGCCAGTAGATGCTTAATTCATCTTAATTTTCTTAATCTGGTTGGTGGTTTGGAACATTTGTTCTTTTCCATAATATATGGGATGCCATCCTTCCCATTGACTTTCATATTTTTCAGAGGGGTAGGTCAACCACCAACCAGTAATTACCCTCTGGTAATTTAACATAGCTATTGAAAATGACCATAGAAATAGTGGATTTTCCCATTAAAAATGGTGATTTTCCATAGTTTTTTGTAGGTTTACCAGAGGGTATCAATCATCATCACCCATCCTTAGAATCAGCTCCAACCTAAATTTCTTAAGCTTCTTAAGACACCCAGAGGTGAGGATTGTTTTACCGAAAAAAAAAAAGTCTCCCCTAAACCCCCATGGGAATGTCTGGGCTACTTTTTGCCAACGGTTTACACAGTACCCTCTGGTCATCAAATGTAATCATCTATAGATAGATGAAGGTTTTCATGGGATATTCATCGAACAACCAGCCAGTGAGGAATATGTCCCATGTTTGTACAGCGAAAGGGATTATTTCCCACTTACACTTGCATGTTGACCTGCCCCGATTTTTTACGACAGAATTGTCTAAGGTGCAAACCCCAGACTCATGTCAGGGCAGGGTCGTCATGCTCGTCAAAAAGAAACGGAGTCATCATGGTGATGTTAGTTTGTTTGAAAATAGTGTGCCCCTAAATCCACTTGAATATTATAATGTTCCCTATTCAAATAGCCATGAATGGGGATACTAATAATAATGTACATTGTAACATATATATATATACATATGCATACATAATTTCTATAATATATATATATATATTTATAATTTATATAATTTATATAATTTATATAATTTATATAATTTATATAATTTATATAATTTATATAATTTATATAATCTATATAATTTATATAATTTATATAATATTTAATAATTTATATAATTTTTAATATATAATATATAATATATAATATATAATATATAACATATGATAATATATATATATATGCATTATACTTATAATGTTACATACAATATGATATATATATATATATATACATACATATTATGTATATTATATATTATATACAATGTATTATGTGTATATATATATATATATATCATTTTCAGACACACCCATATAGTGGTTGTGGGATATGGACATGTTGAACAAATCCGGCAGTGATTGGACCAAAAGAAGCGGAGTGGACCTTGGAGTGGACGCTTGGTTGGTGTATATACCCTCTGGTAATGAAACATGGCAATTCAAAAAGAATCTGTTGTTTCATGGAAAAATCATCCATAAACAGTTCCCAAATGCTCCATGTATGGAATATTTACCTACATTTACCCCAAAAATGGCACAAATGTAGGTAAATATACCATACATAGAGCATATGGGGTTGAATTCATCGGCCGCAGGTCTGGACGTGGATACTCCTGGTCTCCTTTTCACAGCCGTTTGGGGCTCCGCCAGCTGTTTGTCGCTGCTGCTGAAACGGGGCGCAGACCCTCTGGGCGACCGCGCCCGGACGCAAGGTCCGACGTGGAATCTGGATCTGGAGCAGTGTCCCTTCGTAGCGGCTGCGGAAGAGAAGGGAACTGTGGAACAACTGAGGGAAACCTGGATTCAATGGGAGATCTCCAGGATCCTTTGATGTGGAGGTACGTTGTACCATAGCCCTTATTTTTCGGCCTTATATATGCTACCCTCTGGTAAACAGCCACATAACTATGGAACATCACAATTTTTAATGGGTAAATCAACGAACTTTCAATGGCCATTTTCAATAGCTATGTTAGTCATTACCAGAGAGTAACAATCGAACATAATCCATTTATAGATGATTTTGAAACTTTTGAAAGACAATTTTCTAAGCTATAAACCTCCATTAAACAATCAGTTTCGGTTCCTTCCTTGCATGGCAAAGAGGATGGAATCACAGGGGATGTTGGCCATTCCTGGAGGTTTCCACACTGGACCGCTGCGACTCATCCATTGGACTAGATCATAGCTGGTTGGTGGTGACTGGAACCATGGAATTTTATGACTTCCCCAATAGCTGGGATGATGATCCAATTACTGACGAACTCCATGATTTTTCAGAGGGATTGAAACCACCAACTAGATAGGATGTTCCATGAAATAAACCATCCAGCGATATTATTGGGGTACTTTCCACTGTAGGAAACCTCCATATGTTTCTGATGATTTGAAAGGATGTTTCTATTTGTATTTATTTCTCATGACGGTTGTGACGTTTGATGTTTTCTTGAGAACAATGTGTTATGTTATGTTATGTTATGTTATGTTATGTATTTTTTCCCATGAACATAGCGAATTCACAAATACAACATCAATTCATGGGATATTTGCGAACAAACATGCAAAGTGGGGCCCCCTAGATAGCTAAGTTTTAACTCCAATGACTGTGGCTTATGATGCGTATAACTTTTAACTATAGTATACTATATTATTCATGGTGTAGTTTATAACCCAACAAACATGACTTTTTTCGGGCACAGTGTCCGCGGCCAGGAACTGAAAAAGGCCTTGGAGCGACATCCAAAGTACGCACATCGAGCAAACCAAGAGTGGCGAGACGCCATCGAACGCATCCACGAGAATCTGTGGCCTGGACGGCCTGGAAGGAGAAAAAAGTTCGAATCGAAAAAATTGCTGCATATTTTTCCCCAACAAAAGTGATACATTGTGGTTGAACTAGTTGAACTTGTTTGTTCATCAGCAAAGTATAATCCCAGAGGATCCATGGTGCTGGAATATTTACCTACATTGACCCCTAAAGATCCCTAAAGTAATTTAAAATAATCCCAATGTAGGTAAATATTCCATACATGGCAGTGTGTCAAAACCTTGTACCCCTGGTGAACATCAAAATAGCTGGGATTTATGGATGTTCATCCCATTAAAAATGGTATTAATAGGTATTGATCCATAGCCACATGGATCCTTAGGGAATAATTCATGGTGATTTTTAGGCATTTTTTTGAAGCATCAACCATCAGGCACCAAATCCGAGGGACCTCCCGTTTCATCCAGGGGCCCCAAGGGATCCAAGGGTACCCGGCCTGGTAAACGTTTACAGTTTGCGGCCCATTGAAATAGTGGATTTACCCATTAAAAATGGTGATTGTCCATAGCAAACTGTTAGTTTACCAGGCCGGGTAATTCGAAAATAGTGCCAGATGCTGTTCTATCTATATCAGGGCTAGAATCTTTTTGTGCTATTTTTATCTATTTTTCTGTTTGATTCGGTCCCTGAGGCTTGAGATGTCTGGACGGAAAAGTTATGTCAATAAGAAGAAGTGGTTGCGGGATGAAATCCTCCAATATGTGGACAAGGGCTATGCTGTTTGCCCGTAGAAAATGGCAAAAACTGCCCACTTTGAGTGTCCAGTTCTGGTGTTTCAACAAGTGCCCCATTATCAGAGACTCAGAGATGAATAGTGAATCAAATGTTGAAGATATTTCAAGGTGTTTGGAACATGTTGAAAACACCTGGCTCTGCCTAGTTCGGCATCTGCAAACAAAGCTTTGCACCAAGCGTACGTGACGCCAATGACCGAGTTGTCAGGCAGATAAAAGATTCAAGTGCTTATGCGTTGCTGGTCAAACGTGGCTGGTTAAGAAATGCCCTTTTCGTTGAGGTGCATTGAAAACTGTGGACCATCATGTGTAAATAACATTTTTTTGCATGGCAAAGTTGGATTGCCAAAGGGAAATGTTGTTTTTTGGTTTTGGGAGTCCATTATGTGATACTGTGTGCGTTGCATTCTATCCCATTCATACCCATGACTGGTGTACAATCCCTATATTTTGTTGGTAAATTCCCTCTTCTTCTCCTGCTTGCATTCCAGATGGTTTGATGCTAAGCATCCCCATCCTGTTTCACATCTATACATATATATATATTTACCACAGGTGTCGATAGAAGCTTGATTCGATCTAAGTTTGCTTCTACAATCGCCATCTTTGCTTGCAAAAAAGCTCCAATTCGCTACCTTGCCGAGGTTCAATCCCAAGGTTGCTTCTTTCAAATCCGAACTTGTAAAATCCGACATTTGCATAAACAAATGCTACTAATAATTTAAAATCATTGGTCTACTTGGTCGTTCATCCCAGTAAGATTTAGTAAGTGGCTTAGTTCACCCAGTTTTAAGTGGACATTGCCCCTACTCCCATTACAACCGGACAAACAAAACTCTAACCGTTATAGTTATAACCCACATAAAGTTTATGTGGGTTATAACCTAACGGTTATAGTTATAAGTCTGGGGGTATCGTTTATGTCGTAAACGATCAACGTGGCTAGTTCACCCCCGGCCGTACCGTTTGGATCACCAGATCTCCATTTCGTACCGACAGGTGACCCTGGCCCATCTGGAAGCTCTGCTGCTGGAGAAATTGGCCAATGCCGAGGGTGATATCCTGGACGTGCCGTGGCGGCAGAGGGGGCGGCTGGAGAAAAATCGGAGGATTTGAATGGAAGTGGATGATTGGGGAAAATTTGGGGAACCTTTTCTGGAAATTGGGTGATTTGAAGAGAAATTGGATGAAATTGGATGATTTGAATTTCTAAAATCAATGCTTTGAGGCAAGCAGTGAGAAATTGGATGCTTTGAGGATCTTTGAGGCATTGAACATTGGAATTGTTTAGCTATGGAAAAAAAATATTGGACACATTGGAAACATGACCTGACGCAAGGGAAGCATTCCATGCGTAGCATTGGGGGATCCTAGAATTAGATGGGAACGTGTACAGGAAACCTCTATATGTTCTGGGCAATTAACCGGAATCATGATAGGGGAATCATCCCCAAATGCCTTATTTCAGTTTATATAGTGAAATATTCAAAATTACACGGATATGTGGGGGGTTAACAACAGCCAAAACAAGAGTGACTTCCAAGTTGTGTCGGCAGTTTCCCGTGCAAAATGAACGGCTTGAGAAGATGTTGGGGTTCCTCACAACTCCCATATGTATTATGTGTACATATAATACACAATAATACACATTGTGCATATCGATTTCTGTTTATATATATATTATACATATATGATATAATAATATATCATCGAATCAATTGATCAGTAAATATTACTAAAACAAAGTGATTGATGTATAGTATATAATTAGAATATATATATATATATATATACGTATATGTATATATATATATATATACATATACATATATATATATATACATAACAAATATATATATATATACATACATACATATATATATACATAACAAATATATATATATATATACATACATATATATATATACATAACACACACATATATATATATATACATACATACATATATATATATATACATATACATATATATATATACATACATATACATATATATATATATACACATATATACATATATATATATATATATTTAAAAATACGCAGTACAACCGTTATCCCAATCGCTGGGATAAGGACACGGAGCTGATTTTGAGTCTGGAGGAAGCCAAAAAGCGTCTTGGGCCAAGGGGAGCCAAAAAGCGGTGTTTTCTTTGAGTTTTTTGGGGGTATTTTGTTTCAAAGATGGAGGTGAAACCAACACAATATTTTAGGATATATGAGAATATACTTGATAGATGAAATGATTGATTGAGCTGCTCTTTTTGAAGTACTAGTGAAATAATTGGGGGATATCATCACAATCCATGAACAGGGAATCTCCATGAAAAACCAGCCATAGCAACTTGTGGAGTTTGCAGGGCACCAGAACAGATTGAGTCATGACCGCCTATTGAAGGGTCATAAGAGCCCAAATACTTTATCAGGTGCTTGGGGTGGCAAGGGCCAGTTATCCTCAGTGTGTTTGTTTAATTACCCTCTGGTAAACTAACATAACATAACTATGGAAAATCACCATTTTTCATGGGAAAACTCACTATAAATGGCCATTTTCAATAGCAAACTGTTGAATTACCAGAGGGTATCCTCAGTGTGTGTGTTTAATTATGTCCTTTTGTTTGTTGCTTGAAACCTGATGTTTAGTGTCTTGAGTTGACGCCACATTTTCCATGTGTTTGGGTGCTGTAAATAATGTCAACCCCTGATTGGCAAACCCTGGCTGATCAAGTAGGGCTTCACCCCCAAACTGACTACCCTCTGGTAATTTAACATAGCTATTGAAAATGACCATAGAAATAGTGGATTTTCCCATTAAAAATTGCCATTTTCAATAGTTATGTTAGTTTACCAGAGGGTACTTGATATCAAAATGGAACCCTGCACTTAAAGCAACCAGGGGTGTATGAATCTAGGGACAGCATTGCCAATACGGTTCCGTACATTCAACCAGTTCAAATTTTCTGCTCCCACAGATTTTTTGTTCAGCAGTCCCGAGGACCAGTGATGAAGTGAAAGAGAAGGTGGTGGTTGCACAGGCGCGCCCTGGGACACAACATATTAGAGATTTTTGCATGACATTTGGATTCAAAACCATGAAAGTTGGGATTATGGTCACAAAGCTAAGGATGTCATCAACATGTAGATTTGCCGGTGCAATTTCCCGCGTTTTTTTGTTGGGGCAAAACATCACCAATGAGACGGCGATTGGACAGGTGGTTATAAATCCTTAGAAAGGTGTTGTTGATGAAGATCGAAGAACACCTGTTGACGTTCTTGGCACATGAGTAGCAGCCAAAACCCCTGTTGGTTGATGATCATTGTCATTGTGTAGGTATAATCAGGATATAATCGATATTTAACTAACAATGGCTATAATTTATAAATGGTACTGGCAAAATTGAAACCATTCACTTAACCTGAAACTTTAAAGGTTATTAATATTCACTAACCATCACATTACGCTGCAACTTTAGAAGTTCTTTCGGCTTCATGTCCTATCGCGCTTTTTGTGACCCAATCTCCCCATGTTTTTTCCCAGGAGACGGAGCTGAAGATCAACGAAACCTCAGAGTTTTATCGTCCCACGGGGGCACGGGGCTCCTTGCTGTTCTTCCAACTCATGAGTTTGTGCCGCGCGACGGAGATCTTTTTTCGGGGCGGACCCTTGGGGGTTGGTTGGGAAAGATGTTGACACGGGAAAAAAAATACGGCAACAAATTGGTTGCCTCATCTTTTGGGGGGGAAAATGGTGATGAACCATGAATTGTTGTTAAATGGTGGATTTTTTTGAAAACATATGGTGAGGTTTTTCAGGGTGGAGGACCAACTGCTGCCTTCTACTCGGAAGAATTCATCTCAAATAGATCATCGCCAAGCAGCTTTCATCTCCAGGGAACTGCCAGCAGAAGGGTTTTCAAACCAACAACAGCCAGCAGTTTGCCTGGTTTACCCTCTGGTAAACTAACGTAACTATGGAAAGATCCACCATTTTTAATGGGAAAACTCACTATTTCGACTGGGCCATTTTCAAGTTCGCAAACTGTTAGTTTACCAGAGGGTACTGAGTGCAATTCATTCAGTACTATTCAGTGTCGCAGTGAGGCAACATGCACACCTTCTACAAGTACTCTTTGGATGCGTACCTCATGGCATCTTGGCGCTGAGTGCTATAGCTATCTATAGCTGGTCGGGGATCCCCCTGGATCCGGATCCGTTGGTTGCTAGGTTTGCAACATGGTTACTGGTTACCCTCTGGTTATGACTAACATAGTTATGGTATAGATGGCCCACAGAAATAGATGGTTTACCGAACTTAAAAATGGTGGATCTTTCCATGGCTATGTTAAATAACCAGATGGAAGTATAAATGTAGCTATAGTTCGATTAACTTAGATTGTTTTTTTTTTTTTTTTTCGAACCAACTTATTATAATTTGGGCCCCAAGAGATTTTCTCACACCCTGCAATGCCCTGCAGAAGATACTGCTGAGATGAGTCACTAGGTCCCCTTAGATGTACTGATGTGTTTTCTGTTTTTTTGAGTACATCGAAGGGAACCTAGTGACTCATCAGTTCATAATATCTGATTTATGTGTGATAAAATATCCCAGGAGCCGCGCGTTCACAATATCAGATGGTGATGTTGAATTATATGGCAACATGGATAAATCCACTGGATAATATCCGCGCAAATGGATACTTTGATACTTTAAGGGATCCAGAAAATTGGGACTCGGACTGTGTTCAAAGGTAGCTCACTGATGGTTCAACATAGACACATCCGAACATGCGGAGAATTCAAACCGAAGTCCAACCACCCACGTTCTGCAGTTCAGACATGGAACAAATATATATGTTGATATGGACAAACTCTGGTTGGTGGTTTGGAACATGTCTTATTTTTCCACAATTATATTGGGAATAATACTCCCAACTGACTTTCATATGTTTCAGAGGGGTAGGTCAACCACCAACCAGAGCTAAATGGTCTGAAAATAGGGATGAATAGGGTACCCCAACATGTGATGCTTTAACAATTTATCATGTGACTTCCCGCGATGAAACATGGGCAAGTGACTTGGGCTTCAACTTTCAGACACAGCCATGTTGAACAGACAATCTCAGCTGCCACAAGGCTGCAATTGGTGCCCCATACAGACAGCTAAGCTGATGAACAACTCTAATTTGTATAGGATTTTCATGGTAGAAACATCGATAGTCTATAGTTTATGAGGATTATAAACTTGCAACTGGGAAGGATCGTTTTGGTTACCAACCAGGCGTACCGACCATACGAACCATGTGAATTCGTCAGAGGTACGACAGAGGGAAGATGCACAACAACTATTTGATGATACTTTGTGGTAATTTATGGACAACCATAGTATCATGACAACCATAGTATCTAAATTACCATGGTATTTAGTTGATATTATGATTTCTAAATTTCTAAACTTTGTTATGGACAACCACTATAAATTTAGAAATGGAAGTTACTATGTAGAAAAATCATCTAAATGGGTGATTTTCCATTCCCGCAGGTTTGAGTACCGGATGGTATTTGATGACAAAATAAATTGTTCCTGATCATTCCTGCGAAGGTTTTCCTCAAATCAACAAATCAACCCAGTGACTACCCGAATAATTATTTTAGATGATCTCATATGATCTCCATGTTTGATTCAGCAGAACCTGCGGGTGAACCCCAAAATTTCTAGGTCGTCACGCGCGCCGTGAACAGCGTCACGTTGCGCAAGCCTAAGGACTGTCAAACATGGCGGGGGAATGCTCCATATGTGTGTATATATACAAGTATATATAAATATAATTAATTAGTTGATTAATTATATATATATATATGTATACATAATACTGTATATAATATATATATATATATACTGGGGAATACAGTAAATATATATATATATATATGTATGATTGATTGATTATATATATATATAGATATAAATACATTGGGCATGTTCCATGGCCATGTTCGCCCAGTTGGTTCCAGGTTGTCGTTTCTTTAGGAGGTGAAGGAAGAGCCCAAGGTGGACGAAACCACCGAAGCCGAAGGCGGCGAAGACGAGGACCATGGGAATTTTTTGGGGTTTTATGATAGAAAAGTTGGTTTACCCTCTGGTAAACTAACATAACTATGGAAAATCACCATGTTTGATGGATAAATCAACTTTTGTTTTTTTGGGGGTTTTATGATAGAAAAGTTGGACACCTGAAGACCGGGCCATCAACGCTAGACATTGGCAGCGCGTCAAACAACTGGAGGACTTAAATGGTGGTTTGGAACCATGGAATTTTATGACTTTCCATATATTGGGAATGTCATCATCCCAACTGACGAAGTCCATCATTTTTCAGAGGGGTAGGTAGCCCCCACCAACCAGATGTTGTCGGGAAATCCCTCATTTGTTGGTCGAATAAAACCATGATGGAACTAGCTGGCACTTAGAGGTATGGGAATGACATGGAATGACTCAAAACCTCTAGCTCTAGAGTGAACATGAAAATAGCTGGTACTTCTAGATCTTCATCTCCAAAACATTGCATCTTCATAGGATTCACTGATTTTTGGTTCATTGGTGCATTGATTCATCATTGATTCATTGGTTCACTGAATCATTTCTAGGCTTTTTCATCGCATCCTCGCCACATCCCCCACATCCCCAGTGGTATTTTGTTGGCAAAACTCCAGGAGGGAGACGAAGAGGATGCGGAGGACGAGGTTGCAGAGGAAGCGGCTCCAGAGGAAGAAGAGGAGGTGAGATCCGGAACCCATGGGATTGGATCAGCCATTAAGTATATCATATATCATTATATGGGGTCTTCCATAAATAGGGATACCCCAAAATAGATGGTTTATAATGGAAAATCCTACTATAAATGGATGATTTAGGGGTTATATTCTGGTTGGTGGTTTGGAACATGGCTTTTATTTTCCCCAATAGTTGGGATGATGATCCAATCTGACTTTCATATTTTTCAGGGGGGTTGAAACCACCAACTAGTATTATTGTATGGATATATCCACCATAAACATCTATGAATGCCATCCATAGTATCATAGATATATCATGGATATATCATAGATATCATTTATGATATATCCACCATAAGCATCAACCATCCATACCGGAGATTACTTTATAACCCAACGACTCGATTTAAGTGCTTTGTCGATGGATTTTTTTCCGCTTTTCCCAATGGGTTTTCCCAACGGATTTTCTCCGCTAGGACGTACCCTGGATTCGGAGTTGGATTGGATGGTCTTCTCCAATCAAATCCCCATGACGGTGAGTTAAATCCATGTTACTGATGGTGAAATCATATTGACTCCCCATCATCCCATATCTCATTGGATTGCAAAACACAAAACACAGGAAACCATGTTTTTGTTTACATGTGTTCACCATCAACAAAACATCGGGGTTGCCCGGTTCAAGAAATGCATCATTATCATTTGTTTTATATGTTATATATAGCCTGAAGAGTTTGGGCACCTGAATTTCCAATGGATTCAAGCCTCATTTTCCTGTGAAAAATGGCCCGAAATGGAAGCATTTTTTCGGCCAGGAGGAGATCATTGAGTTGACCGGAAAGGAGCTGAAGCTGCGAGTGGATTTGCAGCTCGGCGGCAGCTATGGATGGTTTCGGAAAATGCTGGGAACATGTGAAAATGATGGGGAAAAGCTGGAAAACCTGGTAAAGCTGATCACTGTTTCGATCGAAATGCCATTTATTTGTTGGGGGATCAAAAAGAGTTTCATTCACACACTCGTATATATATATATATACATATATATGTAAATGCACCTATACAGTTATACAGTTCGGGTGTTTCTATGGCTTTGAGATTAGTCCAACAAGCTCAACTTACAAGGTCTATCCTGAAGGGACATTTGATACACAGCTGACATGATAAGGACATGAAAATAGAATAACTTTACAGGGCAGCAACTTGGGTTGTATGGCTTCACCCTCCCAGAACATTCAGGCCGGATTTGTCTCGTAGTTCCTCTTTGTACCATTTTGTACCAAAAAATCCTCCAGGACGCTAAGTCATGGAGGTTTCCTAAGTCATGGGGGTACCCCAAAGTCATCCAAGTTATTGCTTATAATTCCATCACCCCAAGTTTTTCAACACCCCAATTGGTATGGTTCCCAATGATGTGGAAAGTCCCCATTTATCATCCATCCAATATGTCCCAATTATGTGGAAATTCCCTATTAAACCATTTATAGATGGGATGTTCCATTCTGGACCATATACAGTAAGCCATGCAGCGAGCTTGGGGATCCCCAAATCAAGTGGTTTATAATCCATATTTCATCCCATATCAGGGAATATTCCTCCATAAATCTCCATAATTATATTATATATATATATTAAATTTCACGAGCTCCTGGGATTTTGTGATTTTTAGGGAATATTGGATATCAAGGTCAAGATGCAGTATTTGGTGCAGTGTACGCGCACAAGGGTGGCACCAAAAAACTCAAGCGTCATGGTTCGCACGGGTTTTGCACTGGATCAGCCTTCCATAAATGGAATTGGTCCAATTAATCCTTCAGAAAAAATGAAACGGTCGGAAACGGTCGGAAACGGTCGGAAACGGTCGGAAACGGTCGGAAACATGATCAGGCCAAAACTTGTTCAACCCGCATTTTTTAAAAATAAGCATTTCCGCGCAACGCCGTTTTTTTTTTGAAGGTCCAAAGGTGTCCAAGGGGAAACGGTTGGAAACAGTCGGAGATCGCACCTTCGCTCGGCACAAAAATAGTTGTTTTGTAGCATGAAAAATGTTTGAAAATTGTGTAAAATCTTGTCTTTTTTGCTGAGCGAAGGTGCGAACTCCGACTGTTTCCAACCGTTTCCCCTTGGACACCTTTGGACCTTCAAAAAAAAAACGGTGTTGCGCGGAAATGCTTATTTTTAAAAAATGCGGGTTGAACAAGTTTTGCCTGATCATGTTTCCGACCGTTTCCGACCGTTTCCGACCGTTCCCGACCTTTCATTTCTCTGAAGGATTAATGGACCAATTCCATTTATGGAAGGCTGATCCAGTGGGTCAAACCCGTGCAAACCATGACTCTTGAGGTTTTTGGTGCCACTCCTTTGTGCGCGTACACTGCACCAAATATTGCATCTTGACCTTGGATATCCAATATTCCCTAAAAGCACAAATTCCCAGGACTGCGTGACTTTAATATATATATATACATTATCATATATATATATAATAAATAATAATCATCATCATCGTTATCATCGTTATCATCATCATCATCATCATCATCATCAACATCATCATCATCATCATCATCATCATCATCGTTATTATCAATATATATATATATATATAACTGGGTGTATACCTCAGCCATTTACGATTTCCCGGCTTTCGGCACCCCTGAAATCGCCTTGGAGTTCCTCAGGCTGCAGAACATCATCACCTTGTTCGTGTGGAACTACACGCGCCGCGGGCTGCTGGACTCCGATAAGTTGACCGTGGTCAGTATGATGTGCATGAACATCCTGGTGCGCGTCCGGAAGACCCAGCGACCCAGGGATACCCAGGGCATCCCTGAAAAAAATGGAGGGAGATGGTTGGTCAGGTTGGAGTGGTGCGACGTTTTTTTCGGAATGACAGGTTGGTTGTTTCGTTTGGCTTTGACATATATGTATTTATATATATAATAATATATATTTCATATGTTTTGTGTTTTGTGTTCAATAGAAACAGAAGATGATGACTATTATGGTATATGATGATTCATGATACGATGCGCGTTTTTTGTTTTTTTCAACTGGAAGTTGGATTTCCGATTGATACCAAGTTGTGATTCATCCAGACAGTTGTTTTCTAAAACAATACACACATATCCCTACGGATCCAAACACTTTTTGGGAAGGTACGGCTAATCTTGTCAATCAAACCCAACAAACTCCCTTAGGTTTGTGCAATTTCCCGTGATTGATGATTTTCACTGCGAACACTGTCTCGAATCGACCAGCTTCCAGCACCTTCCAAGGCCGGCAAGATTACTGCGGAAGAGCTACTTGGCAGAAAATCAGCAGCTTATCCATGGCCGGCCATGGCTTCCAGTTCCCAAAGATGGTAGTTGTTTGTTTAAGCAGAGCTGGATGAATGGTTGATGTGTTGATTGTCGCTATGGCTTCCTGGAGGAGTATAGGTGGAATAGGCTAATGAACCCTGCTGAACATATCTCTGAAGATTTCATTTCGAATCTTAGGTTAGCCGATATAGATTTCCATGAAATTGCCATAAGATTCTTGGGTTTTACATGGTTTTACCTCATTTCCATCCAGTTTCCAACCTCACTGAATGGGCCTTTTTGATATTGGGTTTTGTTGAAACACAATTAACCAATGGTTGAAATCAAAAAGTTGTTGGAACCTGAAAACGCACCAGTCACACCCTAGTGAACCCCATGGTACACTAGCGAACCCCATATCCCATGATCTGTTGCATGCATCCCATATTGTATTTTCCCCAAATCATCATTTCTGTCATAGCTATAACTTAAGACATAACTTACAGTATGTTTGTACATATAATATGATATAATCTGATACATATATATACATAATAATAATAATCACTAATAATAATAACAACAACAATAATAATAATGATAATTATGATGATAATAATAATAATGAAAATAATTATGATAATTATGACAATAATAATAATAATTATTATTGTTATTATTGTTATATTATATCATAAGCCATAGTGTGGTAAAGCCAACTTCAGCCATAGAAATTCAGCCAACTTTTCTGAGCTCGACTCAGGAAGGAGACCTTGATCCGTTGCCCTCCGGACCCAACTCCTCCAGTGATGCCGGAGAATGCGAGGCCGGAGAATACACCGGAGGGTCGCCCGTGGTCATGGACCGTGGTCAATGGCCATGCAACAGGAACCCAAATTGGAGGTACCTACCATAAGTTGGTTTATAAACCCCATTAACTATAGATATATCTACCATAAACCATAGTTTTTGGAGTTACAAACCAACTTAGCTAACTATGGGGCACCACCTTGTACCTACCATATATAAGGCCTATTTTTTGGGGCTATGTAAGGGGATATACACCCAAAATATGGCCTGAAAAATGGTACAGTAGCTCCATATCAAAGGATCCTGAAATTCCCATTGAGGGGTTTCCATAGCCATGGGGGTACTCTCAAGCTCGCTGGATTTCATGGAAAATCCGAAAATGTAATGGATGATGACTGGGGGTAGCCCTATGACTCAAGAAACCTCCATTTACTAAAGGGATTATACAGGACTTGGCCCCCAGTCGAGCTCGCGTTCAGAAACGCCTAACAAGAGTGGCCAAATTCTATGGTTTATGGTAGATATAACTGTAATTAATGGGGTTTATAAACCAACTTACAACTGGGGGGCGCCATCCTGTACAAACCAATATGTATTTGGGATATCATAATCCGTTCTAGGAATCCCTATCAACTACCGAGTATAATGGGATAGGATGGGGGCACTTTTTTATGGCGCAAGCGGTGGGCAAAGCCCTTCCGGGGTCAACATGACTATGAAAAAACACAAAGTCATTATATATACAGATGAGTCAAAACTGTCTCGCATGTATAGATAGCAATTATGTTGTACTTTCTGACTTGTGAAATAGTATCAGTTTGTGAAGACGATTCAAAATGAGGACTGCCACTTGGACTTGAGATGGGTTACCTCAATCCCCAAACCAGTGGATGCTTACCGGATGTTTACCCAATCATTATTAATAGGCATATATATTCCCGTGTTATGTGTGTTTCTGTATCAGTAAATGTATCAAATAAATATATTTCCCGAAGATATTCCCAAATGTTTCAAAGAACAACGCCTTCCCATACCTTCCCAAATGAACCATTCTTCCGAACAATACACTGTATTATATTCCCCACACAATGCATAACGTAATAATATCAAGCCAAACAAAACCAAACGGGCAATTTAAGATAGCTATGGAACATAACAATTTTTGATGGGATAAATCATCTATAAATGGGTCATGTTCCATAGCAAACTGTTAGTCAGTACCAGAGAGTAACAATCGAACATAATCCATTTATAGATGATTTTAAAATATTTTGAAAGACAATTTTCCAAGCTATAAACCTCCATTTTCATTGGATTGTCCCATAGTGTCCCATTAACACCTTGATTTATAGTGGATGTGTCCATTGTAACATCTATCTAATTTACTAATCCGGGTATGTCATGTATTTATTTCTATATTTATATTTATATCTATATTATATTTATATTCATATCCATGTAAGCCCTTATGACAAGGTCCGGATCGAAACGCTTGCTGACAATTCCTCGTTCCATACGTCCGGATCACCGCGGAACGATCCATACCCGTTTTTTGAGCCATACCCATACATACCTCCATGGATCGGAAGATCCCAGGTATTTTCTCCCCTTTTTTTCATTCCTCCAGGAGCTGGCTGTCTGAGACCCAGTGGGCACAGCTGAAGACGCTGGAGAACATGGAAGCCTTCAAGAAGGGTGGACAGCTGACCCAGAACATCGAGCAGGACATCTGCTGGATGCAACATGATGAAACTTCCATCGTCCATGATGGAAACAACCACGGGAAGCCCATAAAAAAAAGGGTGTGACACGGGTAATCGGGGTAAGTCCGTAACCATAACCTGTAAATCATGAAATTCCCAAAAAAACTTGGGGAATGTGCCAATAAAATTACTATTTAAGGTTGCCTTGTTTCCCTTGGAATCAGATCTTTTTTCTTGACAGTTTAACATGTTTAACTTTGGCCAAACCGTGGTAAAATGCTCTAGTGGTTGGATGTTGTTCGGAGACACAAAAAGAATCATGATCAATCCTGATGTTAGATCACCGTTGTTTTGGCATCTTATCTAAACTCCCCACTGGGACCATCCGCCAAGTCTATCCCTCCTAATTATTCCTAATTCCTAATCCAAGTTGAGAGCATGGTTGTGTGTCCCTTCAATTCCCAGTGATTTCTTGAGGATTTGTTTCAGGCCTTGTTTAGAAACCCAATTTGTTGCGCATGTTGCTTGGGGCTTCATCCGTATTTTTCGAACATCCCTGAGCTGCGTCATCGTCCTGCCATCCTTGGAATCCCGTTTTGATCCCCATAATTGTTAGCTGGTTGTCATTTTTTTCTTTGTAAAATCACATGTGATTGACAATCTCAAAACAAAGGTATGTCAATGTTAAACCTAATGTTAACATTAACATTAACATTAACATTAACATTGGGTTTACCATTGACATACCGATGTTGGTTAATGTCAATGTTAAACCCAATGTCAATGTTAAACCCGATGGTTGGTTAATGTTAAACCAATGTTTGGCCAAACATTGTTTGACAGTGGCGAATATGTTTACCTAAGTTTTCACTGGTTTCAGCCTCCAAGAACTATGGTTTATAGGTGATATATCTATAGTTAATGGGCTTATAAACCAACTTATAACTGGGGGGCACAACCTTGTTCTATGTCAACCCAATCATCCCCTTCCACTTTTGAGTAACCGACTATCCTCATGTTTGATAGTTGAACTCTTTGCGAACCCAATCGCTTCCATCCCCTCCCATAGCCTTCCAACCAACAGTGGTGCTCCCCGCAGTTACGTGTTCTTGGTTTATAACTCCCATAAACATCCATAAACCCCAGTTATCCTTGTGACAAAGCAGCTTTTCGCGAACTCAAACCAACAGCTATAAATCAGCTATAAATTCAAATCAACTACAAATCAGCTATTAATCAGCTATCAATCAGCATGGTTTCTTTCGTGCAATTCCCATTTTTCACCATTCTACATGGTGGGCTCGCCACAGGACTCCCTGGGCTGGAAGCGTTGGTACTCAGAGGAGAAGGCTGAGAACGCGGATCTGCCGCGCAGCGCGCGCGACCTGAACCAGTTCCAACGCCTCTTCCTGCTGCGCGTCATGCGACAAGATCGCGCCTGGGAAAGGATGGGAAAGGTGGGTTGAAATCCACTCAAGTCACTATACTTGGGGATGTGGATCTTAAGGACATGGCGGGAAAGGTGTGAAATGAACATCACATGAAAGTGTGATGGAAAGTTGGTTTGAAATCCAAATGACAAATATATTATATAACTTGCGACGGGTTTCAAAGCAACCACCAATCAGAGGTAAGTTTGGGGATATTGGGCAGAAGTTGAGGGATGGTGGTAATGGATGGTCATGGTGGATATCCCTCAGAACGCAAATGGTTAGGGGTTACAAATAATTATAGCTGCACATAAATTGTTGACTAGTTATATATCTTATACACATAATGTACCGTCATCAAGTTATATCACTGGGTTGCAGCTGGGATGATTGCATGCAATTACAAGGGGTTTGAAATTCAGTTTAACATAGTTTAAACATCATTTGCAGTCTTCACGGAGTACTCTCTATATGTGTATATATATATATGGGGTTGGAAGGGGACCCTGCTTGGACTTGTTGGATTTAGTCGACCACGTCGACCTTGTCCCCGAGAATGACCCCAAGTGATGCAATGCTATGGCAGCGGCCACTAGGCCTAGAGCCCTACTTGTACAATGCGGTGTTCCCCTACCAGAACCATCCATAGCCCCAAAACCCAATGGTTTTTGGAGTGCACCTGGGTCACCACCTTGTATCACGTTGGACCATGTTGGACCTAGGTATCGGCGCCGCCTTGTCGCAGTTCGTCATTGACAATCTGGGGCAGGAGTGCTTCCAGCTGATGGTCAGTAGGGGAGTCAACTTTGGTGGTTCCTCCCGGGAACCTGTAGTTCACCCAATTGGATGTTCATCCCTCAACAATCCTCAACATACCCATAGGATCCATGTATGCTATATATGGTAACATTTACCATCAATATACCCCAAATGTTAGCATATATACCAGCACCATGGATCCTATGGATATTCACGGTAATCCAATGTAAGTCAAGAGTCGCGAACTACGGGCTGATCCTGCAAGATCTGAAAACCTTGCCCTGCACCTCTTCGTTGGGGATTGTGGCTCTCCGTTGGGCGGAATTTCTTTGAAATTCAGAAGTATAACTCGTTACCCTCTGGTAAACAAACATATCTATGGACAATTGCCTATATATATAGATGGTTTACCCATAACAAATGGCGATTTTCAATAGCTATGTTAGTTTCCCGCAGGGTATTTACACATGAGATCAAATGAATGAGTAAGTCAATCATGTCTCACTACATGGGCCATGGCTTCCCGTTTGCAAAGTCTTAGTCACGTTTGCACCGGGGTAGGTGTGTCCTTTAAACGTTGTTGCTCCTCTGTCCCTTCACCAAACTTGGAACCCCACATAGAGGATCATCTCACTTAGTAAGTGGTCGATAACTAGTTGAAAACCCTATAGGTCCCCTAAGTATACCTAAGTGGGGTTGTACCATATATAATTGGGAGCTACACCTCGGGTCGAAGAACCAGCTCTACCTGCATGGCTCAGCAAAAAAATCGTCGACTTATCAGAATTATCAGACCACAGATTTCTTCGTGTATATATATATATATCTTTAGGATATTCATCATCCAATTATTGGGAGATCCACAATTTTGTATCAACCATCTTTAGTAATTTAGTATATTTTAGTGGTTGGTGGTTTGGAACATGAATTTTATTTTTCCATTCAGTTGGGAATAATCATCCCAACTGACGAACTCATATTTTTCAGAGGGGTAGGTCAACCACCAACCAGATATAGTATAAACCATCAATTATTCACATTTTTTTGAGATCTTTTGAGCCAACAGACTTTTGATGGTAAACTTTGATCAATTATACATCACTTATTAACATTAACCATCATTAATAGTAATATTAACAATCCATTAATTCACATATCAAAGATATGGTGTTAATTTGATAGTGATATTTTCATATGATTACGATCTTTTGAGATATATTACCCTCCAGTAAATTAACATAGACCCTGGCAGATAGGGGTTGAAAGATTAGTTTCCATTAAAAATGAGTTATTTTCAGGGTCTACAAGTTAATTTACCAGAGGGTAACCATCAATGAAAATAGCGAACACAACCAACAAAGCATTTAACATAGCTATTGAACAGCTCCATTGAGCTTGTTGATTTACCTATTAAAAACAGGTGATGTCCAGCTTTACCAGATGGTAATAATGGTGATTTACCAGATTTTCCAATTAAAACATGGTGTTTTTCCAAAATTTGCCCATAAAAAATGGTGATTTACCAACTTTAGATGGGTGGGTGATTTACCCGTGAAACATGGTGAATTTCCAAATTTACCAGAGTTTATACCATAAAAAAACTGTTAGTTGGGCCATGATCCATTAAGCATTATGAACCAGTATTAACCATGGTATTTTCCAACTTTAGATGGGTGATTTACCCGTTAAACATGGTGAGTTTCTACTGAACTGTCCAGATTTTGTTCCAGGACTTTGTGGAACAGCCGCCCTTTGACATGGAGGCCTCCTTGGAGGAGTCAACGGCCATCACGCCCTTCTTCTTCGTGCTCTTCCCAGGCCGAGTTTGGAGTTCCAAATGGTGGGTGTTTTGATCGCCATTTCTGGTGAAAAACCTGAGGTATTTTACCAGATTTTCATGGTGGATTTCCATGGTGATTTCCATGGGATTTTCCATGGGGCGAATCTTGAAAAACCATGGTGATTTTTCAGGAAGATTTCTGGAAATCACCAGATAATTAACCATGACTTTCCCCATATTTTTTGTTAGATTTATGCATGAAGATTGCCAATTTCCATGAGCGATGTCATCGTGATTTCATGGTGATCTAATGGGGATTCCATCAATTTCCACCAACATATTGGTGCAAAAGATTGGAAATCTATACGTAGCTGTTTAAGTAGCAAAACGATATAAAATGATATAAAATGATAACATACTGTAAGAAGTTTATATCAAAAGAAGGTTTAGATATCATGCTGTAAACCAAACATATCTATGCTTTACCTTGTAGCAATGTTTCCTTCTAGACTTCCCCCCAGACATCCTGCGAGGTGTGGATCCCACTCCCACCATCGAAGCCTTGGGACGCAAACTGGGCAAGACAGAGGTGGATCCCTCGGGCCTTCCTCCAATGCGCAAGCGCAAGAAACGGATGGGGACCATGGGGATTTTTTTCATCATAACTTATGATCTGATTGGTGGTGACTGGAACCATGGAATTTTATTTTTTTTCCATTCAGTTGGGAATGATCAGCCCAACTGACGAACTCATATTTTTCAGAGGGGTTGAAACCACCAACCAGATATAGTATAATAGTATGTATGTATATAATCATATAATTATATAACTATAGTTTATCTAAAATTAATATGTATATATGTGATATATGATAGTTGGACATACACTTTTGCTGCTAAAACATGCTTTCCCATGTGGTGGTTAAGGCATCGCCACTTCACCATGGCTGTTTCGGCTTCTTCCATGACTTGGGCGAAGCCGCATCTTGTATGTTTTCCCTAGGGGGAAGTCCCCAAAATCCCAGAAAATCCCAGAAAATCCCAGAAAACCAGAAAATCCCAGAAAACCCTCTGGAAAAAATCAATTAACTTGTTGACCCTGAAAGTCAATCACATTCTTAGAAGCGCATCTTCCCCCGAAAAATGCCAGGGTCGAACTGTTAATTTACCGGGTACAAGGTGGTGCCCCCCCAGTTATAAGTTTGTTTATAAACCCCATTGACTATAGACTATAGAATTATAGATATATCTACCATAAACCATAGTGAAATTGGAGTTATGTTCACCAACTTAGCGATTCCGAACTGGGGCACCACCTTGTAACATTCACCAGAAAAGTCCCAGAAAATCTCTCGCCAGGCCAATGGACAGTTGCTCAACATCTCCATGGGGCAGGGACAGGACGGAATCGGCGATCCGTGAATGGAGGGGATGGATTTCCATCTGGTTATGACTAACAGGGCGTTCGCCATGGTTAAGCCATGGCCCTAATCGAAAGTTCGATGGTTTACCGAACTTCAACATGATGATGATTTTCCATGGCTAGCCCTGTTAGTCATAACCAGATGGTAGCATTTTTCATGGAGAAAAAGGCGGTGTTTAACATGTCAAACCATGTTTCATGTCCCAAGAACATTGCCAAGTTTCAATGTGAGAATGCTGTTTTCACATGTTCTAAACCATGATTCTTTTGGGGTACCATATTTTCAGACACTCTCTTTTGCGGTGATTTTGTGGGTCAAAAGGGTTTTAGGGTTCCAGAATGTTCCAGATTTGTGGGATAAAGATTTGCCAATGATGTTTTTTTTTTTCCCAGACGTGTTTGTGAGAAGTGAGAAGCTACTAGTGACTTGATCTTAAGATCTTAAGAATATGTTGCTATTTTGTATTTACAGTCTAGGTTGTGGACTAGTATGCTTCAATGAACAAGACATGGAGGATGAATATGAGTTCAAGGATGGGATGATATATCACAATATCATCAATTGAGTTAACATGACTTGACAGACCTTACAGACTTACAATCCCATTAAATCATCGCTGATTTCCACTTAGCCGTTCTGCCGCTTTCGGGCGCTTCTTCCAGATCCTCAGGAGAAGATTGCCCTGAACGCCCTGAACAAGATGGCCAAGGAAGGTGCGCGAATGTGCAAAGCATGGCATTTCCTGCAAGATATGAATATGTTTTTTCAATGTTTTTCAGATTTGAGACTCACAGATGAACAGTTCAGATGTTCTTATGATATTTCTATTTAAACATGAGTCATGGTTCAGTTAGTTCAGTAGCAATTTGGAGCACCCAGGCATTGCCCCCAACGATTCTGGGAATGGAAAAAATGGAGGCATTACCACATGTATGATGATCGTAATCATATTATGATTCATTATGATCGATTTATATCGTACCATAGTTGTTTGTGTTTTGTTTTAATGTAACAATAATGACAATCATCATAGAATTTCATTTGATAGGAAATTGTGTGTCGTCCAAATCTCTATTATCTCTATTTAATCTAATGGATCATCATCATAGTCAGTCAATATTATCAATATATCATATGTTATTTTATATGATGCTGCTGATGATGATGCTGCTGATGATGATGATAAATAGTCTTCATATGTCTTAATCATGATGGTCATTATTGAAACATATTAGGTTTGACATCATCAATATCAACATCAGAATCATCATCACTACTGTACTGTACTTAGCTGGTGATCTCATCATATTATCCCAACTAAAGTCCGTGTCGCTGGTCATTCGTTTGTATAACCAACTTTCAGCAACACACCTACCCAGTAAACTAAACATCACTTTCTACTATGTCAACAAATCATTAAACAAAAATCACCATTTTAAATCATTTTCATAGGTAAGTCATCAAACTCAAGTGCCATGCCCCCCTCCTTGACGCCTTGACGCCTATCTTAACGCCTTGGTTCCGCCTATCGTAGGTGGATGGATCATGCTGCAGAACATTCACCTGATGCAAGCGTGGCTGAAAGACTTGGAACGTGCATTGGAGGTCATCGAGGAGTTTGTGCATGACGAAACTTGGCGATTCGATCGACGACAAAGAACGGCGATGGCTTGAAGATGGTTGAGATGGGCCATGGTAACATGGTGATGAAGAGATTTTTATGGGATATATATATATATAAACGTTGGGATAAACGTTAATATCAACGTATTTTACGGCGATTTTGAAGGGCCATGTTTTTGGTGATGGGATAAATTTTTACGTCACCAACACTACTATTAAAACATGTGAAAAAATCTATAGCCAAACATCACCAACACTGCAAAAGATATCCACATGTATGGTTTGTTCTTCGGACATGGGGACTTGAACCTGCCAAACTTGGGATGTACAGCACCTACGGAAATTTGACCTGGAGTCTGGCGTAACCGACCCTGCGGCAGCGAAATTGAAAGATTCCACGCCTTATTTGAAGCCAAAAAGGACATGTTGAACCCGATTGGACCGCAATGGACCGCAAACATCAATCACATTTGACCACCCTGTTGAACCATCCAGACCGTGGGGTTGTCTGAAAATAGGGCGGTATACCCCAAAAATTCCATCGAGCGTTTCATCAAGATTGCCAGAAAATCACGCTTTCTCACCATTGTTCCATCAAACTGGAACAAAAACACACCAAACATGGTCTGGCTGGTGGTTTGGAACATGTTTATTTTTCCATATATTGGAAATTTCATCATCCCAAGTGACTTTCACTCCATCATTTTTCAGAGGGGTAGGTTGGAACCACAAACCATAGTAAACCCCTAGGTTGTTTAATTGGGGAGATACCATTTAAGTACCAGATTACGACTATTTGGGGAGTACCACCCTAATTAATAAACCATGGTTTATTAATCCGGGGTTGACATTATATAATCATATAACTATATAACTATATAGTTTATCTAAAATTAATGTGTATCATGATGTGATATATGATACTTGGACATACACCAACCAGATGGTGTATCATGATGTCTCCATGATCCATGGTTTTTCATGGCCGCCGTACACGGTACAGACGCTGAACGCTGAGGACTTCAGATGTTTCTTGACGTCGGAACCACCTGGTGCCATGCAGGGAAAGCTCTGGGATCTGATCCCCGAGCCTATTCTGCAAAGGCGCAGTTTTGGGGCGGCACATGGCAGATGGCGGCACAACATGGGGCATGGCCACAAAACTCGAAGAATTCTGTAAGATTCAATATGAACATATACCCATAGGATCCATGTATGCTTTATATGGTAACATTTACCATCAATATACCCCCAATGTTAACATATATACCATACATGGATCCTATGGGAAATGAACATCTATGAAATATGTTTGAAGTTTCAATGTCCAGATGGATGACATTGAAATTTCAATGTCAAGATGGCAAGATGGTTTGAAGTTTCAATGCCGAAAGTTCAATGTCACATGTTTACCGATGTTTTGTTGGGGTATGCTGGGGTGACTGGGCTGAGAAAGTCAGCGCGTCCTCAGGACGGCAAGGCAACAGCAAGGCAATACGACTCTTCTGTGGAAAACCATGGATTTTTTTTTTTATTGCTAATCAGGATCTATTTCTGCCTTTAAACACATGAGCAGTAAACCTAGTGAAATGCTCGCCAACTCACCTATCGACTGGGAGCACCACATGTTTCTAGATTTTTGGGATACCTTTTAACTGGGGTAGTTGTCCCCTGAATAACGAACTAGTATTGGCTACCACAAAGCCCAGTTGTTGGACTTAGAAACCAACTTAACTAAGTTAAACCAACTATTGAAATTGACAACAACATAATAAATCACCATGTATTCCTTTGTATTCATAGTGATCTAAATGAAAATGGTGATTATATATATATATAGTATTTCTAATTCGGAACATGATTGTTTTTGTTGTTGTTTTTCCCATCTAAATCGTTCACTAAACCAGTAACCAGTCGTAAAAAATCAGCAGTCGTCACCAGGTGCATCAAGGTGGCAGATGAGGCGCCCAGTGACTTGAAGTCCAACTTGCGCCGCGCCTACTCCAAGTTCTCCCAGGACCGGGGGGACATCTCTGGATCACACGGAGGTCGGCTGGACAAATCCACTACAAGGTGGTGCCCCAAGATAGCTAAGTTGGTTTATAACTCCAATAACTATGGTTTATAGGTGATATATCTATAGTTAATGGGGTTTATAAACCAACTTATAACTGGGGGCACCACCTTGTACAAATGAAGCGTTTAATCATGGAAAATCCACGACACTTAAATCCAGGTCTATAGCGGAGAAAAAACATCGATAAATTGGAACATGTGCAGCAAACCAGGTTTGATTAGCAGTGATTTGTGAGGTTTGGTCTGGTTGGACTTTTAGAATTTTGCCATCCAAAATGAGAAAAACATAGAACAACTGTGAACAATGTTGGCAAAACATGGTGATTTAAGCGTCAAACATTGGATGTTATCGGTGTGTTTGGAAATGGGCTATACCTCCAAGTTTATGAAAATGATGGAGGTTGCCCCCGTTGGCGCATGCGTAATTGGAAACCCACCCATAAGGACATTCTGAAAGGGACAAGCCAAAACCACCCAAGAACAGAATCGGATGCCATTTGGCACCTGCCGTACCAGCCCCTTTTTTTTGCTTTCGAGATTTACCCTGCCAACATAAACACTGGTAATTCACCCTGCCTGGGCCAGCTACCCTCTGGTAAACAGCCACATAACTATGGAAAATCACCATTTTTCATGGGAAAACTCACTATTTCTATGGCCATTTTCCATAGCTATTTTGACATAACCAGAGGGTATGTCCAGCGACCAGGAGAACATCGATGCGTGCTTGAAGCCCAGGGAGTTCAAGGCCACTCTCTTTGCACTGTGCTTCTTCCATTCGCTGATCTCAGGCGTGGCTAACAAACAGCGGGCTGGTGATGGGAAGAGAAATGACGAATCAGATTTGATGAACACCAGTTTTAGATAACATGAACAAAGGAGTAATATAGCCAAAATGAGTATCCCTTCCGACCGGATTACATTCTAGCATATTGTATATTTATATAATTTTATGTACTGTATATATATATATATATATACATAAACATATGTTTCGAACCTGGTAATGAAACGGTATGATTTTGTTTCAGACCGAAAGACAAAACCTGCCCCCAAGATGGGCGCCGTTTCTTGCAGGACGTATTAAGTTCGGAGCACAGGGATGGTGCTGGGCTTAGATCCATCGGTGGTGACTGGGTGGTCATGAGCTAAGTTGGTAAAGATCCCCATGTTGGCTTTATGGTACAAGGTGGTGCCCCAGTTCGGAATCGCTAAGTTGGTGAACATAACTCCAAAAACTATGGTTTATGGTAGATATATCTATAGTTTTCATGGGGTTTACAAACCAACATTCACATCACTGGGGGGGGGCACCACCTTGTAGATACCCTCTGGTAATTTGTGACATAGCTATTGAACATGGCCCAGTCGAAATAGTGGATTTACCCACTAAAAATGGTGATTGTTCAAATAGTTACGTTAGTTTACTAGGCCGGGTATATTTTCGTAGATATATGTAGATATACTGGTTGGTGGTTTGGAACATTTTTCCCCACCTGCCAGGTGAGGGTTGTTAGATTTTATGTCAGTTGCCTCCTCCTCCTCCTCCTGCTCCTCCTGCTCCTCCTCCTCCTGCTCCTCCTCCTCCTCTCCTCCTCCTCCTCGTCCTCCTCGTCCTCCTCGTCGTCCTCCTCGTCCTCATGCTCAACTGCGACCCTCGGTGACAGTGTTCTCTGCCGGACCTCAACCACGACCATCCACGCCCAGTGTTCCCTGCCGGACCTCAACCACGACCATCCGCGCCCAGTGTTCCCTGCCGGACCTCAACCACGACCATCCCCGCCCAGTGTTCCCTGCCGGACCTCAACCACGACCATCCACGCCCACCTGACCTCAGCCCGAGTATCCACGCCAAGTGTTCCCTGCCGGACCTCATGTAGAGATACAGATAAATGCCCCAGAAGAATGCCAGATAGAATAGTCAGAAGAGAGATTGCCAGAAGATATGCCAGATATAAGTCAGAAGATATGCCAAGATAGAATGCCAGATAGAATGCCAGAAGATATGTCAGAATATATGCCAGAAGATATGCCAGATAGAATGCCAGATAATATGCCCATGCCATAGATATGCCAGATATGCCAGATATGCCAGATAGAATGCAGAATATTGCCAGATAGAATGCCAGAAGATATGCCAGAAGATATGCCAGATAGAATGCCAAATAGAATGCCAGAAGATATGTCAGATAGAATGCCTCAAGATTTGCCAGTAAGAAAATGTATAAATGTCATGGTGGGGATCACACGAAGTAAAGTAATTTATTTTTCCATAATATATGGGATGTCATCCTTCCCATTGACGAACTCATATGTTTCAAGATGGTTAAAACCACCAGCCAGTCTAGTTTTAGTTATATATATACAATGGACAATATTATTATAGGTGTATATATCGAACTAATATAAATATCGAACTCTACTTACGAATTGGTGTATAAACTCATCGTTCTGGGTGGCTGTACCTTGGTGAAACTGAAAGAATCACTTAAGGTCCAAGAAGTACCCCTTCAACGACGGCGACTTGACCATTTGTCGCAAGCTCAGTGCTGCATCTGATTGTTTGAGATATTTTGTTTGAGATATTTTTTGAGGTGTTTCTTCAGTTGTTGCGGAGGACACTTAGAGATTTCATGAACCATTTCGGTCGGGAAACTTCTGGAAATGTTGGCGGAACTTGGATCTTGAATAAACAGACAATTTTACCTCGCTGGGCCTCTGTTTTCAGAGCCCAACAAAAATTGTTTATCAATGTTTTTCAACAGACTGCCGGGACTTGGATGTGCATTGCAGTGCTACAAACGTTTATAGCCCATGAATCTGAGCCATGAATCTGAGCCATCAATCTAAGTGGTGTACCCTTTGGTAATCAAGGCCGGCTGGAAAACCACAAAAAAAAACTACATAGACTGGTTGATGGTTTGGAACATGAATTTTATTGAATTTTATTTTTCCATATTAATTGGGAATGTCATCATCCCAACTGACTTTCACTCCATGATTTTTCAGAGGGGTAGGTTGGAACCACCAACCAGACAACATAGATCATTTTCTCAGCAAATCCCTGAGGTGGACAGGTGTTGAGGAACTACCTGAACAACGCTGAGAATCTGGGAACAGAGGCCGGAAATCGGCCAGAAATCGTTGATTTTTGGGGTTGTGTGAATTTTGGGGTAGCAATATTGCAAGATCTCATGAATCTTTTTGTTTTGAAACCACCATATTTGTTCCTTTTTTTTTCATGTTGATGGGTAAATGATATATAAAACTAGTTTAATCCTTCTGTTTGATGGTAAACATGGTTAAACCCTTGAAACCACCAGGTGTTTCACCATCTTTGATGGTTTTTTTTAACCACGTTTTTCACCACACCACGTAGGGCCCCTTTTAAGGCGCCCCTTAAAAAAGGTGCCCTGGCCTGACCTGCGCTACATCTTCGGGGAGATCATGTCGCTTGATTTCCATAGCCGGGGTATCCAAAATGGATGGTTTATTTCATGGAAAATCCCAATCTAAAATGGATGATGACTGGGGGTAGCCCTATGTCAGGAAACCACCGAATATCATCAATGATCATCAATGCCACAAGCCATATATATATATATATAGAACATCAATTGTTCAGACGTTTAACTTGAAATGGCGACAACATCATTAATGAAAAACAATGACTACATGATGATAATGTTTAACAGTGTTTAACATGAACAACCATGGTATGGTGATGATATTGTTTTTTTGTTACTAGCGATGACTAGTGACTAGTGACTATATGTCTCTTGAAAAACCATGGTGATAGGTATGGTGATGATTACTGGTTGGTGGTTTGGAACATTGTGTTTTCCATATTGGGAATGTCATCATCCCAACTGACTTTCATATTTTTCAGATGGGTAGGTCAACCACCAACCAGATTAAGATGTTCTAGTTTAAGTGACTCTGGTCTAATCCAAATGTGGCATCTGTTGTAGAAAAAAACATAGGATGGAATCGAGAAATCAAGAGACAATGTATTGCTAGTCCTGAACTAGCCTCCGGCAATTTGTGACATAGCTATTGAAAATGGCCCAGTCGAAATAGTGGATTTACCCAGCTAGAAAATGGTGATTTTCCATATAGTTATGTTAGTTTACCAGGCCGGGTAGCCTTGCCAACAAGTCGTAAGGGAGCAGGCTATGGTTCAACATCATTTGACACCTAGGAATGATCAACAATTTCTATTGACTAGCGTTTTGAGACGGTGAATTATCCGACATTTTTATGGTGCGAGAAAACAAGCAGCATCAATCCACGGTGGGTCCAGAATGGTATCTGAAATAAGGACCTCAAAGTCGGATCATATCAGGCGTTAGACCGCATCAGTGACACTGTCCTTGCACACTTTCCACTAATTACCCTCTGGTAAATTAACATAGCTATTGAAAATGGCCATTTATAGTGGTTTTTCCCATTAAATATGGTGATTTTCCATAGTTATGTTAGTTTACCAGAGGGTATACCATGGTATGCCATGGGTAGCCATTGTTTTTTGTCCAATCACTTCAGATATATACGAAATAAAATAAAAAAAACACCATCCGCCAGCCACTCAGTATCTTAGAAAATATCTTATCATCTGATACTTTTTGTGATCATATCCAATGATACTGAAAGTGTATCATGCTCATGACTGGTTGGTGGTTTGGAACATGTTATTTGTTTCCATTCAGTTGGGAATTTCATTATCCCAAGTGACTTTCACTAACTCATATTTTTCAGAGGGGTAGGTTGAAACCACCAACCAGATACATGTATTAACCTATTAACCATATATATATTCACCATATTTTAACCATATATATTAACCAACCAGGTGATGATCCCATGAACTAAAAGATCGCACGGCGACACGCCGGCGGCACGGCACGTTCCCACCCAAGGTATGGTGGTCACATCACCGATCCATGGGATCGTCGCGTGCCTCGGCGTTTGCTCCGAGAAGGGAGGTCGGTCAACGGTGATCGTTTCTGGTACCCGGCCTGGTCATGACTTAACCCATAGGATCCATGTATGGTATATATGCTAACATTGGGGGTATATATATATATATATATTGATGGTAAATGTTGCCATATATAGCATACATGGATCCTATGGGTAACTATGGAAAATCACCATTTTTCATGGGTTTTAATGTGATTTTTAATGGGATTTACCGTATTTACCCTCTGATAAACTAAGATATCTATGGAAAATCACCATAGAAATAGTGGATTTACCCATGAAAAATGGTGATTTTCCATAGTTATGTTAAATTACCAGAGGGTAACTAAAAAAAATGAGAAAATTCAGAGAAGTAAAATCCGACTGAAATAGTGATGATTTATACTGTACTGTTCATTTCTTTGGTGACGTCAAGTAATATACAAGTGTATGACAGTTTATTCATGGTTTTTCATCATGAATTTTGAGATCATATAGTCAAGATTCGAGAATGACTTTTGTCATATTTCATATTCTATGCGGATAATGTACTGCTATGGTATCCACCGTGACTGTACTAGAAATGTTAATGATCCCAAGAATATCATCAAATGGGAGTTCGCCACTGATGTCTCTCATTGTTTCACTCATTTTGGTCAGAGACAACCCATATGAATTTCTGGTTGGTGGTTTGGAACATGATTTGTTTTTCCATATATTGCATGGGAATAATATTCATCCCAACTGACTGATATTTTTCGGAGGGGTTGAAACCACCAACCAGATTCTGATTTGTGATGACGTTGCTCCTGATTTTCTTTTCATTGCTCTGGACATCGTGTGCAGCAACAGTTGATTCAACCCCAATGATTCATGTGCGAAAAGAACGAAGCACAAGCGCTTTCGGTAGAGTTCCTCAAGGACAAGAACTTTTGCTGGTTGGTGGTTTGGAACATGATTTTTATTTTTCATTATGTTTCCATACATTGGGAATGTCATCATCCCAATTGACTAATATTTTTCAGAGGGGTTCAAACCACCAACCAGTTTGTGTGTGCAGTGTGAAGCCTTTTTTTCATTCAAACGTAACTAATTCAACTAATAAGTTTATCAAGATATCTACTTACAACATCGTACAAGCTGATATTTCTGTACCCAGAAATGTTCATCCTCCCCATGAGTTGTGACTCGGAAAATTTCGAGGTGAACAACACCTACTTGGCTGTGCTGGTGACTCCAGAACTTCTGGTGGGTGGTTCCCTGGCACCCGGATTCAAATCGCCTGTGCCTTGGTTCGACGTGGTGAGGACTTGGAGTCAACACATGCCTGGGGCATCGATATGGAAGGTTTTTTATTATTATTTTTTTGTCGTTTTTAATGTGTTTTTTTTTTCCCCGGGATTTTAAGGGATGTTTATTGGATTTGAAGTCTATGATTTTTTTCCTTCTGGACTTCTACTAATTCATGGTGGGTTTTCCACAAAACGCTTTCCTGTACGGATGATCAACTCATCATGGGGTTATCCTCAACATTTATAGGTTGGGAAGTGAAAAATCACCATCTTTAATCTGGTTGGTGGTGACTGCACCAACCAGCCATAATATCTTTCACGAAAAGTCTATGTTGATGTCAAACCCCAACGCCAAAATATGGCCAGTGTATTTTTCGATGCTTCCCACGTCCAGGATGCCACGAAGCTGGAATACTCCCACTATGTGAAGTACATCGAGGAGCGCTTCCCACCAGAGGTTCCGCAGATGTTTGGATTGCCACCGGCTGAGAACTGGCGTGGGTTGGGAGAGCACTTGAATCTGGGAACCATTGGGGATGTGAAAAACCGTGGTGAATTTCTGGGAAAGTCATGAGACGTGTGACACGGAGCTCCAATCTTCGTTTATCAGGTGTGTTCAGTCACATTTGCAGTCATGGGATGTGAATTTTAAACTGCGGACAACCATGGCAATTTTAAGCAGAAAACCATTTTGTAGCCCATACCCCATACCTTCAAAGCCTATGACCTAAGTCATTAGAGCAAGAGATGTCACGCGTCAAACTTACCAGCAGCTCTAGGGGAATTCCTACTCCTCAATTGACTCCATGCAATGGGGAGGTCCTGATGTTTTGGTACATACTGACGCCACTTGTTTGAACAAATGTATAGCAACTTCCCAAACAAAACAAATAGACAAGTAATGTGTCACTATTTTAGTAGGAAGTTACTTTTTTCTACCTTTTTGGGTGCTACTCGTACTATATACCCTCTAGTTATTTAACATAGCCATGTAAAATGTCCCATTTATAGATGGTTTACCAATTAAAAATTGTAATTTTCCATGGCTTGTTGTTGAATGTTTGACCACTCCGCCTGAGCTAAAAACAATTGGGCATCTGAGGCATCCAAATGCAGAGATTGGCTTCCTGACGAATCAGGGCATTAGCATTTTCAAGACCATCGCGGAAGCTTGGAATGATTTTCAAGCCCTGATTTGAAGATGCTACTGGTGGAAGTCTTTCATTAAATCAGGGCTTTCATCATTTGAAGATTGCTTGGAATGATGATAGGGTGCTCCACAGATATTCACTGGATTCACTGTGCAATGGTGTAATCTTCAGCATCACAAAAAGGATAGGGTCACTGATCATTTGAAATCTGTTAGATATGTAATACACCAATGGTACAGGATTGGTCAATGGTTAAAGGATACACCAATGGTTAAATGATACACGCGTTTGATGTGCATGGGCATTTAACATGGTGTATCGTTTGGTAATCTGAGGTGACAATGAAGCATCCATTTGAGAATGGGTTTAACTTTCAGCAGGGAATCAAGAAAGCACTAATAGTGGTACCCCCTGTGTAATCCGACAAAATATTTTGTTGATCAAATCGCCACAATAAGCAGCAAAAGTATGTAATATGGGCTAATCTTGGTTAATGCATGTTAATGCTGCTTATAACAAACACGGAGTCTTTTTGCAGAATTCACCAAGATGAACCAACAATAAACTTTCGATTAGAAGTTATAATCTAGATAAAAGTTCAACAAAACAATGTGACTTTGCACTTTTTTAAGCCGATTTTTTTTTCCGCATGTCTTTGCCCATCAGCCGAGGAAATCACTGGCGGCGGCGGAGGCGGTGGCAGCTCAGATATCTCGGCCTCCACACCGTTGATCACCAGCTACCTGTCCTCGCACCTTGGCGTGAGACAGCTGCTGAGCAACAGCCCTGTTGAAAGAATTGCCGGGGTTAGGGATGGTTAATGGGGATATTTCATGGGGATAGACTTTGATTAACCAAAGATATTGTCAAGTTTGTTGGATTTAACCATTAAATATGGGGAAGGGGTTCTCAATAGGATAATAGGTAAATCATCCATAAAGGGCGCCAAATTGATACGTATACCAGGGCGCAAACTGTTAAATGACCGGAGGGATCCGGAGGGCAACTACCGGAGTCTCCCAGTTTTGCTGGTTTAACACACTCCGTATCACTACATTATACTATATACTATAGTTTTATATCCCATTACAGGCATTACACTTCCAATCAAGATGAATCCCACTATCTATCTAAGTATCTATCTATCTATCTATCTAACTAACTAACTATCTAACTAACTAACTAACTAACTAACTATATATATATATATATTATCCCAAAAGTTGCAAGGCTCCTCAAGCGTTCTAGGATAATCCCAGTTCTTTCCATAGGCTGCCCACCAACTTGGACATGATCGACATCCGAGGCGAGGAAGGGGACAGGTTGGTTTGAAGTTACCCTCTGGTAATTTAACATAGCTATTGAAAATGGCCATTTATAGTGGATTTTCCAATTAAAAATGGTGATTTTCCATAGCTATGTTAGTTTACCAGAGGGTATTGCCTGAGAAGCGGATGCATCAGGCAACTGAAAATCAGATCACCAAATATGAGTTGCAAGAGGAACAGACAACATGAAAGCCCAACTACCCTCTGGTAAACGTTTACAAAAAACTATAGAAAGATCCACCATTTTCTAGCTGGGTAAATCCACTATTTCTATGGTCATTGTCAATAGCTATGTTAGTCATTACCAGGCCGGGTAAATGATAATGTATATCATGTATATCACGTCATTCTTCATCCGTTTCGGACAGAGAAGTTGCGTTGCATCCTGGAATCTCGGAGAAGGCTACAGACATGGATTCAGCATGCCCACGCTGAAGAGACTCCGTGGCGTCACACTTAAAAAGATGTGGACAACTGGACAACCCGTTGTTTTCCTAGGAAAATGACCTACAAATGTTGGGCTTTCAATATCTATGGTTACTGGAGTAACCTCCGGTAAAGCAAAATCGCAATGGATAATTCCACATATGTAGAGCTTCCATTGGTGGTAAATGTCATGAGTTTCTGTTTGCAGGGTGATATTGCCAATCAAGCACATCAGAAGCGGCCCAAGTTGTATGAGTCATATAGAGTTGTGTTTGTATATCAAGCAACAATATCTATTTTGCAATGAAGCATAAGAAGCCACTCCAAACTATACTACAACCACTCATAGTCATTAAGCGCATTAAGCCCTATGGTTGCAACTTAAAACATGATGTAGCCATGTATCACTAGAACTATCTAGAACTCATGTTTTTTCTTCACGTTTCCGTTGCATCTCAGATTTTTTTTCAGCTCTTCCACAGGCAGATTGAAGGAGGAAGACTACACTCCTTTCATCATCGTGTCTCTGCAGGAGGCTCTGAGCTGGAATTTTTCACTCAGCTCTTCGGGGCTGGATCTCCGTGAGCTATGATCATCTAGCCATGCAAGTAGAACTATTTTGTTTTACCATGCACCTATGAATATATACCAAATTATACCAATGTGTTTTGGTATTTTGAAAAAACATATATGAATCACTTCATTTACTGGTAAGTTGTCCCTTATTTCTTTTAAATCTATAGAGGTATGGATCAAAATTCTGTACCCCAAAGAACTGATAAGTTGTCCCAGGCTGAGATTTTGTTCCATAGCCATATGGCCACAACCAGAAGTGCCCCAGAGTCACCTGGTCATCACTTGGTCCGGGGTCAAAATCCTAGCCAAACAGTACCCTAAGTCATAGCTGGTTTTTCTGGCTGTTTATTTCCCAACATATGCTAGGAATATGTAGTATTTTTTATAGGTTTTGACCTATCCCCGCCTGACGAACTATGTGTCAATGGATTGGTTTAAGGGAAAATTTACAGGAAAACCCCATATTTAATGGGAAAAGCGATGGTTTCCGGTTAAGATTTTCCCAACAAAACCAATCCATTGAATGTGTCTGTTGCCTGCACTGATGTGTCTGTTTCATAACCCCCCGAATGTTTCACTAGTTCCAGATTCACCCTGAACCCAACCAACGACCAGCTGTCACGACCTGGGCAACTCCTTTTGGAGCGTTGAAGCTTTAGGGACATATCCAGATATACTGAAATATCCTTACTAGAAGAGTCATATGGGTATGGATCTTTACCTATTAATACCATTTTTAGGGGGATGAACATCCATTTACCAGCTATTTTGATGTTCACCAGGGGTACAAGGTTTTGACACACTGCCATATACCACTATCATGCAATAGTTGTGATAATATGTTTTAATCAATATATCCATGCCATTCATGGAACAATCCATATTACAGATATTTACAGATCATATCCATAAAGTTGTTACAGTTATTCATCATCCATATCAGAATCATATACCACCATATTACAATGGATATGTATTTTTTGAAAAAAAAAACAGGAAACCATGCGATTTGCCCATCAAAATCATGAGGCAATTTTCTCCAATTTTCAACCAATCCATTATTACACTACAGTACTTAGTCATCTATTAAGAATCTATTAGAATAATATACATCTATACTTAGAATCCATACTGTGGATGGGCCAGCGAAATCCGGTTATCACCAGTTGATAGGAGGTAAACATCCCATTATTTATAGGGTTTCAACATGTTTCAACCATCCCAAATTGGTGGTGCAGGATTTCGCAACCATCCACAGTATAACACTACTTACCCTCTGGTAAACTAACATAACTATGGAAAATCACCATTCTTAATGGGAAAATCCAATATAAATGGTGATTTTCCATAGCTATGTTAGTCATTACCAGAGGGTAGTCATGTCTTCCATCCATTCGCAGGGCCAAACTTCCCCAGTCTGTCGCGCAGGCAGATCGCGTGAACGGCCTATTGGATCAGATCAGGAGCTCGTTGCTGGAGTTGGAGCTTGGCAACTTGGTGATGGCGCCAGCACAGGCAACTTTCATGTGGAAAAATGGGCGGGTTGTCCATGATTTTCCCATGGAAAATGGTGATTTTTTACCCTAATGGATGATCATAATCCTGCATAAAAATGGGTATGGGGCAATACCTATAGATACATTTTTAGTTGGATGAACATCCATAAATCCCAGCTATTTTGATGTGAACTACAGGGGTACCAGGGTTTTGACCCATCCCCAAATGGGGGTAGTAAAATCCCCTTTAAGCAGCAGGGCTTTTGATTTCCGCTCACTTGGATCATGGGATGAAAAACCGAGGAACATTTGGTGATTTTTTAACAGATCAAGACTTGGGAATTCACTTGGAAAACATTCTATTACCCTCTGGTAAACTAACGTAACTATGGAAAATCACCATTTTTAATGGGTAAATCCATGTAAATCCACTATAAATGGTCATTTTCAATAGCTATGTTAATTTACCAGAGGGTAAACTTGGAAATTGTGGGATTTTACTAGGCAATATGTAAAAAAATAAGCAAGCAACATTCGGGACATTCACAGGCAAGAAAACAGGCAAGAAAACAGGCAAGAAAACAGTAGTTCGATGGGATGTGAGGGGACCCTCAATGGCACATAATCACCATGATGAGGACCTGGATGATGTCTATCAACCACGTGTGCAATTTCTGTGGATCCATTTCTTTGATCTGCACTTAGTACTTTACCACGAATGACAGTAAGATAAAGATGTGGCTTTGTTTGAAAACAGTGTACCTCAAAATCATGTCAAGTCGCGTCAGGGAAAGAGCCAAGGGGCAATGGGTGTACTGATATATGGGATCTCCGCGGGAGTCCATGGTAGATATGGTTGAAGGGGAGAATCTGCAGATTCCAGGATGTTAGTTCGATGATATTTTATTTCTTCCTGGTTGGTGGTTTCAAACATGAATTTCATTTTCCATTTCATATATGGGATGTCATCCTTCCCACTGACGAACTCATATTTTTCAAGATGGTTATTGCACCACCAACCAGCTTCATATGTCCAGGTTTCAAAGGTCTTTTCGGCTGCTGGTTGGGGTTTCCCATGGTTTCCCTTAAATCCAATTCATCTCTGAGGTATCAGTGGCGCCCTGAACGTCACAGAGAAGATGGAGGTGATTTTCATGGGATCTGGTGATGGCTTTTGTCAGAAACGGGTGCTTTTGTCAAATTTTGACCCATACCCATCCAATTTGAATCCAATTTGGCAATTCAGTTCCAGGCCAAAGAAATCAAAGTTCTGTTGTTACTGTCTATACTGGGGGATTTCCCAACATCGATGTAGAAAAAGCCATGGGAAAACCATGGACACCATCTCCCGGATGATTTGAACCGGCCAAATTTCAGTGGATTGGTCTCAGGGAAAATGACCCTCAACGTTTACAAAAAATATGGAAAATCACCATTTTTAATGGGAAAATCCATTATGACTTGCCATTTTCAATAGCAAACTGTTGGTTTACCAGAAGGTAAAACCGCAAGCCCAACTATTTGATGTGGAAAGCCAGTTTCCAGTGGTAGTTGTTCCCTTCACCAGCCAGTGATACCCATATCCATTGACACAATGCCATTGAATCCCATCAAAATCCTATAGAATATCATCAAATGCTATAGAATCCCATAAAAAACCTATAGAATCCCATAAAATCCTGAAAAAATCCATAGAAACCTGTAGAATTCCAAAGCTATCACCATACCTTGGGTAGCCAAGTTATTTTTCGCTATCTGGTGGTGAACAGAGGAAGCCCCCATGGAAAATGGGGAGCTCCTTGGGAGCTACGACATGAGTTTACCACAGTGTATAGTGTTCAACATAGGATTCTACTGTGATTCCATAGGATTCTGTCGATACCGCCCTCCGGTTGAATTCACCAGCTGTCGTGCCCTTCTTCCGCGACCAGATGCTGAGCGCCGATCTGCAAGCGAACAAGGTGAATGCGCTCTGGGCAGAGAAGGCGCTAATTTTTGCGGTTTTCGTTGATCGAAGCCAAAGAGGTCAAAACAACATGGATCATAGTATACATATATGTAATATATCAATAGTTATTGATGTTTATGGAACAATGTATATAATAAAGGTTGATGATATAGTCTATTGATATTTCGAAGTATTTGGATGTTGATGTCTAACTGTAATTTTACGTATACCATGGTTTAGGCGTATAGATCCCAAACATTGACGGTGACAATCTCAAGAAATCCTCCAATGGTGAATGATGTTCACAGGATGCTCACAGATCGTGGATGGTTATGGCTGGAGCATGTTCGAGCAATCAATGGTTATGGATTAAATGGAGTAATAATGATTTTTATTTTTATTTTTACCATAGTAAAAATGGTTATGTTCACAGAATCTGGTTTGCGCAATCACAATCCTTACTCTCTACCTGTACTTTGGATTAACTCACAACTTGACAATGATACTTTCTAGATGGATGGCTCATCTATACCCCCCCCAAATAGACACCAAAAAGATAGACAAGTAGAAATTCAGTTCAACAAGTAGTGAAAAGTTAGTGACAATTTGAACCTTTTGACTAATATAGCTGTTCACTATTACATGATGATACTTACTATAACTATTAACTCAGTAGTTGTTCACTAATACCTATCATTACAATAATCTTATTATTCCTATAGTATATGTTTTTCACCAATTTTCACTAATATCTATAGTTATAGTACTATCATAATCGAAGAGCCATTACCTGTGTTTTTGTCATAGTATATACATATGCTACGTATTAGTACATTTTTTTTCTAGATATACCATAACCCATAGGATCCATGTATGGTATATATGCTAACATTGGGGGTATATTGATGGTAAATGTTACCATATATAGCATACATGGATCCTATGGGTAACTATAATTTACTATAGCTCTTGCTTGATTCGTTCCTTCTTGTGGGTGATATCGCTGTCATAGCTCCCCCCGCTTTGGGTCCGCGTGCCAGGCCTATCCGTCCTTGAAAGCCCTCTCCGCTTGGTTCGCCGACTTTGCTCCACGGTGGAACTGGTGATTTGAAGCAGAGGGTTTGATCGAAGACCGGAAGATCAAAGAGATACACATGGATAAGTGGGATTTAATGGGATTTTAATGGGATCTTAATGGGATTTACTCTCTGGTAAACTAACATAAGTTATTGAACATGGGCCATAGAAATAGTTGATTTACCTTTTGAAGTGGTGATTTTCAACAGTTATGTTAGTCTACCAGAGGGTAGCAATCAATTACTTTAAATACGTATCTTTAAACGTATATATATATATATAGCATTTTTGTTGATCATATACTATAAGTATCTATATAAGTATATGGTATAACTTTTGGTGTTATTTTACGCACTTTCCTATCCTTGGCGATGCGATTCAGAACTTCTCACCTGAGGTGCTACGACATGAGCAGGTAGTAGAATGGACCGCTCAGCTGACACCGGGCTGCACAGCTGGACTGGACTGGCTGAGTTATTCCCCAATCAATGCATGGATGTGGCACATGTCCTTTTCCCATTGGTTGGTTGATAAATAAAGAGGTCATCACCATTCAAAAACCAATAGGAAAGTGATAATAGATAGTTATCAAGATAAAATATCAAACCGGCCCATCTATTTTTTCCCAAACTACAGTAGTAGTGGGAGCTGCTTGAGATCGCATTGAACAATCATAAAAAACAAAAAAATGCTTTGACCTGCAAAACTATGAAGACCATCAGGGATAAGAAAGACGATGGTGACATTTTAGACGAGGCATTTCAGACGGGTCTAAGAGACCACAGTGGATCACCCCCAAACATGGGAAACGGCTTGGATACCATCTGGTTATGACTAACAGTTCGCCATGGTATAGAAGGCCCATAGAAATAGATGGTTCACCGTTCTTAAAAATGGTGATTTTCCATGGCTATGTTAGTCATAACCAGATGACAACGTCAGTGTGTGCTTTTACCATCTGGTTATGACTAACATAGCTATGGAAGCCATGGCCCATAGAAATAGATGATTGTCCCAGCGAACGAAAGCTCCATTTATTTTGGGGATTTTCCATGGTTATGTTAGTCACACCCGGATGGTATGTTTTTTTGGGAATCCCTGCATTGGTTGGGGGTTAAGAGGTAACTATTCGGTGGGTTTTTTTCCATCACAATTCCACGCCTTCATATCTCAGAACTTCCCGGAAACATGCCAAAAGCAATGTTGGAGGAGGTATTTTGCCTAGTTTGATCCATTTTCGGGATGGCCGATGGCCATTTTTTGTTGACCCAATAAAAACCAGTATTCTTTACCAGACTCATCCAGACCCTTATCATTATCCTATCATTATCTCATTATTATCTCCATTAGACCAGATAAAACCATATTCAACTAGGATTAAAGCTCCATTGTCCCATCATTTTCTGATCATTATTCTGTGTTATGATTTGCCCAGCTAGAAGCCTCGCTAGTTTGGAGAATTTCCGGTATACGTTCCCATCATTTTTCTCCCATGATTGGCCACTTTATCATTAATCCCACTATGAGGGCCCTATTAGACCATATAATATATGAAACCATATTTGACCATCAATGGTCCAATAGGGCGAATAGTGGATTATTGCATAGTAAAACCATATAAAACCATATTTGGCCAATTTTTTTCTCCATGTTCATCATTTATGGCCCGCCAAATTACGCCTTTTCGACCCAGCCGTAGCTCTACGGAAGTCAGGAAGCTGCTGAAGTCGATTTGGATCAGCGGCTTGTTCAACTCCATGTCTTTCCTGACCTCCAACATGCAGGCCACGAAGCGGTGGAAAAAAAATCCGACGAAGCGGTGGACGTTTTAAAGGGAAGATCGTGGGAGAGATGGGAAAATATCGGAAGAAATCCATTTATAATCCACATAAAATGGACATAATCCACATATCATAGGCAGAAAACCCTGTGGTTTTCATGAGAAAAGTTCACTATCAATGAATGGGGGGACTTTCCAGCTGAAGCCAGTTGCTATTAGGAGGTTTCCATGGGACAGCCCCGAGGTTTCCATGGACTCTTGGCGCAATGCGGATTTCGGTGATTTCGATGATTTTCCCCGGGAAAATCCACTAGAAAAACTGCTACTCGATATAGAGACTATAGATGAATATCGTCTATTTTTTGGGAGCACCCACCATATCCTATAGTTCTAGTTTTGAAAAAGACATGTTTTTGACATGTTTCAAGCGTTTTCCCTTGAACCAATCCATTGAAATCCATTGACTAACCACATATAATTACATATATTAATATAAATCATTGGCGGTGTAGCTAGATTTTACATGATTTACACGATTTTTGCTATCAACAAGGATTATATATATATATTATAATCCTTGTTGATAGCAAAAAAAAGGAAATCATGTAAAATCTAGCTACACCGCCAATAATTTCATGTTTCAATCCAGGTGGCAGCACGAAGCAACAGCTTGCCTCTGGACTACATGACCAACAGGCGCGGTGGCACATGGTGGCACATTGCAATCATTGGGTGTTTTCACACTTGGGGTTGATTGGAACATGGGGATGGGTCAAAAGCCTGGTACCTAGTGAACCCCAAAATAGCTGGTAAATGGATGTTCATCCCACTAAAAATGTATCTATAGGTATTGACCCATACCCACATCACCCTGCAATCATTAAGCATCATTAAGCTATGAATGTTTTTTCAAATCTGGCTTTCTTACCATAGCTCCCACCCAGAACCTGGGAACCTCCACCCAGATGTTTGTGTTTTTTTTTGAATGATATCATGTTCTCCAATATGATGCCCTCTGGTAAACTAACATAGCCATAGCTATGGAAAATCACCATTGTTAGTGGGAAAATCCACTATCAATGGTCATTTTCAATAGCTATGTTAAATTACCAGAGGGTATCTTCCCACACACGCATGAATAGATGGAAACCATTTATGTAAAATCTACTACTGAAGAGCATTGTAACCGATAAAGTTTGTGAGTATCGTTGTTATGTGATTATTACTTGGCAAATCGTGGTGACATCCGGATAGTTTGGAATGGTATCCAAACAAATACAGTGACGATTTGATGGTGGGGATATTCCATGATATCGCCACCCTTGATGTCCTTTTCCTCCACTGGTTGATTAACAAAGGGTTCCCCCCATTCAACAACCGTTGGTAGACGACAGCAAATAGTATGCCAGTCACCGCTCAACATGTCCTAAAAGGACAACATATTATCAATATGGATTTGACCACCATGTTTTTCATTGCCATCAATTTTATACATGATAAAAAACCTTATATTTTATACAAGGTCCTAAGGTGTTGCCCCCTCGTGAAGAGTTTGTTGGCTTATAACCCCCATCTAGTTCGAAATATCAACCATAAACCAAGTGTTTGGAGTTATTTCCATAGAATATCCCCTCCTTTAAAGGAGATGTTCGAATATTTTCCGATGATGTGGCCATCAAAAATCATCAAACCTCCATTTATCTGGGTAAATTACAACGACCTCACTGTTCTCCCGAGCCCTGGAATAATGGTTAATAAGGGAAATCATCCCCAAATGGCCTTAAGATTCAGGTTAGTGAATTATTGTTATTTACTCAGATATGGCTATGAGTCAAAACCCTGGCACACTAGGTAGCTTAAATAGCTGGCTAATGGCTGTTTATTACTCCAAAGATGGTCACAATGGGTTTTGACATATATCCATATGATATATCATGATTTTTTCCATAGATTTCCCATGAAAACCTGCGGTTGGGCGCTCGCCAGGTGCCGTTTCTACAACACCCGGGACCTGGCTGAGATCACAGGAGTGCCAGCGCAGGCGGAGAAATGGTGGCGGTTTACTGGGATGGGAGCCTCTTGAAACTAAGAATCTAGTGGGATTTCATGGGATTTCATGGGATTTTTCGGAATTTTTGTTGGATTTTTAGATGTTTTTTCTTGGGATTTTGAGATGTTTTTTGGGGGATTTCTATGACAGGTACCCTGGGGTAAACATACAGAAAGATGTGGAAAACCCCATGGTTTCCCCTTCGGAAAATCATCTACAAAGCGACTGGGAGATCCGTAGGATTACCAAAATTTAGGAACAATTTAAAGGGTAATCCTATATATAGGATATCTTAAAATATAGGGTATTTAACATCTTAGGATATCCAAACCGATTATCTTAGGATATCCGTACGTTAAATCCAGACATAAAAAGTACCCATTAATGCGAACCAAGGTGCTGGCATATTTACCTACATAACTGGGTGATTTTGGACAAGGGCAAATGTTGGTAAATATTCCAGAACCATGGAGCATATGGGGTAGGGTGTCATTTTTTTGTGTCTATTGTAGAGTGATAAAAACCATATCAGCCCAAAATATATAGGATTCTAACTTGGATCAAACAATATCAACAATCAACACCAAAAATAGGATTCTAACTTTTCGTGATCAATAAATATCAGCCCTCAATTTAGCATTCAAACTGTTGGTGATTGAAACATATCAAAGGATTCAAACTGAAGGTGACTAATAGATTAATTACACCCAAAAGAATAGGATTCTAACCTTTGGTTTTTGTATATGTATTTTCCTCTTGCAATATGCGCAGTTCGTTCCTTCAGTACGTTCCGGACGGGGCGTTCTGGTAGTTTATATAATATATGCATTTTGAAAACTTCCATAGCAAGATTGAGCTCGATAGTTTCTACCAGTTGAGGTATTTCATAGATGTACCATCCAGCCAAGTCACATACTGTTGAGAATCGCCCAGTTTAGACCCATCTAGGCAGGATCTCTGTTAAGGAGTGCCACGGTGAAGACGAATTTACATATGGCTTTGTGCACAACACCCAATTCATCAACCAGATTTCAATCCGGTCTTCACATTACATTGCCAGGTTTTGTTGATTAGTTTGAATTCATTTGGCAATCAACAAATTCATGGTTATAGAATTAGAACAATGACATCAAACAAATAACATCATTAGTTCAAATAATAACCATTTACAAATAATGATGAACTAATATTCATGTTAGCAAATTTCTGATGTCATTCCATCCCTGTGTGGAAGTATGAAACAACCCAGATCCTCATCAAGTCGATTCGGACGTCGGAAAAGTCCTAAGACCATTCATTTAGAGGAAGAATATATACTAAAACCACTAAAAAAAGATGGAACATGGATTCATCACTTTTTTCTGGTCGTAAATCTTCACTTTTCCGTCCTTTTCTTGGGAGTTCCCCATGACCGTTCACCGTAGCTCCCCATCCGCCATCCACATCCAGCATCATCCAGCATCCAGGGCGTCAACGTCCATGGCCTCTTCCTTGAAGGTGCTGGATGGGAAGATGGAAAGGGCGAAGATGAGGCCGTTGCTGGTCGCGTTGGAACGCGTGGGAACGCGGTGGTCGGAAGATGCATGATGCCATGATGATCCATGATGCCATGATGCGACTGTGTCTGTTTCTCTTGGGGAAATTCGGAAGGGGAATAGCTATTCTATATTGTTAGATATTGTTTGTATATTTAGGTATATGATGATGAAGATGAAAAATGATGAATCATGGGTCTGTCGGAATCCTTAATGGGAATAATTAAGTTAGAATTCACCAGTGAAGTTAGGGGTATCCAATTTTCAGAGCAAACCACATCAGGTTAGTCTTCAATGTTGATCCCCCAACTGATTTGTGTAATCAAACCCTGACTTGTTCTGATTTGTTTTAGGGTTAACAAAGGATTTCACTGCCAGCCGCGCCAGCTCTTTTCAATCTTTTCCATGCCTTGGTTCTGTTTATTTCCCTTGGCCAGATTCATAGTTTTCTGGCCCATGCTGATTGACTCGCAACTTTTCAATCAGGACAGTATGTTGATTCGAAATCTTGTTTTAAGATTCGATTGATACAGGATTTGGTTATGGGTCAATACCTATAGATACATTTTTGGTGGGATGAACATCCATTTTAACCCAGCTATGACTTGGGGTGAACAAAAGGTACCAGGGTTTTGACCCATCCCCATTTGTGTTTTTGGGCTGGTCTGGTTGATCAACAAAAACATGATCATCAAGAGATGTCAAAGCCAGTGGATTTGGGGGTATATTTTCAGACAAACCCAACTCTTGTGATTCTTTGTTTCTTGTCATAACATGTCATAACTTTGTATATTCTCAGGGCTAAAAAACCGTAAATCCATGTAAATCCACCAGATTTTCCCTTTCGTGACTTGTTTTTTTTGTCTTTTGCTGCAGGGCTATATCACAGAGAGCAAGATGAAAGATCTTCATCCTTCCATGCCAGTCACTTGCCTTGAAATTTCCCTCTGGTAAACGTAGCCACATAACTATGGAAAGATCCACCGTTTTCAATGGGAAAATCCACTATTTCTATGGTCATTTTCAATAGCTATTTTGACATAACCAGAGGGTAAGTCAATGACGGTCAACGAACTCTGATTGGATTCCCACCTATGGTGATTGTGGGGATGCTTTATGGCATGTTGCCCACATGAATCATCGAATGGCATCAAAGGTCGATGCCAAAACGTTGGGAACCTGGAAATGAAATGATGCGGGACACATCACCGAACTAGCATCCTGGATTCTTGTTTTTCTTTTTATTTTTATGCGTTGCTATAAATGTGAATGTCTATCTATTGTTATTTTGTTATTTTTACTTCTTTTTGCAGGGTATCTAAGATTGGCGATGGACATCTACGGACGTGGGTATGAGCGGAAAAGATGTTGAGAGGCGTGGCTACCATCACTTGCGTAATGGATAGATGGATAGCAAGAGTTTATACCAGTTCCACAATGCAATGGGTCTATGTTGATTCAACATAATTATCGTAAATACTGTCAATACTGATAAAAATCCACGGACTTCTTTATACTCATACTAAAATGTGCTAGAATGCAAGGTTGACTTGCAGGAGGGTACCATTTGGTACTTGTTTCTGGTTGGTGGTTTGAATCAAATGCGGGTTTCTTAAGCCATGGGGGTCATGGACGATCCCAAAACCATCCAAAAGTGGTGAGGCTTACCAGGAAAAAAAAAAGGTTTCTCCCCAATTTTTAGAAACACCCAAGTTTGCTTACTTTCCGTTTCCCAGATGATGAGGCCAATTAGAATACTCCCAGACAATTGGTGAATAACTTTGCCTAATAAGTCCTTTAATTGGCTTATTTGATTTCTAGCAGGGTGAACTCACCCCAAAAACTCACCCCATAAACACGAAGCAGTTGGATTGTATACTCATAGTGGGATATGGTCGTACCACAATGCATGGGAAATTATGATGAAACAAAAACAAACGGAGGATAACACGGATTTCCAACTTTTCCATTGGGATGACCATCAACTTTTCCCACAGTAAGCCCATGCAATTTTACCGCTTCTTTGCCGAAAATGCTGGTGAGGTGTGCAACATCTTTGCAGTGCACATCAATGAGATGGACTGGAACGCCATGTACCACTGTTCCTGGACGACGAAAAAGACCAGCGAGAGAATGGTTCGTTGATAGATGGGACAATGGGATCTGAATGCTTGGTGGATGGGATAATGGGATGTTTTATGATTTAACACGTTTTTACTGTTTGTTGTTGATAAAAAAACTGATTATATATTACATGTGATTGCTGTTTGTTGTTGATTTAAAAAGAAAAAACAAACGATGGAAAAATGTCATCCACCATCGCACTTCCATCATATGTTTTTTCTATGTTTAGCGGTGCAGTGACCATGCGATTGTCGAGTGGGCTGATGTGATTGTTCATGATTTTTACGAAGCTGGTGCTTCCGATGGTACTAATCCTGATTCTAATGTTTTTGCATGTTATATCCAGGCATGCGATCTCTTTGTACTAAGTTGAAAGAACCACCAAGTACTAGAACACAAGCTAGTTAAATGGCGAAAGGGTTTGGAAACATGCTAGATTGATGTATATTATATATTTTTTCTCTTGTTCATTTGTTTGCACCTCTATTTTAAGACAATGATACCTTTCGAGCTTGTTTTCCAAGGGGCTGATTGGGACCAATCAGCCACCACTGCAGCGATCCAATTTCGGGTTGTGGGGCGAGCACCAACAAGTGATGAAGGCATAACTGACAAAATATGTGGTTAATGACGGTTTAGCTTCACCCCAACATCACCATAGACCTTGAAAATAGACCTTGAATATCGCCCATCATACCATATCTAATAATCAAATCCCCACAACTGTCAAGGCCTATGCCCGTTGGGCACACGAATCTGCTCAGGCCCCGTCTTCAGTACCTCGTTGCGCGGCGCGACATTTATTTTCCAAGCAAATGTTCGTGCCTTGCAACGCAATGTCCAGGGAAGTGCGGAGATGAAACCAGCAAAAGACGTGAAGTCACCAACTCACTATGTCCAATCGGAAAACACATAGACATAAAACAAAGCCATGTTTTTCTTTGGAAATCATATCGGTCTTAGTGACTTGTTGACATTGAACGTTGTGTCAGGTCGCAACTGAATTATCCACTAAGATTTCAGCAGTGCTGCAGTCACGGCAAGAAGGCGGATCGTGTTAGCCAACGACGTTGGTACTTTCCCGATGTATTGATGAAACTGTTAACGTAACATTCCCATGACGGATCCATGGTGCTGCTATATATGGTAACATGGATCCCATCAATATACCCCCTTTATGTTAGCATTAATATACCAGCACCAGCCGGATCCGTCATGGGATTTGTAACCAGCATCAACCTCATGGATTTAGGGAGATAGTTGTGAGGCCGTGCATTTAAGAACTTATTTGTTAGACCGTTAGGTAGTCACCAAATTAGCCGTGGGATTCTTTCATCTGGATGAGAGTCTTGCAAGAAAAAAACACACATGATGCTGCAGTTTATGGCACCAGAGAGGCATCAAAATCCATTTTGTGCTTTAAAAGAGAATGGTGAGTGGCTACCAATGGGATGATACTTAGGTTGAAGTTAGTGAATTGGGAAACATCCAGCCGAGGCGTGTACAGTTTATGGCTTGTTTATGGAGACTATTTCTTCAAGCTCTATCCTTATCCAATGGGAAGTCCATATCTCCGGGCTCGAAATCGTTTTGAAGAGAGAAAACTATTTACAAGATCCTATATCCCTGTATTGCTGATGTCCTGCGCCCTATGATTGTACAACATTTGGATATCCTTGAAAACCCTATCAAATGAAGAACATTGCTCAAGGATTTTCTGTGTCGTTTGAGTTACCCTCTGGCAATTTGATGTAGCGAACTGGAAAATCACCATGTTTTAAGAGGTAAATCATCATAAATCATGTATTTCCATGGGCCATGGTTTCCATAGCAAGTGTTAAATATAACCCTGGTTGTTGGTTTGGAACATTTTTTTTATTCTATATAATATTGGGAATTTCATCATCCCATCTGACTTTCAGTCCATCATTTTTCAGAGGGGTAGGTTGAAACCACCAACCAGATACATATATTAACCATCATTAACCATATATATTAACCATTAATATTAACCATATATATTAACCATATAATAACCATTAATATTAACCATTATTAACCATTATTATGCTACTTCCAATATATTATCATCATTAACCGGGTAATACTCAATTTTAAACAGCTTCCAGAGCCCTTCGTGGTGTCTTCGACCAGCAGCCCTTTGTCGTGCTGAGGCATGGACCCGGACGACAACGAGTACCGCTGGGTGTTGGCCGGTGCTGCCATGCTGACCCAGGCAGAAACTGTGGCCTGTGTGCTATGGTCAATACTCATGGTTAATAACCATTAATAGGGGCTAGTCATCCAATGGTTCATAGGGATTTATAATATCCATTATAAGGAACCTTATTGTGGATGGGATGACCATCAACCATATAGTGAGTATTGACCATGGCTCATATGTTCCCTCTGTTGGTTGGTGATTCTGGGGGGAGCCATAAACACCTGGGATTTGATGGTGATTTAATGGGATTCAATGGTCATTAATCAATGGGAATTCCAGGATCCTAAAATATGGAGGTACTGTACCATATAAGGGCATATTTTGTGGGGATATTCCCTTACATAGGCCTTATATAGGCCTTATATATGGTAGGTACCTCGAATTTGGGTTCCTGAAATGGCCATCGAATTAACTAAAGATCTGGATGAATCTTATGATGATCTCACGTCATGACGATGAACTATTGTAATTTACTCATAAATCCCTTGGTCAGTTGAGGAGTTGGACCCACAACTGGTTGATAGGGTTTCCCCATGGATTATGACTTGACTGATTATGATATACCCAATATATGTTGGTCAGTAAAACTCCCGAAAAAATCGTCAACCGGGGATTTTGAACACTGCTCACATGAGTAAAAAAATGATGGCATTCGATGAATCGATGAATCGATGAATCCCCAGAGTTTGATTGGTGGTATCATTAGTGCGTCGCACTGAATTGTTCAAAGTGGTGCATCCCGTGGTGATTAATGGTGATTTAATGGGATTTAATGGTCTATTTTCCCTTATGAACTAGTTCGAGATGAATCTACAACCCAAAGAGTTATTGGAGTATATTGGAGTATATTGGAGTTATGTTTACTAACTTGGCTACCTACGGGGTACCATGTTGTTGTTGTTTTTTGACCTTGCCTATAGACTGGATAGTTCCCTGGTCAATGAGCGATACGATGATTGAGCCCATTCTAGGTAAATCTGGGTAGATTTCATCACGACCGAACCCTGTTCTCCCGAGCCCTGGAATCATGTTTTTTTTGATGGAAATCATCCCCAGTCATGGCCGAACCATTCAGGTTCGCAGGGGGGCTGGGAGTCCGAAACAAGTGGTGTGGCCGAACCATTCAGGTTATAGTGAAAGATTATAATCCCTATGGATCCAAGTACCTTCCTAGGAAGTGTTTGGGGTATGATTTAGGGGTTAGCCGTACCTTCTGAGACAGCGTTTGGATCCATAGGGAATGTATCCAGGTATAAATGGTATAGCCACCAGGATGCGAGAACTCGTGCTTTGACCGCTATTTCTCTAGCCACTTTGTTCCCTTTGATGGACATCCCGGATTTGAAAGACCATACCCATCTCAGCCGCAGGCAGATTGATGAAGCTTCTCTAGAAGCTGAGTTTCTGGTCGACCGATTGCGAATTTCGGTCGGCTTGGCCGGCTTGGCCAGCTATATGCGACTCAAACGGGAACAACTCGAGGATTGTCTCGAGAATTTCAGGGGCAATTGCACATGTCAAGCACATGCCAAGGTTTCTTGTTGCTGGAATGGTTTGCAATGGTTGCAACGGAACCCTTCAAATGGATTCAAATGAACACAACATATCAACAAAAGCAAAGTTGAGCAGCAAAAATAATGTCGAATAATGATATACATAGCCCCACTGTGTTGATAAATTTCTTGGCCGGGAGTCCGTGCTCTGATCTCGCTTGTTGGAACATTTTCCGCGGGATGTGAGGCGTATACAGCGAAAGACTCCGAAGTTTCTGTGCTACCCCTGCTCACGACAGGGAAATCAGTCGTTCCACGTTTTTTTTAACCCATCCACCTTATAATCAATTTATATAATGAATGGTTATCCAAGTTGACTTGCAACTTATAATTATTGTAAGGCTACCATGAGTGTCAGCCTATGGTTATCCCTCATAAGCCATAGAAGTCACCAAGTTGCAAATCAACTTAGCTATCTACGGCTGGAAGTCACCACTGGCCTGCTGCAGTAGGCTGACACTCATGGTAGCCGGAAAGAGCCACGTGTCGATGAGGGGAAGCTGAAAGTTTGAGCCACGTGTCATGAGAATGTAATATAATGTAATAAGATTCTGGTTGGTGGTTTGGAACATGATTTTTTTTATTTTCCATAATAGATTGGGAAATATTGGGAATCATCCCTTCCCATTGACGAACTCATATTTTTCAAGATGGTTGAACCCACCAACCAGTATAATTTATACATGATTCATCATGATACATGACAACAACCGTGGCCCAAATGGTGGTTTCAGTTTCCGAGATTACGTCACTATCCAGATATCCAGATGGGGGTTGCTGATAATTACCAGGAATCAGGAGAGGATTTAAGGGGAACTCCTTAATCATCTCCGTTCCATGTTCCACTAGAAAGTGGATGATGCAGTGACTGTGAGCCTTTGGCGCGCCAACATTTGAGAAAAACACATGTGTCCAATGCTCTTGCAGAGCTGCGCTTTCCCGGCACGGAAGGAACATGGATCATGATCTTTTTTTGTCAATCCCGTTATTAATCAATAGTACATAATAGTACCCATGGCCAAGTGTCAATTAAAACTCCCCCCTTTGAAATAAGGATGGATCAGGAGAGACTAGAAATGGTCTAACTACCCTCTGGTAATCAAACGTGGCAAGGGACAATCCGCTATAAATGGAGGTTTAATTGGCAAACTTATCTATGCAACTAAATGAATGATGTTCAATTGTCGTATTTGACTATTGGAGGCATGATGACAAACAATCAAGTTTTGGGATAGCAGTTGCGAATGTCTGCGATTCCTTAATGACAAACCATACACAATATATTTCCTGAGTATTGGCCACTGCAGTACTGGGGGCGCAGTTCCAGTTGCAAGTGCCAGTCTATAACCATAGGGCCGCAGGGCCCCATACCCTGAGGGAATTCATCCGCGCAGGTTGGTACCTTCAATGGACCTTGAGCTTTCAGAACAGGTGCGGAAGCAAGGGCCGCTCGCTGGGCGACGGAGGTTTCAGTTTTGTCATGGGGGTACCCCCCCAAATCATTCCAGTCGTCATGAATGACCATGACTTAGTATTGAAACCTTGGGTTTTTTTTGGAATCCCTTGAATCCCCTAGTTGAAGAAACACCATATATATATATATTGTTCGGGGAACCTTTTGAGAATGCTTAATGCTTTTTTTGGGGGGGAATCCTCAATCAAATCCTGGAAATTTGATGGAATCAAGGAGCGAACAGGCTGGTCAAAGCTACAGCTTTTCTCAAATATGGCAATTGGAAACTGTCTATAAATATCTATAAATATCTAAGTGTTAATGGGAACATCCTCATAAACCGGATGGTGTCTAGCATTATATATATACCATCTGGTTATTTAACATAGCCATGGAAAATCACCATGTTTAATAGGTAAAGCATCTATAAATGGGTCATTTCCCATGGCTATGTTAAATAACCAGAGGGTATCTTATATATACATACAATGATACACACAGATACTCCGGCATCACATTGCGAATAAGGTTGATTTTGGTGACGTTTTGGTTAGGTCCTGTTCTTTAGTATCGGGTCACAGGAGGAAAACCACGTGTGTTGCTCCATGGGGTTTTCAGCATCTTCAAATGGGCCCAGTAATTTGGAATTGGCATAGTTATGAGTTATGATTGTAAGTTTATACCACCTATGGTGATATTTGGGGGATGATTTATATTGGTTTACCCACATAAACCATCAGTTATCACCATGATAGGTGGTATTCAAACTTACATTCCCAGTCATGGCTGGTAAACATGGCAGCCAGTTTTTCCCACATGAATCAATAGGAATCAGCCTTACGTCAAGTTCCCCGTGAGGTCTTTGTTCATGTTTTGTATAACCCACAAAACTCCTCAGCGGTTCAGGAAAAGGCAGTTTTGGAGAAGGAACAGAAGGAGCCGCCTGATACATCTACAGCTTGACGACGTGACTTTTCCCACCTGTCGGCAGCTGGAAATATAGAACAGTTTCAGATTATGAATTTAATCATGAAATAATTCCAGTTTTCAGTTGAGACCTAGCTGCCTAGCTGATCCAAACTCAGACAACTCGGATTTCTTGGTTTTCATCAATGCTGTTTTGTTTTGGCTTTTTAATCCATGCTTCGACCTGGCTCTTCCAAACTCAGATTGAGCCGACTTCAAGACAGACCAGCAACCAGCTGCAACCATCTTCCATTCACTGCCGACTGCCAACTCTGCACATTTGACCACAGTGGCAGGAAAATGTGGCGCCCAGGAATCAGAAAGAGGAGAAGGCCGCCTGTTTTTTAAAAGTGGCCGGTCTCACATCTGATATATTTTTTGAGCGTACATCTTCGGTTCATGGATCGAAAAAGGAGTAAGATTTAGGCAGAACGCTGTGACCATCCATGGTTTATTGGTAGAGGTCATCCGAAAACTCACGGATGGTCACCATGTTTGTTGCTTACAATCCCCATATGTATCACCATAAAATTCCATTATAAATCCCATTTAAACGATGGGGGGTTTTAAAGTGATTGCCAGAGGCTATTCCAAGTACTCCTTTCTGGTAACATCCAGGAACCATTTGACAAATTGATTGCGATTGTTCCATCGACCAGGCCCATTCTGTCAGACGTTGTGATCCATGTCGTTGATCATAGTGCTTATATTATAACTTTTATATTAGCCCATGATATATATTTAATCATTAGTGCTTATTATGATTATGTATATATATATATATTATAGCCCTTGATATTTGATCATTAATCTCCATGATGAGGATTGCTGTTGACCTATATGTCCCTATTGGTTGAAACCATGTTGAATCCATCATAGAATCATAATCCATATATTTCTGCTGGTCAAAATTCTGGTTGTGGCTGGTTCAGTTGGTGAACGTCAGTAGCAAACGCACCAAGTATTGGGACAATTAAATCTTGAAACCACTTACCATCCCACACCTAACTGACAATAGCCAGCTCTTTGAGGAAAGTAGTCGGATTCCAACCATCTGGCAGGGTCAACGAGTATGTGAGTTGGGAGATGGTCCTTATTGAATTTGCAGATCTGGTACAGTTGGATTTCTACCTCCGGAGCAGGTCTTGCTCTTTCCAGTTCGCGTGCTGTTCCCTGACGGCAGCACTGCAACTTTGGAGGCGGATACCCGATGGAGTGAAGGGGACTGAAGGGGACTGAAGGGGACTGAAGGGGACGGAAGGGGACTGAAGGGGACTGAAGGGGACTGAAGGGGACTTGACCAAGGTGGGAAAGGAACACATAGAGGTTTCTTACAATGGGGGATTTTCGTCATCTAAAATTGGGAGTGATTATATACATAATTACTATATTGGTGGTTCATAAATGGGCCCAGAACCATATGTTTCAATACTAAAATGGTCGAATGACTTGGATGAGTTGGGGGTACCTCCATGACTTAGGAAACCTCCGACTAGGATGATATAGGATGATATAGGCAGTTCTCATGGGATCTATATTTGGTCCATCAAGCAGGAGATGTAAGCTGTTACGAAACCCTTAGACAAATGGGTAGAGTACCGGGTAGAGACCCTCAAGAATGGGCTTTGAGGCGGAAAAGGTAGAGAAAAATGAAGCTATCACACTTCAGCACAATGATGTCTTATGATATTTCCATATATTTCCAACAATCAGGATTGGAGAGACCCCCTAAATCAATCATGATCTAGTGTATACATACAAATGGGTATAGGTATACGTGTACTGGAAACAAACAACATGTACTAAGGTACTAAGATTATCTACAATGTGGCCCCCCCGAGTTATAAGTTGGTTTATAACCCCAGTTAACTATATAGTTAGAAGTATCGTAAACCATCGTGAAATTGGAGTTATGTTCACCAACTTAGCTAAATCAGCTATAAATATCTATAATTCCCATGAAATCCCATGAAATCCAATTTTTCCTGGGCTATAAATCACCATTTTCCTATGGTTTTCCAATGTTTTCCACATTGTATAGACAACTTATCGAAACCTTGCGACCAGCTTAGGGACTTTTGATCGTATCATCGCCTCAGGTGAATCCTTGCGCCAGAGGCGCCAGTGTCCTAACACAGCTGCTGCCTTTGAAGAGGAGATTCTGGACGGCTGAAGTGGATTTCCTGGGATTTGATAACGGGATTTTGATTGGGATTTCGATTGGTGGTTTTATTGGGGTTCAATGATGTTCAATGGGATTTGATTGGGACTTTATGGTGGATTTATTGGGGTTCAATGGGATTTTATAACGGGATTATAACGGGATTGGAATTTCATCTGGTCTAATGGATTTCATGGGATTTCACGGGATAACTCAGGAGAATAGGAGAGGAATCCAGTGATTGAAATGTTCTCGGTGTTTTTTTGCCATTTAGTAGGGATACCCATAGGATCGTATGGTATATATGCTAACATTGGGGGTATATTGATGGTAAATGTTACCATATATAGCATACATGGATCCTATGGGATACAGAAACATGTAAAAAACAAGAATAGTAATGAATAGTATATACAAAGTGGTGCCCGCCAACGTGATGTTTGTTGCTTTCGACAACCAGTGAACGAGTTGACTAGTCCGATAGATCTACCTTAAAGCAACATCTGAGCAGTGTGGTTAATTGATGGGTATGTTTATATTAGATTATATTAGATTATAAGGGGTTATACGTACTATCCAAATCTATCCAATCTATTGGGGATTATCACAGTCAATTGTGGGATATCGATTTGGCTCAAGAAATCGGAGCTCCGCGGCGTAGTCCTGCCGGTGACGGAAAGGAATCCGTTTCGGGCCGTTTCGGGCCAGCGATGAATTCTTCACCGGGAATCCCTCGCCATGGACCCGCTGGGAGCGCCAAATGGCCATTCATCAATCAGCACCGAAGAGAAAGCATGAATTGTTGTCAAGTTTGAGGCGGTCTTCACTGCAATCCAGACGACACGGACAGATGTGTGTTTTGAACATCATCAACATTTATGTATATTTACCCTCTGGTTATTTAACATAGCCATGGAAAATCACTAGTTTTAATAGGTAAACCATCTAAAAATGGGTCATTTCCCATGGCTACGTTAAATAACCAGAGGGTATATGAATTGGGTGTCCGTTTTGGAAGGACTACGGCACGCCCAAAAAGTTACTTCAGACCAACATTTTCACAGAGATGGCATCAATTTTCCCTGTGAAATGCTGGATGGACCTCAATAGCTGGAGGGTTTATGATATGGCCTAAATCCATGCAAATCCCATGAAAAATGATAAATCAGGATGATTTTTTGGGGGGTATCCCATGATACAACGGAAAGCTCCATCCCATGTCTTGCAATTTGCATAGACGCGTAACATCGTAGGCGCTCCAACTGAAGATGACATTGAGGCGATGTTTCCTACGGATGAACGAAGATTGATGATTTGGAAAACAATCAACAAAAAAACAAAAAAAGCAGGCAGCGAACCACCAATGTGTGTGTGTGTGTGCGTGTCTGTATAATATATATATATATATACATATTATATATATATATACATGAATTAACCCATGGGTCTGGGTCAGCCACATAAGAAACGATTCAATTATTGCAACAGCTTGGCCACGAAAGGGAAAAGCGGGGTTGTTTGGTTCCCTGTTCCAGCGGAGGAGTCATCTATGGCCAGAGGACTTCGCTGTGTGCGGAGCCCAGGGATCTCCTAATGCCTGGTGATTTTCATGAAGTTTGCGGAAGGTGCAAGGTGGTACTGTACGCCACTTAAGTTAAAGCCCGACATATTTGTTTGATGAAGGATGTAAATGTATAAATAGTTATTTTTATGGGGTTATCATTCCAGAAATGGGGTTGTGACTGACTATTAATGGATCCAGTAGTGGGAGATCGACATCACAGCTATTGATACAACAGGACAGATCATTTAGGGCAACAACTCTTTGCTAAATGGTGTTTTTTGAAAAGGCCGTTTAAGCTGCTGTGCCCGTAACCTGGTGGGATATGGAGTGAGTTAGTTCATTATTACCTGGTACAGGGCCATAACTGTGGCAATAAGATTATGATGAACCGCCCCAAGTGATGAATCAAGATAATGCTGAAACATGGTGGTTTAACCATTAACAACAGGGATTTTGTCATGGGATTTAAGCAATGATGGAGTGAACCCAGTCATGGATGGCTCTGCTTTATATGTAAATCTACTTTGCGAAAACAGGAACTGGGGCACCACCTTGTGGTTTCACTAAGGTGATATCACCGGTTGCAAGAAATCTAAGAACGCACAAACTCACCAGCCGTGATTCCTGACTTAAGTATTTTTTCAGAGAGATATAGCGAGATTTCCCCTGGAAATCTGCAGTTCGATCCTGGTTTTGTAGAAACTCATTTTCCGCAACCCAAAAATGGGAGGGTCAACGGTCAAAGCCTTAATTGGAGGGATGGTGGCAGGGTTCTCCTAGCGAAGGGCGGCATACCAGCATACCTTTCATGTAATCCTATCCTCAATATTTAATACCTACCCATTTTGGAAATCCTACTGATTTGCCCTCTGGTAATGAATTGAAAATGGCCATTTATAGTTGAATTACCGCTTAAACATGGTGATTGTGATTTACACTACCTCTTAAAAATGGTGATTTTCCAGTTCGCTATGTTAATTTACTTGAGGGTATTGGATATGTTTGGACCTATTCATGAATTGGGGTCCGAAACGTGGGAGGTATTTCATGGCACGTGTTTTTTTTTCCAATTTGTTTACTGGCTAAAATTGTATTTCCATGAGAAGATGATGATGATGATGATGATTATTATTATTACTCTTATTATTACTCTTATTATGTTTTTCCACCATTCGATACAAGGATGGGTTGGAAACCATTCAACCAACATTGATCCTCCATGATATCACCATGTTTCATGTACAGTGGCTGACTGGCTTCAAGACTCCCCTGATTCGTTCGAGGCTCATGCTATGTTATACTATCCTTTATATGGGGATCATCATCCATGAACCGGGAATCCCGTTCTTGACCAACCATACATCAATGGATTGGTTTTGTTGGGAGAATCTACGGGAAACCATAGATGTTCTCATTAAATATAGGGTTTTCTTGTAACATGTTCCCTTTAAGCAGTCCATGGAATACAGGGACAGCCTGGACAGCGGCTTTGTTTCGTACCGTTTCTGGCGGGCCCAGGTTTTTGCCCTCGGGAAGGCTGCTGGACTTTCACAAACCTTTGCAGGTCGGGGTGTGAGTTTGCTGCAGAACGATAGCAAATGAACATTCATTGGGACATCTTACCATGAGGATTTCAAGCTATTTGGGATTAATGATGATTAATGCTGGTTAATGGGGATTAATTAGTGGTATCATGGGAATATGATGACTGATTGGTGGTTTGGAACATGAATTTTATGACTTTCCATATATTGGGAATGTCATCATCTCAACTGACGAACTCATATTTTTCAGACGGGTTGAAACCACCAACCAGACATCCATTGGGAAATTTGACCAACAAGCATGGTGATTTATAGTTGATGATGGTCATAGTTTATGGTGGTGGTGCCCCAGGTCGCTAGCCAAGCTAGTTTATACTGCAACGTTGTCCCCAAAACGACATCACGACATCAGTTTTCAGGTTCAAGAAAATAGCACATGGTTTTGCATCCCAGCTACGAAGTTGTATTATAATCAAGCCATTTGCACCCATTTATGTTTGCTAGTTGGTTTATCACTCCCCAAAAACTATAGATACACCTACTCTAAACCCAGTTATTGGAGTATAGGGAATAGGGAGTTATGTTGGCCAACTTAACCAGCGAACTGGGACACCTCCTTGTAACAGTGAAGTTGCTATCCATGATTGTTGGTTCTATACCAAAATATTCTCATGATTAGATTGGTTGCTCAAACATCCATTCATTAGGAATTTTGCTAGCAAAATGGTGATTTATAGTTAACTGGTTGGTGGTTTGGATTTTTTTTATTTTTCCATTCAGTTGGGAATTTCATCATCCCAACTGGCGAACTCCATCATTTTTCAGAGGGGTAGGTCAACCACCAACCAGTTAAACATAGTCATCGTTGATTGTGTTTGTGGTACAAAGTGATGCACCTGGCCGTACCTGGCCAGTGCCAGGCTCAAGGTGTTCATGGTGGGATGGACTTGCGAGTCGATGAGGTGCGAGCTGTGGTGTGCTTGGTTTAGATCTACCATTTATAGATGGAATTTTCATGGATTCTCCCTTATAAACACCATCCATTTAATGGGTACCCTCTCATTTCTTTAAGACCCCATAGAAAACCCCCATTTAGAGCTCCAACAACTCTTGGGTTTATATGGCTTTTGGAGCGCTTTCTGCAATTCTGCGCCTCAGCAAGGGTTGCACTTAGTGTTCCATTGTTTTCCCATAGGGAGAAAACTTGACGGACCTTCAACACCTCAATTTACATGATTTTTAGAGAAAACATTGATTTTCCCGTCCACAGCAGGGAAAAAATGGACCTCAAGTGCCTCTCAGTTTAATGTTTTCTGTGCAAAAGAAAATGTTGAAATAATCAAAATGTGTAGAATGTATAGAACTAGTTTAGTGATGTTTAGTGTTAAGTTTGTAGATATACCGTGATCTACCTATAGTTAATAGTCAAAGTTCTACACCCATTGTCCGTTTCCACAACCCCTTGAGACGTGCGGCTGCAAGGCTGGCGTTGCTGAGCCTGTTTGAGGCTCAGGGTCTGATCGGGAATCTG